CACAGCATTGCCCCCGGATGATGTCTAGGGTCTCTCGCCCTCCATGACCTCAAGTCCGAAAGACCCGATATGGGACCCCTGGCATCTCTGCCCCTTCTGGGACTGGGGCTCTCATCTGGACGGGGTTCCCCCAAGGCTGCTCCAGCTCTGACCAGAAGTCATGCCCCTGATGGGGATGCTCCAGGGCTGAGGCACAGGACGGGGAGGCACACCCAGCCCCCTCCTCAGGGGACCCCGCTCTCCACGGGCACAGGATGTGTCACCTGGCCACATCTCTCTGGAAAACTCCCGGCTTGAGCCGGGGAATTGCATCCTTCTTGCTCACAGCTCCTTGGGTCTGTTTTTAGCCATGGCGGGTTTGATGTGGTGGAGTGTGCGGGTGTTCCCTTTTAATTCGGGGTCTGAAGCCGTCTGAGGGCTGGGCCAGTCATTATGAGCGCGGAGCCATTTATGGAAACCGCGCTTGAAAAAAGCCCGTGATGAGAAGTGACTAAAAATACCCCAGAAAGGAAGCCTGGGCCTTCTCTCAGCAGCACTGAGATTTCTGGGCAGGAGCAGGCCCTCAGGGAGCAGCGTCCACGGTGGTCAGTGCTGTGGCTCCTCATGGGCCGCACCGCATAGAGACCAGCTTGTTCCGGGCCTGCGCGGGGCCCTTGGCTCTGTCACCGGCCGGACTAGCCAGACAGGCCCAGCCTGTCCACCCCAGGGCCCGGCCGCAAGAGGAGGGCAGTCCTGGCTGAGCGAGAACATGGTGCTTCTGATAGAGACATGCGGTAACATGGAAGCCACCCCAGCCCCATGTGGTGCCCCGCCCAGGGCCACAGAGGCCAGATGCTGAGCTGCCGGCTGGGGACAAGGAGCCCTTGGAAAGAAGGGCCTGGTTTCCTGACTCTGCCCCCCACCCTGAACGTTGGGGGTTTGATGAGCAGGCCACTGAGAGCCTCCTGTTTGGTCCCTCAAACTGCTCACTGTCCAAAGGGAGATGAGCCAGGGACAGGGAGCCCAACAGGCTGCTGTGTATGGGTCAGGGGAGCAGGAAGGGCTTCTGCCACTGGACTGAGAGGACGGGAGCCTTAGACTTGGTGGGATGGGCCCACCCAAGAGAGAGCGGCTTTGAGTAAGGCCTGGGGGAGGGTGTTGGCAGCCAGAAGGCCCAGGAGGCCACTCGGACGGGCAGGTCCAGCTCAAGGCCTGGGCCCCAGAGCCTCACCTAGTTTCCTGCATGGACCCTGCAAGGCTTGGAAGGGTTTGAGGTGGGAAGGATATCAGAGGTACCTTTCACACTCTTGCTTTTTGTTTAGAAACATGGCCAATTTAGGTCCTTTTGGGGTGATTCCACTTATACATTGTGTTGAGGACACAAGAAAAGCTGAAGCCATTGGTGTGAGGCTAGTGGCTGCAGGTTGTCATCTGGAGGTCTAGCCTGTGACTGAGTGGTAGGCAGGGGCCTCACACCTGGAAAGGCAGAATGTGGACAGTGGCCAGGGCTGGTGGAGGCCCCTTCCTGCCCACACTGGGCCCTTCCCAAAGACAGACCAGGAGGTTGTTTTAACAGGAGCTGGAGGGGAAGGTCTAGAGTTCCATTAGCACATGTTGGTGAATCATAACTACTGTCCCAGAAGCCACATTAAGGCAACTCAGAAAGTAAATTCATTTGCTTTTTCCCCAGAGAGAAGGTGGTTTGGGGTTTGAACATTTTTGGCAGCTTTTATGGTTTTGTGGAAAATAAACATTTATTGAACTTTGTCTGTTCCCTGTGCCCAATGAATAGCTTTGTGTGTATCTTTTCATATTTTTGTCAGTGTGTTTTTGGGATTGTTGAGTCAAAGGATAAATTCATAGGTAATTTTGCCAGGATGTTGCAAAAGGACATTGCCAAATCCTTCTCCACAGCATTCCTATCGTAGACGGTGAGAAGGCTCTGTCTTCTCTTACCTTTTTCTTTCTCTAAGGACATACAAACACCCTGTGAAAAGCATCTTCCCCATTACTCTAGAGCCCATAACCCTCTACATTTCACTTACAATAGAAATGACATCCGTATCTGGCTCCCTTTATTTTAGAAAAGGATCATTCCTTTCCTTGCATTCCATGACCCCTGATGGTATCACATCTTTTTAAAAAAATTTATTTTATTTATTTGTGCATACAAGAACTGGGGTGTAGATCAGAGGTACAGGGAGTAAGAAGATTCACCAGAGACAGTGGGGAGCAGAACAGGCAGATCTACTGAAACACACTGCTGAGGGGAGCAGCGGGTGAGACGGGAGAGGTCTGCTGTGCCATGTGGGTCAGCTCCCTGGTGGGGGATTGAACTTGTGCAGCAGTGGCTGACAATAGTTTGATAGTGCTAAGACATTAACCCCTGTGCCACCAGGGAGGCCCTGATGGTATTTGATGGAACAAATCAGGAGATTACAATTCAGGCTAATCAGAAACACCCTTTGTCTGGCCACCCTTTTCAGGCCGCTGCCTGAATATTCACATGGCTCTGTGAATAACCAGCACATGGCACAGGAGCACAGTGTTCTTACTCCTCGTTCACAGACAAGGAGACCGGGCCAGGAGGGGAAATACATACCTGCTGGGTGCCTCGAAAGTCCTGATCACTGGCCAGACTTCTTGGAGCTGATGGACTCTCTCTCTGGCTAAAGTAGGATTGGGCTGCTCATAACAAGGGCATGGGGTAGAGCTTAGAGGGCTTAGGAAATGCTTTCTCAGCGATCCAGCTTTGGGGAAATAGCTTTCCTAACTCAAAGCAATAGCCATTGGAAGAAAAAAACTACAAATCCACAGGTGTTATCTTCCCACCCTCTCCACTGACTGTAGTTGCTTTCTTTATCTGTAGTTGCTCTCTTTCACCAATTTTTGATGGACATCATTTTCCTAAAAATGTTCTGCCCTCTGGTGCTTGCCTGGAACAGCCAGGGTGGGCAGTTTCCTGTGCTGGAACTCCTGGGTGGTGTGCCATCTCACCAACCCACAGGACCAAAGTCTGGACCTGGAGTGGGGTCATTGGCACAAGGCCCTCTTGATTCCCCGGCTCAGCAAGGCAGGGGGCCCAGGCATGGAGTCTGAGAGGAGGCAGCAGGCAGCTGGCTAGTCCCTTGCCCCGGGGCACACTGAAGTCAGTGGAGAGGTTCCCAGGGAGCCTCAGGACCCACCCACAGCCCCCAGCAGATAAGACACTTTGAGAGGGGTCAGCGCACGTGTGGCTGAGCGGCCTTCCTGATGCTCTGTGCCGCAGCCTGGACCTGTTTCATCCTGCAGAGCAGGGATTCTCACAGGCCATCGAGAGGGGTCTGTGTGGGCGCTAAAACCACAAAACTTCTGTGACGGGCGTCTGTAGGGAGGGGGGACCAGCATAGATATTTATGTGGAACACTACTGGGCAGAGGGCCAGGCCTGCCTTCTGACTCTGCCTGCGCATGGGGGACCCCCCTTGCGTCGCGTGACCACTGACACATTCTGGCTTTCTCCTTGGTGTCCATCTCACTGGGGCACTGCCCGTTGGGTGTCTCCTCCCTGCCCAGGGATGAGCAGCTCATGTCCCGCAGCCAAGCGTGTTGTCCGCTGACCCGCCAGCACAGCTCCTGCCCGTCCATCCCTGGACCGGGGCCCACCTGGAGGACAGGAAGTGCTCCCACATCCGCTGGCCACCTGCGGATGACTTGTGGTCACTGAGCCCAGAGAGAGAACTTTTTAAAAGACTCACAGACATGTAATTAAAATCTCAGTGCAGGGTTTTGGGGGAGGCGCAGGGCGGCACCCACCCCTGCTTTCCGGAAACACAGATTTTAGCGCTTGAGAGTGACAGGAGGACAGAGCGAGACGGTCCTAAATAGACTGTCCTGGGCATTTCCGGCAGCAGGGAACGTGGGGTTTGCTCTGTAACCCAGGGCTCTCGCCCTGCGTGTCAGCCCAGCCCCCGCACCCACCTGCTCGGGTGCCCCCTCCAGCCTGGGCCTCGCCTCCCGACCGCCCTTCCTCAGCTCCACTCTCCAACCAAACCATTCTGCTCCACTGCTGCCCAGGGCACCGCACCCCTCCCAGGGCTGGGTCTCCGCAGCCCCTCCAGGGCTGGGTCTCCAGCCTCTACAGTAGGGCCCCGGCCAGACCCACCCACCCCACACCCCACACTGCTGATCTGTGGGTGGCGTGGCACCTCCACACCTGAATTCGAGGTCCCCTCTGCCTAGAGCACCCCCTCACATTTCCTCCTCCCCCCAAAACTCTATCCCATCCTTCAAAGCCAGATCAGATGTCACCTCCTCCTGGAAGCCTGCTCAGATCCACCACACCAAGGGCCCGTCCACCTTCCCCAGCACTGACTGGGCCTCTCCAGGGGCATCACTCCCACCTTGTGCCTGTTCCTTTCCCTGTCCCCCTCCTGGCCTCCTTCCTCCTTTCACACTTTGCTGTGTCTGCGGTTGTTTTCCCTGCCTGTGCCGTCCATTCCTCAGCTCCAGGCCTTTACTCATGCTGGTCGGTCCCTCCATGGCAACCCTCTCCCTGGATGTTGTGGAAATATTCCCTACCCCTGTCAAGCCCCATGCGTCTGCAAGTGCGCCCTCTCCCCCACCTCCAGCCACCTGGACAGCCTCTGGGAGAGCCCCACTAAAAATGCTTGGCTGTGTCCCCACCCAGCCCCCGCTCCCCCAGGCCCTGTTCCGACCGGGTCAGACTTCCGTCTCCCCAGAGCACAAGCCCATCTTCTGACTCACCTGTGAGTCCCAGAGCCAGCAGGGGGCTGAAATGGAGCTCTGGGTTGGGCGCTTACCTGTCAGGAATGGAAGCAGCCCTTGCTGGCACCCACGTGTGCCAGGCTCTGTGCTGGGCCCCTCACTGCTGGGCCTCTAGGGAGCTCCTCAGCACCCGGAGGAGAGAGTCTAGGAGCAGGCGCCCCTGTGGTCCAGGTCCCGGGCTCCCACCCAGCTCTGCCCACACAGAGCCAAGCCCAGCAGCACCGCGAGTGACCACCAACCTGTCTTTCCTTGCAGTGGAGCGTGACCGCACGCTGGGCCACCAGGCGCCCCACTGGAAGGAGTTCCTCTTCGACCTGACCCAGATCCCGGCGGGAGAAGCTGTCACAGCCGCTGAGTTCCGGATTTACAAGCTGCCCAGCACCCACCCACTCAATGGGACACTCCACATCAGCGTGTTCGAGGTGGTCAGGGAGCAGACCAACAGGTGCCTGCCCTGAGCGCCTCCTCCTGGGCAAGACTCTGTGGGTGGGTGGGCCCTGGGGGGACATGTCCCAGAGGACAGAAGGGGGCATCCTGGGAGCACCCCCTGAGAGACAGGAGATGCTTGACCCAGGGCCCTGGCACCATGGGAGGGGCCCAGCTTCTGCTCTGGCTCCAAGCCCTGCCCTGACCTGATGGTGGAACCCTGGATGGCACTCAGCTACCAAGCCTCAGTTTCCCCATCTGCACTTGGGCACAGTAACCCCTTTGTATGGTAGATGCAGTGAGATAAGGCACAGCGGGCTCCTGGCCTAGAGCCAGGCAGGGGAGACGCCCCAGGGGCTCCAGGGTCACAGGAAAGTCAGAGGCGGCTGTGCTGGCCCCCGGTTAATTGTTCTTTCGTGTCCACAGGGAGTCTGACTTGTTCTTTTTGGATCTTCAGACGCTCCACGCTGGGGACGAGGGCTGGCTGGTGCTGGATGTGACAGTAGCCAGCGACCACTGGTTGCTGAACCGTAACCAGGACCTGGGACTCCGCCTCTATGTGGAAACGGAGGATGGTAAGCCTTGGGGGTCGCAGCACACGTCTTCCTGGGGGTTCCTCCAGGCTGCGCTGCAGATGCCCCTGAAGCCCCCTCGTTGGCCCTGGAGGCCACACCTTTCTCTGCTGTGCCCTGGGGTGGCAATTCCCTCTCCACTTTGGGTGCTCAGTGAGTAAGGGGTAAGGCTCCCACCATGTGGGGCAGCAGAGGCCCCTACAAGCCTGATCCCCTCCTCTCCTGCGGAACCAGCGCTTGAGTTGCTAAGAGACTGAGTCCATGTTTTCCCTCCCCAAGAAAAGGGTGATCCCTCTATTCTCCAGAGCAACCTTCTTTCCCCATTGGGAGTTTCTGTTCTTGGCAAGGCGTGAGAAGTGGTCAGTGAGACCTGGGATTGATCCCAGCTCTGCAGCTCTTACTGGGCCTTAGCTTCTGCTTCTGTAAACTGGGCTCCTTGACTAGCTGCTTCCAAGGACCCTCATCAGGCTCCTGGCCTGTGAGAGCCTCCAAGGGCTCCCAGTCCTGGCACAGGCCTGGCTCAGGAGCCCCGCAGGACTTCTTGTCCTGCTGGTCTACCTGTCATTGGTCCAGAAGATGCAGCTGCTCAAGAAAGAGCCAGCAACAGTCTGGCCCATGTGGACAGGGCTCTTCAGGGCCTCCCAGGGCACTCAGGCCTGGAGGGCAGCCCTGCCCAAGGCCGTGCCCAGTGTCAGCCAGGTGTGGACTTCAGTCCCTTGCAAGGTGGACCTCAGTGTTCCCCACTCCGGAGCTCAGTGCCGCCTCCTGGAGCCTCAGGCCTCCGTGTCTCATGGCTCTGCCTCCTCACAACTGGGATATGACCACTCTTCTTGTGATCAGGGCCCCAAAAGGCTTCTCTCTGGCCTCCTGCATCAACTCCTGCGGGAACAACATCTCCTCTCAGTCGGATGCTCCTGAGTGGAGCCTCCACTGGGATGGGTGCAGGTGTTGGTGATGTCAGAGGTCAAAGATTAGCCCTGGATGGATTCCTGTTTAGTCACCTGTGGCCCATGGACACGGGTCTAAAGCAGCGCTGTTCAGAGCTGACCTTTGAGCAGGATGGGGTGGGTCCAGCTGTCCGCTTGGAGCGTGTGATGGAGACGCCTCCTCGCCCTGCTGTGGAACAAGCACGTGTGTGTGTCACGTGTACAGGAGTGCACGCGTGAGCATGGGTGCACACATACACATTGTGCCGTGTGAGCCGTGTGTGCTCCTCAAGGGGAAGCGGAGCGATGGCACTGTGTTTGAGAAACATAAAAGTGAGTTAGCCATCACAGTCCTGCGTTTAGTCTAAAACGATTCCGCAGGAAAGGACGGTTCTGTGGCTCTTGTCTCTAGAGCGGAAGCCGGGAAATAGCCTGAGTGTCTAGAGAGAAGCTGTTACTTCAGCACTTTGTGCCGGGTCTGCTCAAAGGAGTCTCGTGTGCTCCGATTCGTGAGTGAGGACCGGCCTGAGAACCGCGTGGCTGGCGTTGCTGCCGCTGTGCTGGCGTCTCGGGGTGAGCACAGGGCCTGGAGGGGCAGCGCGCAGCCCCTGGCCGCCCGCCCGTGGGCCCCCGGGTCCTAACTCCGGGTTCATTGAAACTGGCTTTGCCCCGTGTGACTGCGTGTGTGAAACATTCATAGTTGACGCTTTAAGGAGGATGAAGGTGTTGCTGTGAAAACACCGGGACTCCCTTATAGACGTCTTTGTTATGCTCACACTTGTGTAAAATTTAAGCTGACCTGGGGCCTCCCTGGTGGCGCAAGGGGTTAAGACGCAACCTGGCCAGGGAGCAACCCACATGGCGCAGCAGACCTCTCCTGACCCTCCCGCTGCTCCCCTCAGCAGTGTATTTCATCAGTCTGCCTGTTCTGTTCCCCGCTGTCTCTGGTGAATCCTCTCACCCCCCACACTTCTGGCCCGTGCCCCAGCTCTTTATGCATAAATAAATAAATCTTTAAAAAAAAAATTTAAGTTGACCTGAAAACACCCCAGAAACGTGAACAGGATGTGCTGGAGAGGCCAGGGTTGATGAGGGCTAAGTCTCCTCCAAAGCGTTTCCGCGTTCACTGTGTTGCTGTGATAAAGAACAAGCCAGGAACCGCTTAGGCCGCGCAGAGGCAGAGGAAGGTAGTTTTGTGGTTGGGCCGGGCCGTGTCGGCGTGTTTTTTCACGGCAGTGGGGTGAACCCCCATTTTCACAGCCTCCTTGTCGGGGCTGAGGCCCCACTGCCGTCCCTGCCCACCGCCTTTCCTTTCTGCCGGGAGACGTGGCTCTGGAATGAGGCGTGGGGGGCCCAGCTCTGGGGCGTTGGTCAGGGGGCCCCGCCCAGGGCCCGGGGGTCCTCTGGGGGCCCCGGGGTGCGTGGGAGCTGCTGGGGCCTCTCAGAGCAAGGGCCGCTCATCCTGCAGCTGCTGGGGTCAGCGGGGGGAGACCCCACCAGAACATCCCAGACCCCCCTGGGGGTCCTGAGACCCGTGGGAGCCTGGCTCGGCCCGCGCCCCCCGCAGGAAGGGTCAGGCCAGCCCCGGGGCCTCTGGGGCTTCTCAGTCCAGGGGGGGCTCAGACCACTGCAGGGAGGGCCCGCGAGGCCGCTGCGAAGCGGCTGAGCCTCCGGTGAAGACCCCGCGGAGGGTCCCTGACCACCCCTCACACCCCAGCGGCTCAGGCCCCCTCCCGGCCTCCCTCGGACCCGCCGCGGGTGCTGGGCTGGGCGCGGGACTCCGTCCCCCCGGGGACGCCGAGGTGGCTGCTGCGTCCCCGGGCGGGCAGCGCGCGAGTGACCGCCCTCTCCTCTCTCTGTCTCAGGGCTCAGCGTGGATCCTGGCCTGGCCGGTCTGCAGGGGCGACGGGCCCCGCGCTCCAAACAGCCTTTCATGGTCACTTTTTTCAGGGCGAGCCCCGGTCCCGGGCGGGCCCCTCGGGCTGTGAGGCCCCTGAAGAGGAGGCTGCCGAAAAAAACCAACGAGCTGCCGCACCCCAACAAACTCCCAGGGATCTTGGGTGAGGGCCGGGGCTGGGCTCCGCCAGGCCCCCTCCAGCCGCCCCTCCTGGCCCATCTCCAGCCGGTAGAGCGCGGCCGCGGCACCTCAGCCTCTGGGCCTCGGCCCTCCCCGGCCCCCAGGCCCCCCCCCCAGGTCTCCATGGGAACCGGGCGCCCTTGCTCGGGGGCGCAGCCCGGGTGGCCCCCCAGGAGCCTGCGGGAGCCACAGTCGCCCGTGTGCGGCCGAGCCCTCGGGTCAGGGAAGGGCCTGACCCACCCGTGTCCTCCTTCCCTTCCTGGGGGTCGCCCCCCGGTTGGCCTCAATGTGGGCCCCTGAACCTGTGGGTGGGCTCGGCAGGAGAGGGGGAGAGGCCAGGAGGTGCCCAGGAGGGACGAGGGCGGAGCCACCGATATCCTGGGGTCTCCCCGGTGTGTGAGTGTGTCCTGGGCTGTTTATTGGGGTGTCTTGAGACCCACCGTCTGGAAGCCAGGGGAAGCTGGGCTAAGAGCAGGGACGCTTAGGAGGCGCTGAGCGCCTTGGGGAGCCACGACGGCTTCCCTCGGAACCGCAGGGAGGAGGTTGTGGAGCCCAAATGGTTTCACTTCCCGCCCTTCATTTGCTGACCAAGTGGCGCAGGGTGTCCCCTGCCCTGGTGCTCCCCTGGCCGCTGCGCACAGCAGGAGCCCCAGGAAGACCCCGCGCCCCTTCTCCCCGCAGATGAGGCGCCCGGCTCCGACGGGCGGCAGGTGTGCCGGCGCCACGAGCTCTACGTCAGCTTCCAGGACCTCGGCTGGCTGGTGCGTTCTGGGCCTCCTGCCCTCTTCAGGGACAGCCCCCGAGGGTCGAGGGTCGTGGGTGTCTCTCCAGGAGGCGCGAGGATGGGGGGATTCTTTCCTTTTCTCATGCATTTCCCCCAACCAGGTTTTCTGAAGGGCGGGGGTGCTGCTCCTAGAGTGAGAAGGCGCTTTCCATCACAATCCTGACCATGGAGACGCCGACTCCTCGGAGCTGGGCCCGGGCGGGGCGGGCGGTGGCCTGTGCGTTCCCTGTGTCCGCAGCGGCAGGCCCTGGGCACGGAGGGCGGGCGGGGAGGGACTCGGAGCCCGACGGTGGCGGCAGGGACAGCGCGTGGCCCTGACTGCCGGGGGCCCGCGGGAGAGGTCGGGCCTGGAGGGAGACCGCCCAGGAGGGCCAAGGTGGTCCACGGGCCCGAGGTGTGGAGGGGCAGGGACCCTGAAGTGGACTGGGGGAAAGGGAGGGGCCCCAGGGTCGGGACTCACCGCCCTCCTGCTCCCCCCAGGACTGGGTCATCGCCCCCCAGGGCTACTCGGCCTACTACTGTGAGGGGGAGTGCTCCTTCCCGCTGGACTCCTGCATGAACGCCACCAACCACGCCATCCTGCAGTCCCTGGTCAGTACCACGGGCCAGACTGGGAGGGTCGCTGAGGAGGGGGCTCCTGAGACCCCCAGTGAGCTGGGGTGCCGCCTGTGACTCAGGGCGCTTTCTCTGATGGGCTCCTCCCTGCGTGTACACAAACCTCTACACTGGGCAGGCAGACCCCGTGGGCCCGAGCGTGGACACCGCTCACACCCTGGGGCACACCCCTGGGGGCACTGCAGGTGCACGCGCGGGCACTCCCATGGGGAACACTCACATGGGGTCAGACTTCCACAGGCTCAGCTGCGCTGGTCAGAGGGCAGCACACCCCCACCACAGCTCCATCCGGGTCCCGCTCAGCTGTTCCCTGGGTGGTGGGGGATCTCTACCTCCCCAAGGGCTCTTGTGGACCTGGCCCCCAGGATGGGACCCTGGCGAGGAGTCTGTCTACACCGCAGCTCCCCTGCCAAGGCGCAGACGGGTATTTTTCTGGAGGCTGGAATAGCCGCTCTCGCCTTCAGGCCCCTCTCTGGTGGGAACGCTGTTCTGGAGAAGGGACGGGCCCCTGCACAGGTCAAGTCCCATCACCCTCGCAGGCAGCCAGGCAGCCCTGGGCCCCTTATGTGCCCTGGAGCCCTCAGGTCCTTCTGCCCAACAAGAAGCTTGCCTGAGAACATGTTCTGGGTGGGGAAGTGCTTGGAGGAATAATCGTGTTGAACAGCCCAGGCAAACCTAGAATTCGGGGTGTTCTTGAACAGTCACTGGCTCAGACTCTGGAGGGGCGACAGTACAGACAGGACTGTGGACAAGACAGTCGGGGCGCTGCGGGAGCTGAGAAGAGAGAGCAGCCAAGGGACCCAGAGGGCAGGGCTCAGGCCCATCAGGTGCAGGCCCGGGCAGAGGGTCCACCTGTGGGGACCAGCAGGGTCCAACTCTGAGGGGCGCAGGGAGTTGCAGTGTTCCCAGCTGTGCCCTGGGGGCATCAGGTCAGGCAGGGTCAGGAGGGCAGGGAGCAGAATTGCCTTCAGCACCACCCCGGCTGCAGGTAGCGGTTGGAGCTGGAGGGTGAGTGGCCGGAGACCCCGCAGTTGACAGGACCTGGGGGTGCTGGGAGGAGGCCGTGGCTCTCATGCCTCTGCCCACTGCCCCTCCCTGGCCAGGTGCACCTGATGAAGCCGGACGCGGTGCCCAAAGCGTGCTGCGCGCCCACCAAGCTGAGCGCCACTTCCGTGCTCTACTACGACAGCAGCAACAACGTCATCCTGCGCAAGCACCGCAACATGGTGGTCAAGGCCTGCGGCTGCCACTGAGGCCCGCCCACCTGCCCCGGGGCCCTCTCAGATCAGGGGCCCTCCAGGCAGAGTTGGCAGGGAGGGCCATCAGAGGTCACCAAGTCCATACCCTCTCGCCTTCCTGCAGAGCTTGGTCCTCTCCAGGGCCCTCTGCCCCTCCCTGCCTGAGGTTCGTGAGACTTCAGCCCCTAGTCCCAGCAGTCAGTCGTCAAGCAGGGTTTTCCCCCAGAGGCAGGTGCGTCAGCTCTCTGCGATTGGCACAGAAGTCCCGTCTGAGGAGCCGACTGAGCCACATTGCTGGTCCAGGCTGTGGACAGGTGTGGGATCACCTGTGAGGTGTCTGGAGCCCAAGATTGGCCGCTTGGGTCCTTCACTCCCCATTACAGGATGGCTGTGTGTAGACAGGATCTGGTCCATCTCCGCTTACCCTCCTCTCCTAAGTGCCAAACTGGGCACTTCTGGGCTCTGTTAAGGAGCATAGTCTTCACCTCAGTCGTGCATTTGTGCATCTGAAGCACCAGACTGCTGGCCACACTCAGGCATGTGGGTCAACTCCAGACAAAGCTGTAGGGCTGAGGCCCCTGGCATCTTTCTCCCCTCTGCCTTCCTGCTTTGATCTGCCCCTCCCGTCTGGGGAAGACAGGCCGTGTGTGGACATTTGGCCTTTGGAGAAACAAAATAATCAACTCATCTGTCTCACCAGGAGCTTAGCTCAGCGGGAAAGTCACCTTTTTGTTGAGCCATCACGGTGGACACTAGGTGACCCTGAATGACAGTGCCCGGGACAGATAACGTAATTCCCCTTTCCTATCTACAGGGCAGACATTAATAATCAATCTTGATTTTTCCTTTCAACTACGGATAGAATCTCAGCATGATTATCACAGACTCCAGCAGCCACTGCCAATAGATCAGAGTTGGCATGTAAAGGAAGATTTTCGGCCATCTTCTGCCATGCTAAGCTGCCATCGGCACCCCCTCCACCACCACCACCACCACTCCTCTGTGATGGGCAGTCTGTGGCCAGCACCTGTGTCCAGAAGTTGTCAACAAAGTCTGTGTCACCCTGTGTGTCCAGGTGCCTGGTCCTGTTTATTGGAGCCTGTCCGTCAAAGAAAAGGCCCCTGTCCCGAGGGAGTGACAGGCAATAATTAGAGCTGGGTGGAGAGGTTCCCAGAAACCACCGTTCCTGGAGCCATCAGCAGTTGGAGTGTTTATTTGATTTCTGACTTGCTAAGCCTATAATTTACCTGCTGGAGCAGACAGAGTCCAGCTGCCCAAACCCTGAAATACCGCGTCACTAAAAGCAGATCCTGGGTCCGCCCCAACCCACAGGCACAGCCCAGGACAACCTCGGCCCGACGATGCTCAACTCTGGATTCCTGCTGAACAGCCCCAGGAGGGGCTCGGGAGGGCAGGCTGGCAGCAGGGCTGGGCTGGGGCACTGTTGTGGGACAGCTGCCCCCCACCCCACCTGGAGTTTGGAGGGACCCTGGAGCAGGTGTAGAGGAAGAGACCCTCCCCGTGCACAAGGGCAGCCCCAGGCTGTCTGGAGAGGGTGAGTTACTCATTAGTGTAGGGATCTAAGCTCTGGCCTAGATGTTGGGAGACCTGACTTGTAAGGTGACTTCCTCCTCTGGGTCTCATGAAGGCATTGGGCTGTTTGATCTTCTACATGTCTTCAGCCAGGGTATCTGTGTGTGTTTCCACCAGCCTTTCTTCACACTGAGCCGAGGCAGCCTCGTCACCCTGAACTCAGCACAGATGGCCACCCCAAATCAGAGTTGGCACCTAACCTGGAACCTGCTTGCCAGTCTGGTACTAATCCATCAGCTCTCTCTTCCAAAGATCAGATTGTCTTCTAGGCAATTGTAAATTTTAAATCAGTCTGTTCTGCTGTTAACTTTTATTCTACTGGTATCGTTAGTGCCCAGCCAGTGACCCAGCACTTAGGGGGCCAGGAATGGGTGTCAAAAGACATGACGGTTTGTGGAGATGGAGTACACTTAACCATCAACAAGCTGTGCGCAGCAAGAATGAGCAGGGGACAGCCCTCTGTACCGGGTGTTGTCTGCCTGCCTGTCAGACTCGGAACAACTTTTGCCATCCAGTCACCTGATGAAGTAAAACAGAACAAGCCCTGAGTGATGCTACGATTGTGAAGGACATAGAGCCTGTGCGTTTTATCCCACAAGCCGAGCCTGCAGGTGTGCATCACAGGTGTCACCCTTTCCTTCTCTGGTTCGGGCACGGCATGTTCATCTGGTTGCAGCAGAATAGGAGGATACATTTGGGGGTCGGTACAGACCTAGGACAGCAAGCAGATGTTAGTAACCATTGATAGGGCCACAGTAACCATTGATGGGGTCAGAAGAGCTCAGGAGGTGCACGGCCTTCTTGGCAAAAGCCATGCAGTGCAGGCCTCCAGGCCCAGCACCGAATGTTGATTCTAAGCTTAGCAAGAGGACAGGTGGATTTGAATCCCAGTTCATCATCTTCTGTGGAGCAGGATAATGGTCTTTTGCTCTTGATGTATAAAGATCAGACACCACACACTTAGCATGGCAGCTGGTGTATAAATGCTTCACAGCTGGTCCCCAGTGATGTTGCTATAAATGAATTGCTAATTTGGAGCCTCTTCTGCACTTGTCCAACTGAACCTCTTCCCAGAAATGTGTTCTCTAGGTGATAGTGTATTTCTTGCAGAGCTGTGCTTTTTCCTAAATACCTAGACACCACAATCCCTTGAGGGCAGCTTGAATTCTTACCTGAGGCATGTAACTAGTTCTATGGCAGTGGAGGGGAGGTGAACCTTCATCTTGTGTCCCCAGAGATATGGGGGTCCTACTGGCCAGTCAAGGGCACTCAGTCCCCACCAGATGACTCTTCCAGCAATGGAGTTCTTTGAATTAAGAACTATCCACCTTGGGTTTCCTACTTATGGGAAGGCCTTACCTAAAATTTTGTTTTTCATTTATTACAAAATCAGGCAGATTTGGAAGAAAGTTTAAAAAAACAAACAGTTCAAATCATCAAAGTTCTATGACTCAAAAAATCACACTATTAGTATTTCAGTAAATTTACTTCTAGCCTTTTTTCTTAGTATATATATATATGTTTACATATCATAAATAAGTATTTTTACAAAACTGGGATCATACTGTACTATATCAATTGCTTTGAGATATGCTTTTTCTACATTATAAGATATGCTTTCCCACTTTATGATATGGCCAAAAATTCCTTGCTAATAAATATTTTTTGAAACACAGCTCTCTCATTTTCTATCACCTGAACTCTAATAGATTGTTTTCACCAGTAAAAACCAGGTCCCAGCACCCTTCCTGGGAGGACTGCTGCGTGGGTGCCGTGACTTTATGGATCATGCTGTGCTGGCAGCAGCTGGGGGGGGTCGATGTGCTGCTGGAGGGGAGCAGTCACAGCACAGATCCTGGGCCACAGGAGTCCAAGCGCCAGCATGCAGAGGGGTCAGGAGGGAATGTACAGGCAAAACTAAAGCCCAGGTTCTCAGTCCTGGCACTGGAGTAACAGGACAGTAGACTGGGAGGATCCAGGTAGTTCCAGGTAACAGATTTGCCCTTTGGGCTGCAGCAAAGGCCTCCACAGTGCCCGGTCCATGTTCCACCTAGGTCAGGGCCTGCCTTGGCTGAAGTAGATGGCTGAGGTGCTGTTCCCCAGGCTCTGGGGTCCCCCTCCTGCCTGGCAAAGTAGGGCTGTTGTCTCCTCACCAGGGTCCAAAATCTCAGGGACCAAAACTGTGTCCACCCCCAGGACTTTGGGCCCCCCCTGCTACAGACTAAGCCTCCATCATTCATTGCTACAGGGGTGAGGGTAGAAGTGGGGGGAGAGGCTGATCCCAGCTCTGTCACAGGCTGGGTGACCTTTCCAATTATCACTGGAGCCCAGCAAGTTCTGCTGTGGGAAGTGAGGAAATACCTGTGGACACCCTAGTAGAGTAGTGGGAGGCAGACCAGCACCCAGTGATCCAAAGAGACAAGGTCATCGTCACAATGGTCAGCCCTCTCTGGGGAGGCCAGCTGTGCCACAATCCTTATACATCCCTTCTCAGTTCTGTGACAGCCCTATAGTCATTGGTGCCATCCCCACCTCCAGTGCCTGCTCGAAGGCTGGTGACTATACAGACCGTGACTTGTGTTCAGAGTGGGGCTCGTGCTTTGAGGGTCTCTTCCGAGAGCCCTGTCGGGGTCGGGGTAGCTCCAGGGTACATCCCAGCAGGAGCAGTGCCCTCCCAACTGTAGGACAGGGAGTTCAGCGAAGGACTGGGAGCCCATCTGGCACAGTAGGGTAGCACAGTAGGGCCAGAGTGCCCATCAGTCATAGCAGTTGTTCTGGGGTCCCCAGGCCAGGGGCAGCAGGGCCACCCCAGCAGATTTTGAATGGTCTGAGTAACACAAACCATTGAGTGGTGTCTAGTGGCTACAGGGCCCTCAGCAGGGGAGGGACTCAGGCTGCTTACTACGCGGAGGGGAAATAGCTACACACAGGAGGACCAGACTGAATTCTTCACAGGGTGGCACCACTTGTCTCATTCGGTGGTCAGCAAACTTGTTTGGTAAAGGTTCGGACAGCAAGTGCTTTGGGACTGTGCTGGCTAACTGATGTGTCCACTGGCATGGGCAGAGCATTTAGGTTTTGGTCAAACACCAGTGTAGATGTTGCCATGAAGGTATTTTTCAGATGTAATTAACATTTACATCAGTGGACTTGGAGAAAAACAGAATACCCTCCATAATGTGGGTGGGCCTCATCCAATCAGTTGAAGGCCTTAATGACAAAGACTGGGGTCACCAGAGGGAGGAATTCTGCCTTGAAACTTGAACTGCAACATCAACTGTTTCCTGGGCTTTAGCCTGCTGGCTGCCCTGCAGCTTTCACACTCACTAGGTCCACAAAATCAGAGTCAATTCCTTAAAACAAAGCTCTGTATACACCCAGCCTGTTGATTTTGTTTCTCTAAAGAATGCCATTGGATGGTGGGACATTCATTGTGGCAATAGTGTTTGTTGCCAATTATTCAACACCGCCCCTGCGGTGAGGAGGCAGCCATCGACAATAAACAAATGGATGTGGCCATGTTCTGATAAAACTTTATTCACAGAAATAGGCAGCAGGCTGGGTTAAACCCACACGGTTTACTGACCCCCTGTCTCCTGACAAAAAATACAGCACCTGGCATAGAAGGCACTCTGACATACAAAATATCACTTAACAAACCAGTAGAATTAAACTGGACAAATAAAGCACGAGTCATTGGGACTGGCAAGGGTACTTACTGGCCATCAGGCTGGCCAGCATGAGATCAGGAGTGCAGGCAGCAGAAGGCAGGCACTTTCCTACTATCTTTGGCTCCAGGTCCTGACAATGGCCTTGCAAACTCTCACCTGGCCTCTTAGGGAGCCACCCAAGGGAGGAAAGAAAGCTGCAGGAGGCCGCTGTGCTCTATGCCTTTACCCACCCATCTCAGTGAGACAGCTCAGCCACAGACGCAATCCCTGACAACCCCCAGGAACCAGCTAGAGGCAGCAGTACAAGAACTAAGATTTATTTTACCACAAGAATCATCCAAAAGCCACACTCGTGGGCCCAGGAAAGGCCCTGGCAGCAAAAGTCTGGAAAAGGCCAAGCACAGCCATCCACAAGGGATGCCTAAGCTGCTCCTGGGTGCAGGGCCAAACTTGGGGAAGAGCCCTGAGGAAGCCCAGGCTGCACCTGCAAGGGAGCTGCTCCAAGCTGACCCTGAGGTAGGGCCAGGACACAAACCCCTACGTGCTGCCAAGGGGACACACTCAGGTGCTGGTTTCTGGCCCGACGGCTCCTGATACAGGAGCCATGCAGAGAAAGTGCCGTCTTACATGTACTCCCCGCAGTCAGCGATGAGCACCTTCTGCTTTGGTTTCCCGTCCTTGCTGCCCTGGGCCTATTCAGGCAGAACAGAAATCAATAAGGAGGGTGGAGAGTAAGGAGCAGCTCAGGCACACCCACCCTAAACCCCACTCCAACCCGAGCAGGAGCAGTCATCCTCTGGAAGCAGCCATGAGCCCTCCACAGCTCTCCCACAGGGACCCAGGCGGCCACCCACCTCAATCTGTCGCAGAACATCCAGACCTTCTGTGACCTCCCCGAACACCACGTGCTTGCCATCCAGCCAATCTGTCTTATCACACGTCAGGAAGAACTGGGAGCCATTCGTGTTTGGGCCAGAGTTGGCCATGGAGAGCAGGCCTGGGGGAGAGGACCACATCAGTTCCCTCCATCTTGGCCCTCAGCACATCCATGCAGGACACAGAGCCACACAAATGCTGCTCGGAGGTGGAATAAGATGAGGGCCAAGAGGTGGCTCCTAACAAGATGGAGGCTGTTGGCATCTTTGATAAGATGGCTTCAGTGGAAAGGCTAGAAGTCTGGCAGAGATGAACAGAGAGAATAGAGGTAGAGTCTACACAACTTCTTTGAGAAGTTTTGACTAAAAAGGAGACCAGGAGTGATGACCATGAGAGGTATGAATGATAGTGGAGGGGGAAATTGAAGTCAAAGGATAATTCTTTTTTTTAACAACCAAATTTTATTTTATTTTTTGAAGTATTTTTTTTTAAAGATTTATTTATTTATACAAGAACTGGGGTACAGGTCAGATGTGTGGGAGGGTGAGAGGATTCACCAGAGACAGAGCAAGGAACAGAACAGGCAGGTTGACTGAAATACACTGCTGAGGAGAGCAGCAGACAAGATAGGAGAGGTCTGCTGTGCCATGTGGGTATCTCCGCAGCTGGTGGGGATTGAACCGGCACTGCAGAGGCTGCGGACAGCTTCACAGTGCTGCGCTCAACCACCTGCACCACCAGGGAGGCCCAAAGGATAATTTTTTTTAAAAAGATGGACACTGCATGCTTTTACGCTGATGGACTGACCTGGCAAAGCAGGGAAAGGGATTACACAAGGCAGCTGTGAACAACTGCAAAAGCCATGTCCCTAAGTAGGGGAGAAGGAGTGGGAACTGAGCAGAGGGGCTGGCCTGAGGGAAGACAGGTCATCCCTTGTCCTCAGAAGTCAGAGCACGCATGTGTGGAGAGGTGCAGGAGGCCCAGCCTAGCTGAGGTGGAGGGTGAGGTGGCGGCTTCGGGACTGAAGGAAGGACGGGCTCATCATTCTGACCAGGACTCAGCATTAAATGGGAGAGGCTAGTAAGGCTGCTAAGGACCTCTGAAGAACTATACACTTCAAGCCAACCACTGAGACAGTTCTGTGTTTTTCTCTAGTTGCTGGGGGATCAACCACTGAGATTTTTTTTATTGGGTCAATCTAACAGAGAGGGGGCAGTGGGGCGGAAGCAGTAAGAGCTTACAATGGCAGCCACAGAACAGAAGCTAGGGAGTGAAGGGGAAGTGTGTGTGAGTGAGAACAAGCGCGCTCCACTCCTAGCCAGGCTGACCTCTCTGCTCTGGAGCTCCTCCAGCTGGGGCTCCCCACCCAAACCCCTCAACCCGTCATTTCATCTGGCACAGCCTCCCACCGCCTTGCCACCACCCACCCATCGGTCTCACCTGGTCCTGTGTGTTTCAGGATGAAGTTTTCATCATCAAACTTCTTCCCGTAGATGGACTTGCCCCCTGTGCCGTTGTGATTCGTGAAGTCGCCCCCCTGGCACATGAACTGGGGGATGATGCGGTGGAAGCTGCTCCCCTTGAAGCCAAAGCCCTTCTCATGGGTGCACAGGCAGCGGAAATTCTCTGGAGATGAGAAAGGAAAAGGGCGCAGGTTAAAAAAACGAAGAAACAAAATCTCTAACCAGACTATGAAAACTATGTTGTATTTCTGTAATGTTTATATTTTCATTTTCAACCTCTGCAATACTGACATCTTGAAGGATTACAGGGGATTCTGGTTCAAGAAGGAAGAGTAATAACCTATGGCCTAACCAACTTATAGTAACTGTATAAGGAAGATGAAGGGGGAGGGAAGGTGATTTAAAAAGCTTATTTTTCAAAGTGGGATGCCAATAGATGTCTAAACTGAAAAAAAAAAACAAAAAAAAAAAAACAAAACAGAAGTAGCAACATAAATCTGTTCTACCAATATGAACATAAAAACCGAAAAGAACCAGCTGACAGTTGAAGTCAGCGGCTGTGAAGAGCAGCAAAAGGCACTGGAGGCGGGTGAGGCAAAGGGGCAGCTCCAGGAGACTGTTGTTTTTCTTAGAGCAAGCTTTGTGAAGTTGACTTTTTTAATTTATACAACTATATAATAAAATTTAGATTTAAAAAAATAACTAGAAGTCAATATTTAACAAACTAGAAGGAATTCTCAATAAAGCGAGTAGAGTGACTATTAGACAGTAGGTCTAAAAGTAGAGATAGAAAGCTTAAGTTTTTAATTTATTGCCTTGTATTGTTGGAATATATGTATGATTTATTTTTTTTTACCATGAATACAAATTTACTTGTAATTAATGAACAAGAGCAGTCTTCAGTAATGCCTGGTCTGACTCATCAGTTACGAGAGCTCAGGATCTGAGGTGTTTCAAATCAACTCAGGTCGGAACCACGTCAAGGTCATGAGAACTGAGACGGCGAGAACCACGGGGAGGCTCACTGCTCAGCCACCAGCCCCGTGCTCCTGACCAGAGTCTGGCTCACCTGCCGTCATGGGAACGACGTCTGAACGCAGGAGGATCTGGATGCGGCCAGCCGGCTTGTTCCCAATCTTGATGTCCATGTACACCTGAGGGTTTGACCGGGCCTTCTTCACAGTGGGCTCTCCCTGGGCACGGAAGAAACCGCTAGATTAGAGAGAACTCCTACCCCCCCAAGTAGGAGATCATTGCTTGGGAAACACACCCAGAACCCACACAGTGAGCAGGCTGCAGGTGATGCTGACAGGGAAGGCAGAAGACAGGGCCACAGCACCTGGCTGGACAGGAGACCTCCACGCCACAACCCATAGCCTCCTCACCTCACCACTTGCCCTGCAGGCACACAACAGCACTTTCCAGGCCCACAAAATACAACTCCCAACATCTTCAAACCCCAGCTGGAGCCCACCCACTAGTGCAGTTAAGCTGCCCCACTCATGCACACCACAACTCTTTGCATGCAGAGCCCTGCACAGCCACAGGCTGGCTCTGATGGGAGCAAGGAGGGTAGCCTCTGGCTTGGGCTTAAGCACTCAGGTGACAATGAAGGATATCGTGCTTTGTGCTCCGAGGAGACAAAGTTAATCAGAAGACACAGAAACATTTAATATAGTCATTACCTTTATTCCATAGAGAGGAATCTTATGTTCTTAACTTGCTTATAGTTCAGCTTAACAAATGCACTGAGGATAGCATTATTTGCCGCTGACAATAGCAGTGGTGCAGCAAATACATAGCCTTTGCCATGTACAGGGTACTATTCTATATGTTCTATATATACTAGCTCATTTAACCCTCACGACGACTCTTGAGATCAACAGTACCACTATCAGCCTCATTTTATAGATGGGGAGAGTGAGGCACAGTAAGGTTCAGTAACTTTTCCAAGGCACAGAGGCGGTAAGTGGTAAAGCTAGAATTCAAACCTAAATCCTCACCCCCATGCTCTTACTCACATTACCCCACCTCACATTTTCATTAAGAACATGCATAATACATCTTCACAAAGGCTACTGCCTCAGGACACAAAAGTATTAATCACCTGAGACCTTACACAGAAACAAGGGGAAATACAAGGATTGATTTTACTGAGTGTCAAGTGGGATGCAATGTGGACAGGAGGAGATGTGATGGGCAAGGTGGACAGTCAGGAACTTAGCACCTCTGGAAGTAAAGCCATGAAAATTGTAATGGGGAGCCAGGGAAAGTTCTCAGCAGGAGAGTCAGATGATCAGTCTTTTACTTTACAGAGATCATTCTAGCTGTCTTTATGACAGACTGGAGGAGAGCAAGACTGCAGCCAAAGGCCAGTTAGGAAGCTAAAGCGGCTATCTAAATGAGACCAGAGGCTACCTTGGGTTCCCTGGGACAATGGGGCAAACAGGAGGAGTAATTCAAGGATGACGTCAGAGGAAAAAATCAGGACATGATGATGTCTGTTTAATTTTAAAGAGGGACCTAGGACGACCTAAAATTACCTAGGTCGTGCTCTGCTTGGTATTGGAATTTCTGACTTGGGTCAATGTGTGGATGGATGGTGACAAGTGAACAAGCTTGAGAAGACGGGAAAAACAGGATTAGAGAAGGCAGAGTCTGTTTTAGGCAACTTTAAGCTGTCTGTGAGACTTGTAGCAGGAATGTCTGGAGCTCAGGACTAGGAGTGTCATAGCACAGGAGAGGCTGCATGAAACCAAAGTATGACTTCTACTGTTCTGGCTGAGAGAATAGAGATACCAAGAGGCAAGGAGATATCTAGGAGGAGTACAGGCTCATAGTCTGAGAAGTGGCCAAGAGAAGCACACTGAGGGTCAGGAGAAAGTGCCAGGCAGTTGTCCTAGGGAGGGAGAACCCCATGTACAGACTGAAGGGAAGGCACTATCACCCTGTCCTGCCGCCCCTGTGACAGCACAGGAACTGGACCCCAGTGAACCTGGTGCCAAACACTTTAGTTAAGAGGAGGGCTGGTTGTGGGCCTCCCCTGGTGGCGCAGTGGTTGAGCACTGGGCTGCGAGGCTGCCCACAGCCTCTGCAGCGCTGGTTCATTCCCCAGCTGCCGGCGAGGGCCCAACAAAAAAAAAAAAAAAAAAAGAGGAGGGTTGGTTGGGAGGGTGAAGGGGGCAATCACTGCTTATCCTCACCCAGGCTTCCTCCTTGTTGGCAGCGATCACAAATCAATCTGAGCAGAGCACAGAAGTACATGACTCAGAGCACAAGGATGAGAGACCCAACGCTCTTTCTTAAATCACTCAATCCACCTTCACCAAGTACTAAGAGTTCATTTTCCATTCTCTGCTTTTGTATATCTATTTGCAAATTACATTAAAACTGGGGAAAAAAACCAAACAAACAAAAAGCAAAAGTCTCCCATGGAAAGCACTGCCTGTCTTTGGAATTGACATGTCTTCCGTCTCACCTCCTGGGGTTCTACTTTGGGAGGTTCTGACCCTTCTTCTTCTTTATTTTCTTCAAGAGTCTTTCCAGAGAACTTCTTCAACCAGTCATCATCTGACCAAACTGAAAGGAAAGAAATGAATAACTGTTAAGAAATTCAAGCTACCAGCCAAGCGCTAATTAGCTGCTTTGGTCAGCAAAGTAAAACATACTGTGTGTCCTCGCAGCCAAAAGGTTCCGCTACAGGGACCCCAAGGGAAGTCCCCCTTGAGAAGGCAGCCTTGAGTCCAGCTCTCAGCAGGGCTAAAAGGGCCATGCCCAAGGGAAAGGGGAAGCCTTGGAAGGTCCAGACCATGATGGAACACCCCAGGAAGGGAGTGTCAGAAAACTGGGACAGATACAAGATCAGGCTGGGATTCTCTCAGGATAGAAACAATCACCCTGGCTTGCTGAGAACCTCAAACTCTTTTTATTTATTCACAATGATGGTGATACCCTTCACCAACATGAACTATCCTCTACTGTCCAATAGGAATGGCATTTGGTGCCTACCTCCAAATAAAGAGACTACAATGCAACTAAGGCCCAGCCAGAGGACATGATGGGGAATCTGGGGTTGCGCCCACTCACCTGGTCTGGATGAGCCTTCCTTAATCCTCATTGGTTTGGCCAAGTTGACACGAATTGTCCGTCCAAAGAGCTCAGATTCATTCTGAAAAGTGTAAAAATCCAGCTGTTAGGTTAAAAGAGAATCAGACAGCTTATCATTTGCTTCTGATACATCTGAAACACGCTCATGATTTGTTATCCTTAGGCCCTTAATAGAAAACTATGCACCCACTACAAAGAAGCCCGTGGGTTGCAGAGAATTTCCTTTCTGGAATCATCACACGCCTCCTTTCTTTCAGTACCAACACAAGTCTAAGCTACCAAAAACAACTCTGGTTTCAGGATGCTTTGAAATTACAAGAATAAATGCAGTTTCCAAGCATGCTGCACTACCGGGGAAGGCTCCTAATTGCATGTTTGATGAAAGGTTTGCTTGTTAACTTTTTTGTCATAAAACTAAAAATAATGAGGGCCTCCCTGGTGGCACAGGCAATTGAGCGCAGTGCTGTGAAGCTGTCTGCAGCCTCTGCAGCACAGGTTCAATCCCAGCCGGCTGCGGAGATACCCACATGATGCAGCAGACCTCTCCTGTCTCGCCCGCTGCTCCCCTCAGCAGTATATTTCGGTCAGTCTGCCTGTTCTGTTCCCCACTCTGTCTCTGGTGAATCCTCTTACCCTCATGCACATCTGGCCTGTACCCCGGTTCTTGTATGCAGGAATAAATAAATTTAAAAAAAAACCAAAAAACTGAAAATAATGAAATTTTCTTATAGTTAAAATTTAGGTTTAACTATGCACTAATTTGTACAACAAAAATGTATTATATACTGATCACTTTGCAGTATTTAGGCAAATACTGCAATATAGAGCAAAACTCTATCAACAGTACATGACATCATTATGATTCATGTGTGATATGAAGATAAGATCTCAAAGAGGGCACAAATACTCAAGCACTTCCCAAGGACCTCTCCATGATAGTCAAATCATCTGCATCAGTAGCGCACCCCATCACCATCCCCAATGAAATTCTCTTCTCAACTGTTAACTGGCTTAACCTCTCACTAACTGCTGTCTCTTTTGCAAAATATGCAGCTTCACTGGGCAATCAATTTGCATTGTGTTTACAATTTATTATCTTAGACATGAGCAGTCAGTGAGAGGTTAGCCAATTAGCCAACAAGGATGATTGGGATTTACATTATTGTTAAATGGGGAAAGATAGTAGAGAAAGGATGATTTTATAAGTGATCAATTCACAGTAAATATTTTCACATGATGACAATTTTCACTTTTCCATGCAACCTTGTAACTTTGGAGGTTTAGCAAACCAACGTATGAATAAGCATCCTCTGTACCGCCAAAAAGCAACTTCAGTAAGGAGAACTCCCAATCATACCATGTTGTCGATAGCTGCTGCAGCATCCTGCCAAGAACAGAAAATGGACAAGTTGAGGCTTGAGACTCAATATTGCTTGTGGGGTCTAACCACTTACTCAAAAGCAAAGCCCCCAGGAAAAGAGCTACTTCTCTATTTCCTTTATAGGCCATGCACATGTCTAACAAACAGCACTTTCTGACTGACTTCAGAGATGGTGGTACAGCAATTTGCTACCTGCTGGAAGGCATAAGAATAATCACCAGCGCTGCCAGGGAAGTGCTCTGTGAGCAAAGCTGCAGGAGCTCTGCAGAGACGAAGGGTAGGACCTGGCAGGTCTGTAATGATAATCACAGTCCATAATTTGATTAAGTGAGGTAAGCTTTCCTCCAAACAGCACTTCTTGTCAGTCTGGAAGCAACAGTATGAGGGCCCAGAAATCTAACCAGATGGAGAACAGCTCCCTTTGTAATAAGTAACAACAATAACATAAGCCAAAGACTAAACATAGCATAGGTAACATGAAATTTTCTCACCTCTGCCAACTCAAATTCAACAAAAGCAAATCCTCGATGCTTTTCTGAAAAAAGGGAAAGTGAAATCAAGTAATTACCATGTGGGACAATGGGAAGAAACAGATGGTCACAAGGAAAATGAAGTCAGTCTCATACCACAACCAGACACTAGGAATTCTATCCAAATGTTATTTAAGAAGAAATCTCACTGTTTCATTCTTCCTAGTTTAAGCGACATTTCAAACAATATTAAATCTTGTATTTTAATGAACATAGCTACATAATGAACTATACTTTAATATTTAAAATAAGCATGACTTGGAATTAAAAATAAGTAAAAAAATAAATAAATAAAAATAAGTAAAATAAGCATTAGATTCTTTTACCAAAATCAAATCAAAATTTTTTTTGCATGCAAGGCAGAGAGAAAAATTAAGTCATTTAACCTACCAATTATTCATTCCAAATATCCATCTTGAGCATCAACCAAGCATAAAGCATGAAACCTAAAACATGGGTAAGGATGCATAATCTTTACCCTCAGGAAAATGCTGCTCTAACTAGAAAGGCCAACCACAACAGTGTTTATTTAATTAGGTGATTAACTTTAGAGACCATACAGCCTTATTGTGTTTTACAAATAAAGATCCCAGGTCCAGAAAGTTTAAAAGCTTTGCTAACAATTGCAAGGTTGATGATAAAACTGGACTTAGCACCAATATTAAAAATGACAAGAAAGGTTAAACAGAAAATTGACCTGCAAATGCATGCCAATCAAAGGAAAATGTATCCATAAGTAAAGAGGCCAAGATCTCACCCACTGTTGGGGCTGGGCTTATCTGTTGCCCTGTTTAATAGTACAGCTGCCTAAGGGAGCAGGTACAGTGGGATACCCAGGGGTAGTTTGGAATATCAGTCAGATCTCCATGCAACTCAAAACCATTTTCCTACTGGGATGTTGAAATTGTGTGTTATCTCAAACCCAATAGATAGGACTCTGCAAAATACATTATAATGCAGAATCACACCTCAGAATAATCCTTTAGCATCACAATCACTGTCATGTACCCTCCTGAACTTTCATACATACCATTTAGAATGCACTGTGATACAACTTAAAGCAATGTTTTAAATTCTTTTCCTAGCAGGATTCTGAACATGAGCAACACTAAAAGGACTTGCCTGTTTCATAATCCAGAGGAATTTGAATATCTGTAATGTCTCCAAAAGGGATAAATGCAGCATGAAGAACTTTGTCGTCCACCTCCTCTGCCAGTCCTCCTGCAAAGAAGCCAAATGACTTCTGACTCATTGTGCTCCATTCTCTTGAGAAGTTCCTGCAGCCCAGTTAGCATGTTACAACCAAGGGGAGGGGTCTTTCCATCCAGTCTTTGGGATGGAAAAGCGTACAGCATACACTTGGTAGATGGGTAGTAAGTATCCCATCTAATCTACTCCTTCACCCATACTCATAAAGCACATTCTTAGCTTCACCCTTCATTCAGACCTTTATCTAGTCCCAGGATTACTGCAAGAGCTTCTTAACAGACCACCCTCTCTTCCACACAGCCAACTAGAATGTTCCTGGGAACGTGCAGATTTTAAACCATTACTTAACACCCTCAAAGGTTTCCCACTGCTTGAATAAAGTATAAACTACCTAGCAGCGTACACACGCTCTTCATAAACCGAGTCTCACCCATCTTTTCAGCCTCTCTCTCTTTGCTTCCCGAATTCCCTGAGTTTCCCGCAACATAACCCAGTTGCCTCCAAACGTAAGGCTATTTCACATATTTGGGCTTTTGCTCTTGTTGCTTCCCTTCAGTAAACACACTTGTCCCAACTTTGACTGATGACAGCTTATCAACTGCGTCTTCACCACATCCTGAAAGTTTTGGTCTCACTCTCCAGATGGAGGGTTTACTTCCCCTTGCACCCAGGTCCATGTCATCATAGTCTGTCCCCATCAAATCTCTCATCAAACTATTCTAGTGAAATTACTGTCACTTCTACCTCGCTGATCTGGCATCCCTTCCTTTACGGCAGAGGGCGGCGTTGAAGCTTTACAAAATAAATGGGCGGGAGGGTTTGAAGTCCATAATATGTCTCTACCAAAGCTCGGAGCCCAGATGAGGTGTTCCTGTTAAATGGTTTAACTGGCTTGGAAGGGAGACGGAAAAGTTCGTCGCGTCTATGGTTCAAACCTTAAGACAAAGCAGTACAACCACAGATCCGAACGAGACAGACGCTCGCAGCCCTCCACGTCCTGAGACGCGTCCCGCCCCAATCCCGGACCCAGCCGGGGTCCGGTTCGCCCAGTCTCCGCTTAGAGCCCGCGCCTGCTCACCCACGTACAGCACACGCTTGGTAGTGGCCATCTTGCTCCCGCGCTCTTCCGCCGGAAGTCGGCGCTAAGCCCGCCCCTCTCCGAGGCCCCGCCCCGCTCCAAGGCCCCGCCCCGCTCCAAGGCCCCGCCCCGCTCCAAGGCCCCGCCCCTCCAGCTTCGGTCCGCATCTCTGGGACAGGGGCTCTGAGGCTACAGCTGAGCCTGCGGGTGAAGGGGCACTGCGACGAGCAAAGCTACTTGTTCGGTGGGCAACAGCCCTCGACCAATCCCTTGGTGTCCGAATAATAAGCTCTGGTCCTCGGGCCATGCGCGACCTGTTTTGGGGCTACCTGTCCAAGTTGTCAGGACGAGCTCAGTGGAAGCAGGACTCCCTGTGCTGTGCTCTTCCTTCCTTACTGTCTTTCTCCCGAGGTGTAGGGGAACACACCACTGCAGGAAACGAAATAGAGCGGTAGCAGCAGCAACAGCGCCCACCTTCTGGGCGGCTTCTTTCTTGGCATGGTGAGCCTGCAGAACTGCCACAGCTTCATCCACCTGGGAGAGACCCCCAGGGGTCGGTGACGCGAGACGAGTCCCCTATCTCCCACCCTGCCCTGGTGTCCAAGCCCAGCGTTGTCTTCGCCTGGTGCTGACCACTCTCCCCAGTGCCCACACCTCAGCAGCCCTCCGGAGCAGCGCTGCGGCTGCAGGGCCCCGCTCACCTTGGAGCGGAGAGACTCGGGGGACTCGAGCATGTGCAGCAGCTCCGAGTTGTCGATCTCCAGCAGCATCCCCGTGATCTTCCCCGCCAGGTTCGAGTGCATCGTTTGGATGAGCGGGAACAAGCGTTCTCCTGAGGGAAAACACCCGATTAAAATGCAGGTGGAGTCCCAGTAAAGAAGGATTGGCTTCCAGGTCAGTACTAGGCTCTGGTGCCCTGTTATACCAGCATGTGGGGTTCACTCACCCAGCATCTGTTCCTGGGCAGGTACGGCCAACGTGGAGGCAGTCGGGGGCTCTTGCACTTGAAAGTGGACAGCAGGTTGAGATGCCAGGGAACTAGGAGAGGCAATGGGTTAACACCAAGGAAAGGACATTTGAAGATGGTCAAGGTTAAGCGAATCCAACCATTTAACACCTGAAAGCTACTATTCAGAATACCATTCAGGAGGGGGAGAAGAGGTACAGTCTCTGAGCAAATTCAGTCCACTGAGAGGGGAGTGGTGGAAATATAAAAGCTATATAGGTTCTCACATATGTATTCATGCATATACTACAATGCAATGAGACAAGAAAGGGGTGGGGAAGTGAGCTCACAGAGAACAAACTTGCTCTGTGCCAGGCTTAGCAGAGGCTGCTATTTCAGATATTTAGTTTTTACTGATTTTTCCAGGTAGAGATTATGACCCCCATTTTACCCACGACACCCAACAAAGTCAAGTAATTTGCTCACATTGAATTTGTTTGTGGATACACAAAGCTACACTGTCTTTAGTGCTAAACCTTTTTTCTGAAGACCACACTATCCTTCTTTGAAGGGATTCCCAGAAGTGATTGGGCCAAGGGCATGCACATTAAAGAAGTTATAATTATTATATACTGTTGACCTCAAACAAAAGCAATAAGTATTCCAACAAGAAATTTTGTTTTTCAGATACAAAACAGAAAAGGGGGAGACTGGCAGGTAAATTTGCAGCAAGACCCCAGGCACTTCCCTGAATCCAAGGCAACAAGCCTTGGAGAACCAAGGCTTAGGAGAACCTCCCTCTGAGTCCAGACAGAAGGGGAAACAATACACTTCCCTTGGGAGAGGTGATACACACTGGGTCCTATTGCAGTTTGTTGATTTGTGCCTCATTTTAATAGGGTTTCTTGATATGATTGTTCATAATACCATATTACCTCTCATAAAATGCTCGAGAAACATTAGATGTTCTAGATGTCAGTGTCCAAATGCTTCTATGATGGCATTGATGACCTTGAGCCTAAAAACAGTCCCTGAAGTATATGGAAAGGATTCATATCTTTTCACATGGCATTAGTTTTGGAAATCCCATCTGTGGGTAATCAATGAGCTCATATATATTATGGCTCCCCAAACCTTGGAAACTTCCCAAGATGTCTTTTTTTATGTGAATGTGGTGAATTTTGTAAAGCAGTTAAGGATGGAGGCTGGCTGCCTGTAGAAGCAACCATGTGATTAGAGGGTTGGAACATTAGCCCCTTCCCCTGACCTCTGGGGGTGGGAGAAGAACTGGAGACTGAGTTCAATCACCAATGACCAATGAGTTAATCATTTGTGCCTATGTATTAAAAACTCAATAAGATGGGGTTTGGAGAACTTAGTTAACATGTTGAGATATGGGGAGAGTGGTGCTCCTGGACAGGACACGAGAAATTCCATGCCTTTCTCCACACCTTGCTCTCCGCGTGTCTTCCTTTTGGATGTTCGTCTATGTCTTTTGTCATATTCTTTTACAGTACTAATGCTTTATCCACAGGGTATGTTTTCCAAGACCTCTAATGGGTGCCTAAAACCATGGATAGTATCAACTCCTACATACACAGTGCTTTTTCCCCATTCATGCATACTTCTGATAAAGTTTAATTTCTAAATTAATAGGCACATAAGAGGTTAACAACAATAGTATAAAAAACTAGAGTAAGACAACAGACTGTAATAAAATAGAATGATTAGAACAATATACTATAATAAAAGGTTAACAACTATCACTTAGAATTAGTCAAACAATACACTGTAGTGAAAGTTAGATGAATGTAACTCTTTCACTCTCAAAATATCTCATACATAATTCAGACCATAGTTGACCACAGGAGACTATAGGTAGTTGAAACCATGGAAAGAAAAATTGTCAGTAAGGGGGATCTAGCAATCCAGAAATGAAATGTTTCTCTGAGTCTCCTGTGAGTTGCTGTGCACACTAATCAAGCTCAAGGGTGGGGGTCATGAGAACCTCTGATTTATAGTTGAAATTCAAGGAGGGGACCATTGGAACCTTCAAGTCAGAAGTACTGCAGTCTGAAGCAGGTGTTCAGGGGGTCAAGGCAGTATTGTAGGGCTGAACCTCTAATCTTCTGGAATCTGATGCTATCTCTAGGTAGATAGTGTCAAAATTGAGTTGACTTGTAGGACACCCATCTGCTGTCCCAAGAACTGCTTGTTGGTGGGGGGGACTTCCTCCCCTACATGGAATTGGTACCAGAACCCTCTTAACATCTATAGAAAGTATTAGAAAATGAATGGCAGAGAGAAACCTAGATATAGGCCTATCTCTCTCATATTTGAAGGGAGGAATTAGAGATCATGATCAAACTTAGCACAATTTGTATCTATTTTTTAAACCCCCCTTCTCTTCATTTTGAGAACAGGGACCATATCAGTTTGTTTATCACTGTAACTCTAACCCACTGCACAATTCCTTGGCATTTAGTGGAGCTTTAATATCTGATGAATGAAGCAGAGAAAAGCTTCTTTCAAATAAAGTTGAAATGGAAAATTCTATTCTTAGCACATAGGGTGCCTGAGCCTCCTCTGCAGAGGCTGAATCACAGGACGTGGGCTGCTGACACTGGAAGTACATTTATGTGGAGCAACAGCCCAAGGAGGACTGTGAGCTTGAGTGGTGGCTGGGGTGCTAAGTGCCGCACAGCAGCAGGGACTGCTAAAGAAAAAAACAAACCAAATTCAAGTCCATCAATCTTGGCAACCACAATCTCCAGGCATCTACCTTCCTCTGGTTGCTGAGTCAATGTTTGTTCCATGGAGACACTTCCAGTGTCAGCAGCCCACGTCTAGTCCTGTGTGAAGGACTAGACGCTAAAACACTCTCTCTACTAGCCAGGGGTAGGTTTCCTCACTGGTGGCAGGAGGGACAGGACCCAGAGCTGGTGGCCACTTTCCCTGCCTGGTGCTATCATCTCATAGCACTGGCTCACACTGCCCTAGACTTCAGTCCTGGGTCTGGCAGGGTCCCCGTTCTAATAGGACGGTTCTAAATGTAAAACTGCTTTGGAATTATGGGAGGGTCTACTCTCAGAGTTTCTGAAGTAGTAGGTCCAGGGTAGTGTTGAGAATGGTCATCTCTAAGTGACACTGAAGCTGGTGTCCTGGGAAGAACTTCGGGAACCACCCATTCCAAGAAAAGTAGTGACATATGAAGGGTAGGGCTGGGGAAGCTATCCATCCTGGGTGCAAACAATAAAGGGGTGTATTGTCTGTAGATAATTTTCAAGTAATTATAAAACAACTAGAAATTCACTTATGTTTTTTTATCATCATCCTGCTTGGGCAATTCTGAACAATATCAGTCACAAAATACTCCTGGAAAAAAATATTGCTCTGGTCTAAGTTGAAGTAATTACTTGCTTACTCTTGTATATGTTTCAAAGTAGCACATTTTAATTACTTATCCTTAATCAATAATGAATTTTATATAAGAGCTTTATATAAAAGCTAATTTGGGAATCTAATTATACAGTAAGAGAGTGAAATGATAACTCCCCAACACAACTGGACTTAGAGATAAGCACTTATTTGTAAGGTTCTTAGTGGTTCAGGATGGTCTGAGCTCCTTCAAGCTCACTTTGGGCACAGTTTGTGTATCTACTGCTTATTTTACTACAGATCCCTGCAATTAAGTAGTCGATTCAAAATTTTAAAAGGATATAGTTTGTGTAATTCTTCTTTTTTACTGGGGTGAATTTTTAGATGAGGTTAATAAAGCAAAAATATTTGCAAATAGTAGGATTTTGTCTTGAAAAATACACAGTAAAATATTAAGCTTCAAAATTGTCTTTGGGATTTGGTAACATTTCTTAGATAAGACACCAAAAGCACAAACAACAAAAGAAAAAAGCTAAATTAAATTTCACCAAAATTAAAAGCTGTTGGGCATTAAAGAATATTATCAAGAGAGTAAAACGGTAACTCACAGAATGGCAGAAAATATTTGCAAATAATAAATGTTTTAAAAACCTAGTATCCAGGGCCTCCCCGGTGGCGCAGCGGTTGAGCGCTGGGTTGTGAAGCTGCCCGCAGCCTCTGCAGCGCCGATTCGGTCCCTGGCTGCTCCCCGGCCACCAAAGGAGGGTCCCACATGGCGTGCAGACCTCTCCTGCCGCCCGCTGCTCCCCTCAGCAGTGTACTTCAGTCCTTCTGCCTGCTCTGCTCCCCGCTCTGGCTCTGGTGAATTCTTTCACCCTCCGGTGCTTCTGACTGTACCCAGTGCTTGTTTGTATGCATGTATGTATGTATGTATGTATGTATGTATGTATGTATGTATGTATAAATAAATAAATCTTTAAAAAAAGTCTAATATCCAGATTCTGTTTAAAGAATCAAAAGAAAATATTATGACTATGAGTCAGCAAATAGGAAATCTCAAACCACTGGAAACCACAAAAAAGAACCAAATGTAAATTCTAGTCTTTTCAACTCAACAACAAAAGAGCAAACAGCCCTATTTAAAAATGGGCAAAGGACTTGAATAAGCATTTCTCCAAGGGAAAATACAAATGGCCAACAAGTGAATGACAATTGCTTATATCACTTCTAAAGAAGCTGAACTCACAGAAACTGAGGATATTGGTGTTTACCAGGGCATGGGGGTAGGGGAAATGAGGAATGCTGGTCAAAAGGTACAAAGGTCCAGTTATAAGATGAATAAGTTCTGGAAGTCCATTGTACAGTGGAGTGATTATAGTTAATGAAACTGTATCATGTCCTTGAGAGTTGCTAGGAGAGTTCATCTTAAATGTCATCCCTGGCTGACCTGGAAGCTATAAACACAAGAAAGTAATCAGGAGGACCCATTGAAAAGGAAAACCTGGTGAAAATTCCGTGAACATTGAATGTTCTGCAGCTACACACATTCATAGGCAAAGAATGAAAACCTTATAGGCATAAGGTATTTGGGCAAAACCTCTCATTGGTTACCATGAGATATTAGACCCACTAGGAAGCCAAATTAAAAATAAAGATAACAAAAACAACATTTAAAAAACCAAGAAGCACAACTCTAGAACACTGCTAGAAAGACAAATTCTGCAGATTATATCCAGACAAACTACTAAAAAACAAGATGAAAAAAACAACTAACAACAGAAACGTCTCTCCAGAGGAAAGATCAGAATCCAGCTTTGCCACAATATATTATTTTAAATGATCAGTTTCAATTAAAATTTTGAAACTTGCCAAAAAAACAGGAAGATGTGACTCATACTCAGGGGGAAACAAAAGACTGCCAATAGGAAAGTGTCACTGAGTAGGCCTAGATATTGTATATAGCAAACAAAGAGATCAAAGCAGCTATTATAAATATGCTCAAAGAAGTAAAAGAATCTGTTTAAAGAATCAAGGAAAATATTCTAAGTCAGCAATAGGAACTCTCAAAGAGAAGCTAGAAACTGTAAAAAAGAACCAAGTGAAAATTCTAGAATTAAAAGCACCGTTATAAATGAAAGAGTCACTAAAAGGACTCAACAGTCAACTTCTGAGCTGGCAGAAGAAATAATTAGTGAACTTAAAGATAGTTGAATAGAAATGATCTAATCCAAAGGACAGAGGATAAGAAAAGGAAGAAAAAGGAACAGTCTCAGAGACCTGTGGTACAATATCAGCTATACCAATTTATGTGTAATAGGAGTCCTAGAGAGAGAGGGAGAGAGAGAGAGAGAGAGAGAGAGAGAGGAATAATTTCTAAAGTTTAATAATAAAGTTTTATAACTAGTATGTCCTTTTTTCCCCAAACCATCTTGCATATTCTTGGATGTTTACTCTTTTATATGAATTTTAGAATCTACTTGCTTAGAATCCACTTACATAAAAAATCCTGGTAAGTTATTGTTGGAATGAATTGAATTTGTAAGTTTATTTTGAGGGAGAAATGACATCTTTCAGATAGTAACTATTCCCATTCATAAGCATGTAATATCTTTCTAATTACCCTTTTATATTCTTTTTGTATCTTTTTAAATGTTTTGTATTTTCCTATGCAAAGGTTTAGCACATCTTTTATAGGATGCATTCCTAGATAACTTTTAGTTTTTATTGACACTGTGAATGATATCTGTATCTACTATATCTTGTTTCTTATTCCTATATCTATTGATCAATTGATTTAGTATTTAGACCTGCCAAACTTTCTTATTAGTTGAGATAGTTCTTCTCTAAATTTTCTTGGATTTTCTAAATTGACAATAATAGAACCTGAAAACAGAGACAGTGTTGATTCTTTCTAGTTCTTACACTTCTTTTTTTTTTTTAAAGATTTATTTATTTATGCATCCAAGAGCTGGGGTACAGGCCAGAAATGAGGGGGGTGATAGGATTCACCAAAGATAGAGCAGGGAACAGAACAGGCAGAGTGAGTGAAATACACTGCTGAGGGGAGCAGCGGGCAAGACAGGAGAGGTCTGCTGCATCATGTGTGTTGCTCCCTGGCCGGCCGGGGATTGAACTTGGGCTGCAGAGGCTTCGGATTGCTTCATAGTGCGGTGCTTAACCCTTGTGCCACCAGGGAGGCCCTCTTATACTTCTTATTTATTCCTCTGCTCATATTGGCTAGGAACTCTAGTAGAACGGTGAAGAATCATAACATTAGTGCACAAACCTACATTGTTCCTGACTTAACAGAAGTGCTTCCGAACTTCCCTCTTAAGTATAAAGTTTGGGTTTGGAGCAGCAGAAACACTTTAACAGACTGAAAAGTTTCCTTTCTATTCCTATTTGCTAAGCATTTTTATTAAAGTCCTATATTTGGTTTTGTGAATTATATTTCTGCCCTTTTGAAAGAATGATATGATTTTATCCTTTACCAGTTAATTGGCAAATCACATCACTCAATTTTCTAATCTGTTAACTCATCCTTCTGTGAGTGGAGGGGACATTAATATCAGGTCTGGGCTGATGCAAGCCTGCCACTGACTACAATACTGTTTCCTTGGAAACTGCAGAATTAAGGTAAATGGGAGATAGTGTGTCTGCTTCCTTTGTTGTGTGCTTAGGTTCAGAGGCACTCTCAGTGGGTGTGCAGGCTGGAGGGATGGTATAAAACATGGTGGGAGATCGAGGCTACCGTACCTATGAGTCTAGGTGACTCCCAAACACCTTGGCTGTCCTGCTGTAGTTGTGCATGTCTTTCGGGTGGGTGACAAAGGACTTGGGTGGCTGCTGGACCTCCCAGAGAGGTGAAAATGCAGCATCTACTATAGTTCCTGCTTTGTGCACTAGACTTAAACCTATCTCATGGCTCTTATTATCAATTTCATCCCATAATCACAGCTGTGGCAAGTGGCTACAATTACATGATTTTTAAAAATATACTGCCAGATTCGATTTGTTAGCATTTTATTTTAGGACTTTTGCAAATATGTTCATGAGTTTGGGTTAAATTTTCTTTTCTCATACTAGCATCCTGGATTGGTTTAGCATTGGGTAACTGGCCCACAACCCTTAACTGTGATTCCCAAATTCAAAACTTTCTGAAAACTGGCAGCAAAACCTCATCTAAACTGATATGAGTCTTTTTATTGTTTTTATCCACTTATTATGTTTTGCTGAAGAGATATTAATATATTGGATTGTGAGTTAGTTAATCCCAATTGTGATGGGGTGTTACACACAATTTACACACTGCATTTAATCTTCCTGAACTCCCAACCCCCACAAGATATAAGATAACAGATTATGGATCCATTTTAACCTAATAAAATGAATTGTTTGGTTTTGTAAAGCTATTGGGGCGTCGTGGTGTGGGGTGGGGTGTGTGTGTGTGTGTGTGTGTGCGCGTGCGTGTATTGTGTGTTGTTATTATTGATAATGGGTAACTTACTATTATGAGAATCATGTCTTTGGTGCCAAACTACCCTGCAGGACCAGTAGGACCAAACCTTCCTGGTTCCCTTTGAGGATCCTGATCTTGCAATTCAAAAGAGATCAGAGATCTTAAAAACCAGTTGTTATCAGGTCACTTGATTGCTAGAAATTATTGCACTTGGGGGGCAAGTTTCAGAAGTAACAGGGATTGTATTTAGCAAAGTTATGGGAGGCCATGTTTTAACATTACCTCTAGAGGGCAGTCGTAGATCACAAACTGGTATGCTATTTAAGTAAATATTACCTAAAATTAAACTGCATTCTCTTTCAGGTATGTGTTATTTTCTCCAATTTACAGATGAAGTAACTGAGACTTAGAAAAGGTAAATAACTTGCTTGATTGGTTCATGGAAGTTTTAAGTAGCATAAGGCAGCTCTGGGGTATTAACCTGGATCTATATACCACTAAATCCATATGCGTAACACTCTGTCTCTGTCTGTCTCTATCTCTGTCTCTCTGTCTCTGTCTCTCCATAAAAGGAAGCATTATACATAAGTGGCTAAACTATCAACCCTGCAGTCCACCTGTTTCACTGGGAAGCCTTGAGCAGACTGGCATGAGGAAATTAATTGCCATGAAAAGAAAGTGGCCCCCTGGTGGCGCAAGGGGTTAAGCACTGCACTATGGAGCAAGCCGCAGCCTCTGCAGCACGAGTTCAATCCTCAGCCGGCCAGGGAGCAACCCACATGACGCAGCAGACCTCTCCTGTCTCACCCGCTGCTCCCCTCAGCAGTGTGCTTCAGTCAGTCTGCCTGTTCTGTTCCCCACTCTGTCTGGTGAATCCTCTCACCCCCGCATCTCTGGCCTTTACCCCAGCTCTTGTATGCATAAATAAAGAAGGAAGGAAGGAAGGAAGGAAGGAAGGAAGGAAGGAAGGAAGGAAGGAAGGAAGGAAGGAAGGAAGGAAGGAAGGAAGGAAGGAAGGAAGGAAGGAAGGAAGGAAGGAAAGGGAAGTCAGTGAGGCCTGGAGCTGGAGATGTAAATTTGGCAGTTTTGAACCCCCTTGCTGATGACCACACAGGGTCTAGCAGAGCTCTGCCCAGGTTTGGGCCTGCTGTGTCCTCGGGAGCCTGCTGCAGTCACCCCCACCCTCACACCGCACCTGGGGTCACCAACAGAAGCACAGATTCCCCGCCCGAGGCAGGGCACAGTAAGGCCCTCTCCTCCTTGCCACTGCTCACTGCCCTGGGTCATCAAACTCAGCTCACACTTATTCACAGAAACAGGAGCACGCCCTGAACACGGTTACCCATTAACCCAGCCCTGAGTGAGGGCCAAGCCACAGGCCTCATTTTCTCACAGTGCTGGCTAGTTAATCCAGGGAAAATAAGAGTTTCCTCTCATGTGCCAATATGTATTCATCAGGTTTGGCTCAGGCTAGCCCTGTCTCAGAAGGGGCGAGGGGGCAGCCATCTCTCTGCAGTGCTCCCAGCAGGGGCAGGAGAAAGGAGAAGGTGCTCTTCAAACACTGCATCTGGGAGAAGCGCCTGCGCCTGGCGTTTCTCTCTGTCCTCCCCTCAAAGCAGCCTAGATGGGGAATCTGAGGATTGATGTAGCAGGGGGTAGAGACAGCTGGAGCAGGAGGGCAGTGAGGAGAAGCTTGTGTGGACTCCATTCATTTATTCAGCAAATAATTTTTGCAGGCCTACTGTGTGTCCATCACTTAGCTGAGTGCAAATGATGAAAACCCAAGCAGATCGCAAACCTTCTGTATTAGTGAGCTTGGGTTGCAGTAACAAAATAGCACAGATTGGGAAGCTAAAACAACACAATTTATTTTCTCACAGTTCTGGAGCCTGGAAAGTGTACGGTGAAGGAGCTGGCCAGTTGGGTTCCTGGTGAGGACTCTCTTTTTTTCTTCTTTCTTTTTATTTTTTTGTGGGACCCTTGCCGGTGGACTGGGGACCGAACTGGCGCTGCAGAGGCTGTGGGCAGCCTCGCAACCCAGCACTCAACCACTGTGCCACCGGGGAGGCCCTCTCTTCTTGTCTTCTAGATGGCCGCCTGCTGGCTATGTCCTCACATGGCCTCTCACCTCTGTGTACATTTGGAATCTGAGCTGGGGGTAGGGAGAAAGAAACAAAGAGATTTATTTTCTCCTTTTCTAAAGACCTTTAATCTTATTGTATTTGGGGCCCACATTTATGACTTCATTTAATCTTAATTATCCCCCTACAGATCCTATCTCCAAATACGTTGGGGGTTAGGCCTTCAACTTATAAATTTTGGGGGCCACATACTAGGCCCATAGCACTTGCCTTCATGGAGTTTATAGTCTTATGAAAGTTGACAATTTAAAATCAAAAGTAAACAAAAATATAATTACAAGTCCTAATGAAAATAAACAGGGTGCTATAATCTAGAGAAGATAGAGAGGGAGAATCTGATTTATACAGGGTGAAAAGTGCTTTCTTTTAGTTTGGATCTAAAGGATAAGAAATATCCCTTCAGTGAGTGGGGAGGAGCATCTTTTGGGAAAATAGACCCACCAGTGTAAAGGCCCTGAGGTAAGAAAGAGCTTGATGTATTTGGAAAACAGGGCAGTTTTTGCTTTTAAAAGATCACTGTTTTTTTTTTTTTTTTATGATTAGTCTGTATTGAAACAAGAGTGGAGGAAAGCAAGCCAATTTCAAAGCTATTTGAAATTATCCAGAGATGATGATGGTTAGAACTAGAGTAGTAAAAGAAAACATGGAAAGAAATTGACTGATTCTAATATATGTCATTTGATACTAGTCTTGATAGCACTGCTGATTCATTAGAGTTTGGGGGAAACTGGCCTGACTCCCTGGATGAAAGTTGGTGTCATGGATTGATAGGTAGAAGGAGACATTGATTTGGAAGGGTTAATTAAGAGTGCTAATTTGGCCTCATGTAATTTGAGATTTGGCCTCATGTAATTTCAGCTATCTCACTGAAGAGCTGTTGAAAGAGGTGAAGGTGAGGCCAGTGAGTTAAAGCAAAGGTACATCATAAAAGTCAAATGAAGAAGGTATTTCAAGAAGTTTGTTCAACTACAATGAATGTTGTTGAGGGGATTGAGAAAGACAGGAATATAAAATTGTTACTGGATTTGGTAAAGTGGAGGACATTTGTACCCTAGGAGCCCTTTAGATAGAGATGATCACTTTTCTATTTTCATGGGGGCAGGAGAGATAGATCTAGACATGAATGGTTTGTAAACTTGATGATAGAAAAGCAGTGACTTCCCCTAAAATGTTGTTAAAATGACCTTATCAGTCATGACCATTACTCAGGAAAAGACAAATGAGATCAAACACATTTTAGGTAATATGAGGCACGAGATCAGTCAGAAGGAGAATGTTAGCAACTTCAGGTGAAAATCTATGGTCATTTGTCTCTTCGATAAATGAGCAGAAATGGTTATTGGTTAAAGGTCATTAAATGAGTAGAAATGGTTATTGGTTAAAGGTCATTAACATTAACTGCTGTAACAGACAGCTTGAAAACGTAAATAAATGACTTGACTTAGTAGAAAGTTATTTCTTATTCATGCCACAGTCCAAACTAGATTGGTGAGGAATTTGCTGTGCAATCTCGAGATTCATAAGAAATATATATTCAGTCATTCAGATGAAAAAATATATGTCTCACATATTTGGTCTTTGTCTATAGTTCCTGACTTACAATTCCCAGAATGCTTGGAATTTCTTAAGTGTTGAGCATGACAAATATGTCTTTTGTTATATGAATGGTGTAACTTTTGGACCTCACCTAAGGATGGGGTCTGGTTGCCAGGAGAAACAACCATGTAATTATAGGGTTGGAATTTCCAGACCTCAAGGGAGGGGAGAGGGATGGGAAGGCAAACCAGTAACCAGTGGTCAATGATTTAATCATCTGTGCTTATGCAATGAAGCTTCCATTAAAAATCCAAGTGCAAAGATTCAGAGTTTCCAAGTGAACACGTGGGGGTGTCAGGACAGTGGTACATCTGGAGAAGGCATGGAAGCTCTTTCCCCATACTTTGCCCTGTGTATCTCTTCATCTGACTATTGATCCATATCTTTTAACATCTTTTGCAATAAATGGGTTATTTAGTGAGTGAATAAACAGTTTCCTGAGTTCTGCAAGCCATTAAAGCATAATTGACATAACTCAAGGAGGGGATTTGGAACTCTTGGACTTACAGCCAGTCAGTCAGAAGCACAGGTAACAGCCCGACTTGCAAACAGTATTTGGTAGGGAGGAGGTGGAGATGGGGAATGGGGATGGTCTCAGGAGCCTGAATCCATTACCTGTGGAATCTGATGCCTTCTCCAGGTAGATAGCATCTGAATTGTGTTCTGATACCCTGCTGGTGTCCAAGAATGGCTTGTTGTGTGTGTTGGGAACCACCCCCACACCCCATTAGAATGTGGTGATCAGGATGCCAAAAGGAACTCTACCAGTCCTTCAGAGACTCACACTTCTTCGCTTAGAGTTTTGCCTTCTTCGAGGTCCCAAAAGCCTCTCTGTTGAGCTGATGGATGAAGAATAGAAAGGACCACGCATGGATGATTTGTATGGCCCAGGCCTGGAAGAGATTCCTCTCACTTCCACCCACATGCTGCTGGCCAGATCTCAGGCCAACAGCCCCAGTTGAGGTTCCCCACTGGCAGCCAGCATCAAGTCCCTGACACAAGTGAAGGTGTCTCCAGATGATTTTGGTACTCAGCTGTCATATATCCAGTTGAGGCTGTGGGCATTGAGAACATTCTTCCCCACTATGCCCTGAACAAATTCCTATAATTGCATAAGTTTTCATTTCTTAACAAATCCCTTTTTCTGTATCCTTCATAGTGTTCTTGCTTGTCTTACCCACTCCAGACTGATACAAGCCATGAGTTTTAACAGGCCACTCTGAATGGTACAAATGCCACACAAGCTGAGCACCTTCAGATCTAGTAAACGTCAGGTACCATTTTTTTTAAGATTTATTTATTTATGCATAAAAGAACTGGGGTACAGGCCAGAAGTGCGGGGGTGGGTGTGAGAGGATTCACCATAGACAGAGTGGGGAGCAGAACAGGCAGATCTACTGAGACACTGCTGAGGGGAGCAGCAGGTGAGCCAGGAGAGGTCTGCTCTGTCATGTGGATCTGCTTCTGGCCAGGGATAGAACTCAAGCTGCAGTGGCTGCGGATAGCTTCATAGCACTGCAGCTTAACCCCTTGCACCACCAGGGAGTCCTACACCGGGCACCTTTTGATGCCACATTTACTTCACTAGCAGTATCTTTTTTAAAGAGTTCTCCCCCAGACTCAGAAGCTATTTATTTCTGATATTTAGAAGTAATACCAGGGCCTCCCTGGTAGCCTAGGGGTTAAGTTTCAGCACTATGAAGCTATCCGCAGCCACTGCAGCATGAGTTTCATCCCCGGCCAGGGAACGACCCACATGGTGCAGCAGATCTCTCCTGCCTCGCCCTCTGCTCCCCTCAGCAGTGTATTTCAGTAGATCTGCCTGTTCTGCTCCCTACTCTGTCTCTGATGAATCCTTTCTCTCTCTCTCTCTCTCTCTCTCTCTCACACACACACACACACACACACACACACACGCTGCACCTCTGGCCTCCACCCGAGTTCTTCTACAAAAACATTTTTTTTTTAAATCCCAAAAAAAAAGAAATACCAAACACTGTTGTCTCTTTACCCCGGTTTTCATCTCTAAGATTTTCCAGTAAGTTTTGGATCTTCTAAGAAAACAAAACCCTGCACCCATAATACTTAACCAAGTGGTATAATGCACCAGCAATAAAATCTAAGTAAAGGGTAAACTATTTAGAAGCACTAACAAGTGAGTAATTTGAAGATAAAGATAAACTGATGATTCCTCTAAAGCACAGTGTGCTTCCTAAGAATGAGCAAGGCGGGGCATGCTGTCTGCAGAGGCGTGGGGGGGGGGGCAGCAGAGAGGCCCAGCCTTTCTCAGAGCCGCTATTTTAGGAGGTGCATTTATCAACGTCCATGATGATATCCAATGAACTAATGAGCTTCTATTATAACTTCTGTTTATAAATAATCAATCTTACTATTTATCACAGTTACTATGTGCCGTTGAGTATGTTAGTATTTCAATACCCCCAGCTTCTGCATCTTCATGGCGCATACCTGTGCAGCCCTGAGTTCAGGGCAGGACCTGCCGCTGTGTGGGGCAGGGGCCGGGCAGAATCGGATGAATTGTTTAGAGGTCTCTCCCCACCTGCACATTCTCCTTTCAGAAGTCAAACTGTAGGTATGTTGGCTTGTTCTTTTAAAACAGGAAAATCATCCCCTCTACGCAGTCAAACCTTTGCCCTCAGCCTTTTCCCATCTGGTTTATTCCTACTCAGTTCTCCACACTCAAGCTCACCCATTATTGCGATTTTACTTCTCCTGTGGTTTCCAGTTTCCTCGAACTTAAAAGACATAAGGTGGACAAGAAAGCAGTTCTCAAACGTGGTGCACACAAAATGCAGATTCCCAGGGGTCCCCACACTGCAGTTTACAGCTTTGGGACAGTGTGAGCTTGTCCAGGTCACCTCCAGACTGCCCTTCGAGAGGTTGTTCAGCTCCACCAGGTAGTACTGAGCCACCCACAGCATCCAGGATCTGTCTGCAAATAAGGGGGTGAGCGAGACTGCAGGCCCAGCCCAGATCATTCAGCTCCTGATCTCTTTCTAGTCTCAGCCAGAAACCAGAGCTTTCTCTAGTCTCTCCATTCACTGAGCCCTGCCCTGTACCCCAGGCCTTGCAGTGTTTTTTCATGCATTATTTCATCTTGACAACAAATGCTATGAGCCCAGCACCATTATTTATCCTGTTTCAGAGAGATGGAAACTAAATATCAATGAAGCAAAGTGTCAGAAGGGAATGTAGGGCAGAGTTGGGGTTCAAATCAGACCTGTCCTGAGCCTGGCTCGTTCCCCTTGTACATGTTCCCCCAAGATCAGCAGCAGGAACTCAGGTTTGGAAATGACCCCAAAAGTCAGTCTTGCTGCCCATTGTCTACCAGGAGGAGAGGTTAAGCCTTGTGCCGCCCTCTCCATGGGTTGACTACCATCAGGCTCCCCACTCCCAGCACCCTAACACACAGGCATCTTTGCACCCCATACCTAGATGATCTGGTGTCTACAATGGGGTTCAGCTCTCAGTCATATCCCATGCTCAAGGTGTGGAGGCCATGGGGACAGGTCTGTAGGCTCTCTTCCCATCAGCTCTAGCCTACTCACCCCCTTCTATCCGGTTGCCACCCCCACAACCACTTCAGGTCTCCCATCTCCATTCTCAGGCCACTCGAACTCATTCTCCACCGGGAAACCTGAGTAATCCTTCATATAATTGAGGTGATTCATGTTGCCCACCCCCAGCCACAAACCAATCTGATGGCATTTGGGATAAAATGCCTTTTCTCCAGCCACAAAGGTCTTTGATGTCACGTGGCGGGCCACTCTTCCCTACCTGGGTGTCTCTGCCCATGCTGTCCCTCACATCTAGAACACATCTCTCTCTCACCTGGCTGGCCACTTCCAACCCTCTAGATGTCACCTACTTGGACACTCCAATCTGGCATCAAATTCAGGGCCGCCTTATTTGATCACACACCCTGTTCATTTCCTCGTGGCATATTGTGATATTAGCATGTAATTATGTAGTTACTGGTTTACTTTTTGTCTGTTGTCCCTGTTGGAGCATAAGCTCTATGTGAGCAACTGCCATGTTGGTCTTTATAATAGTTGATTTTATGTGTCAACTTAACTGGGCTATGGGGTACCCCACCATTACTTTGGGGGTGCTTCTGAATGTGATTAAAATTTGAATCCATTGGCTCACTGAAGCAGATTGCCCTCCCTAATGGAAGGAGGCCTCATCCAATCTGGTAATGCCTGAATGGGACAAAAAACTGAGTGAGAATTTGCTGTCTCTGCCTCACTGTCTCCACCTAGGACACTGGTTTTCTCCTACCTTCAGAGTTGGAGTAGTACCAGATGTGACACTATTGCCTCTCTTAGGTCCCCCAGCATGCTGACTGCAAACCTCAAGATTTCCTGGGCTCCATAATTGCATGAACCAGTCCTGATAATAAATCTCCATATATCTCACTCCCCTTTTGGTTCTGTTTCTCTTGAGAACCCAAATTTATACACATTTGTATTCACAGAGTTTAGTACTTATTAGGCACTCAATAAATCTATATGAAAAGAATGAATGAAGGATGAAAGTCAAAAGAAGAAAGCTAAAGGATTCACATGAAAAGGGAGGCCCAGTTTGTGAAGGTGGGGAAAACTGAGTCCTCACTACCTACCCCCGACTGTGCAGAAAGCCTGCTTCACAAAGACTAGAGGCCTGTGGGAGAGGACACCTCTTGACTTCCATGCCTGCCCCCCAATTTGCCAGTATTTGTCCTAATTTCCTCTTCCATCACTTGAGAAGAGAAGGTACCCCCATTTCCTTTTTTCAGATCATTCAACCAAACTTTGGGCTCAGAGCTCCCTCCACCCCTCCCCCTCTTCCTTTCTGCACCACCAGCTTCCTGCTAACATCCTATTCTCTGAAATCATCTGAAGTCTGTGACCACCATCCTTGGTTGTCATCCTGGTTGTTACTTGTCATTTTCTGGCTCTATCTCTGTCCCTTTGAGATAGGCTCAGTGAAAGGACAGTGGTAATAGTAACTGAAATGTACTATGTGTATATTCCAGACAACGTTCTAAGCACTTCATCCTCACAACAACTGTTCTAAGCATTTAATCCTCACAACAACCTTGTAAAGTTGTAAAGGTTCTAGTTATATCCTAGTTTTTCCTTTTTCCAGGTCTTGCCCCAGGTCACTTAGTTAGGTGAGTCAGGTGACTTGGCCCAGGTCACATAGTGAGTGAATGATGTGGCTATGGTTGAAACAAAGGCCCCTGGCTTTGCACCGCACCGTCACTTTTCATCTCACTGGCACCTACCTTGTCTTTCCTGCTGCAAGGAAGAGCCTTCTCTCCACTCACTGTCTGCTCCTCCACTCTCGTTCCCTTTAAAAGCCTCCAGAACCTTTGGGGTCACTCAAAGTTCCCTTCAAAGTGAGCCCGCAGTGCCCTCTCCCGGCACTTTGCCTCTCACTGCACCTCCTGTCTGACCTTAAATGGCCTTTATTAGTGGAGAGTCATTTGGCTGCAAGCCATAGAAACTAGCTCTGGCTAACTTAAGGGGAAAAAAGGTAGGCGATGGGTGGGGAGAAAAGGAGATGAATGTCAGATGAATGTTAGAGCCATGTGATAGCTCATGGATTCTAAGACAGGGTTGAGCGGCCAAGAAATAGTCTCAGAAGACCAGGCCTAGAGCCCGGCATGCAGGAGCTCACAGGACTATTTTCCTAGACCACTGACATCCATGTGCCCCTCCACTCAGAATTCCCAGGAGACAACATCTGATAGACCCAACTTGAGCCAGATGTCCCCACAAGACCAGCTTGAGGCTGTGGGGCCCATGGTAGCTCCTTCTAATGGCCAGGCTGGCCCCTGGATACTTTGGTACACTCCTATTTTCCCAAGGCCCTTGGGAGTTAAGAACAACCAGACATGCCCAGGTGTGTTGTGTGTGTGTGTGTGTGTGTGTAGCTGTAGGTGGCCTAAGGACAGGGCATGCCCTGGGCTCAATGACTAGGCATTCCAGGGCCAGAAATTGGCAATGGGAGACTGGAGAAGGAGGTCAGCACCTAGATCAAGGGAGCTGATTCTTTTCACCTCCCACCCATCCCTAACCACAGACCTAAGCCCATCATTTTCATCACTTTTAATTACTGAAATTTACTTTGTTAACGTTTAAATTTCATATTGGACTCAAAGTTCTTTCCCAGTCACCACCCCAGGAAGGACCAATTTAAGGTTCCTGCGGCCAGCATGGGTGGGGAAAGAGCTCTCACACACTTACCTCCTTCCTTGTCATTGATTCTCTAGTGTGAGTTTTAGGGAAAAGGGAGAATGGAGAGAAAGGGTTTCTTATTGGACTGCCCATGGTGAGTGGGGCAGGCCTCTTCGGGGGGTATAACTGATATTCCCCTGTGTGAGTAACCACACAGATACTGTGCCTTCAGTGTGCAATACTACGGATGATATTCCAGATAATCTACAATCACAGTGGCATAGGCACCAACCCAACAGAATATTCATTGGCCAGTCCCTAGAGCAGGTGTTGAAAGCTCCCTGCTGGGCCAGGTCAGAGGGGAGGAGCAGTGGGGGTTCTACTTGGTGATTCAAAAGTCCAGGGAGTCCTCAGCGGCAGTCCTTGCCACCCCTCAGTTGGGGTGGCAAGAAGCACTCTCAAGGAAATGGCTGGTTACCAACTGATAAGGAAATGTTCCGTTATTTTAACAATTGGTGTGGTTACACTGGTGTGTTCTGGTTGAATTTCAGCCTTGCCACCAGCTAATCATTATCTGTAGACTCACCTCAGTGAGACACCTGTACGCCCTGCTGGTGAGACACTTGATCCCACGTCCTCTTGCTATCTCTTGGATATCTATGGTCTCTTGAAACATGACTACATTTTTCCTGTAGATCCCCAGCCCGCAGTATGCCACGTTCCTTTGCAAGGGTCCCAGCGAGCTGTTCCTACCCGGCCTCTTCACCCCCAACTGCAGGGTCTGCAGCTGAGCTGTCCAACCTAGTAAGTACAAACGATATGTGATGATTTAAATTAAAATTTAATACCAATGTAAAGTTCAGTTCCTCATTGACACTAACCATATTGCAAGTGCTCAATAGCCACACGTGACGAGCAGCTACCGTATTAGACAGCACGGGCATAAAACATCTGTATCGTCACAAAAGGTTCTGTTGGCCAACACTGGAATATGGTCTCTATATAACTATAAAACTATAAAACGATGTAACTATATAACTGTATCACTATAACTATATATGCATAAATATATCAGGAATTGACCACTCAAGGGCACAATCTCTCCAATTGGCATTGCTACCACGTCTTTCCTCACCAGTGCTTTTTCCCACATCATCCTACCCCTGCCATTACAGGCAGATCAATGAGACAATAGGTCAGCTGAGATAGGGGTTCCTTCTCAAGCAGCACTCTCCCAGAAGGCGCGGTGGGAGGGTGAGAGGAGCTGCTGGCTTCCTGCCAGGCAGCCAGCAGTGGTGGGGTTGCAATGGTGGCAGCAGCAGGGGATCCAAATGGTTTAGCAAAGCAATGAACATGAGCTCCTGAGAGCATGTTCTCCCTTTTGCATCTCCAGCCTAGGGGTGGTAGTGGTTTCCTCCAGGTAGATGTCTCTGGGTCACCTCACTGTCTGTTTTACTTCTCCAGCCCTCCTAAGATTTTTACATTCAAAAGAGTATATGAAACTCACTCTTTGAACTCCTAGAATGTTGTTTGTTTCCCTGGAATGTGAGAGGAAGTGGCATGAGTCACTTCCAGAGCAAAGTCTTCAGAAGCAGGTGTATTTTCTCTGTTCTCTCTTACCCTTTGCATTGTCTGGAGACCGTTGGGGATGGGATAACCACAAAGCAGGAGGAGGCTGGGGCCCAAATCCGATAAGGAGAGCCACCTAGCAACCTGACACCACCCCTCGATTATATGTAACAAGAAATAAACTTCTATTGCATTTGAGTTACTGTATGTTTGGATCTATTTGTCATAGCTGTTTAGCCTTTGCCCCCAACTAATATAGCACCTTAACAACCATGATTTATATATTTATGTGAATATAGCGCTTACGTGTGCCAGCCACTCTGCTGAGCTTATCCTGGCTGAGTCCTCATTATCATTATTGCCATTTCAGAATAGGAACCTGAACTGCAGATTCTGAGGTTACATAGCTTGTTGGAGGGTCGTCTGACTTGAAAGCCTCTGCTACCCCATGATCCTTGCAATGTTCAGCTCCTCCCACTTAACCACTTCTCCCCTTGAGGTAGCCAGACCTATTGCTATGGCGTGCAGTCAAAGTTCATGTGCAGATATATAGCTGTGGGTATTCCCTGTAGGTCTGTTCTCTGCTTGTCTAACTCTCTACCTCTCTGTGCCTGTATCTACTGGGCTTCTGTGTCCTTGGTTTCCAATGGTTTTGGCCACTGGGAGAGGGAAGTAGGAGATGGCACATGGGAATGGAAAGGGGTCAAGGTCTTTATTCCAAGATGCATAAAGGCAACGTAACTTGCGTGTGGTCACATGGCTGGTGAGAGAGCTGAGGTGCAAACCCAGGCAATCTGGCCCCAGAATCTGTGCTCTTAACCCACTGCGTTATATAGCTTCTCTGGCAGGAAGAAGGAGAGGGAGGCAGTGCAGGCAAAACACATGTTTCCCTGCAGTTACTGCTCAAAGGAGGGACTTTGGGTAACTTCCATTCTCTCAGTATTGTTTTTTAGCCACCATGTATTAACAAGCCAAAAAAAAAAAAAAAAAAAGATAATAGAGTTCTATTTTGGAAATTAAAAAAATAAATCCTGTTTAGCCAATGGGGAAAAGGAAGGAGCCCAGTGCTGGTGATCTCACTTTCTCCCAGCCACAAAGGAGACTGTGAAATAGCTAGGACCCAGGGGAATTCCAGCTGTCACCAGGCTGCACTAGCCAAGGCTGAGGAAACCCAGGGAGTCAGAAAGGCATTATCCATCATACAGGCGCTGTTCCGGACCAACAAGAGGGAGGTATGCTAGCACTTCAGTGAAGCGGCCACTGCCTGCAGACCTCTGGGGGCTCAGTTTCCTCCATGCCCCCTGGGGGCCTCTGAACAACCCACTCTTCCTTCTCCCGTGCAATCTGCTCTGCCTTTCTCATTCTGTGGGGCTGACTCCTTCAGTAATGTGGAGCAGGGGTGCCAAGTCAGAGAACAGCAAGGCCACAACACAGCTCCCGAACTTAAGCCACAATCCTCTGCTCAGCCGTTAGCTGCAGAACAGTGGAAGCCCTCACTCAGTTCTGGACACTTCCCTTTCCCAGGCTCACAGGTCTGTAAGTGGTTAAGAGTGTGGACTCTAGAGTCAGACCTAGATTGGAATCCCAACTGTTCTAATGAGCTTTGTTATAGTGGGTGAGATTCCTAACCTCTCGGAACCTCCATCCTCTGCTGTGAAATAAAGTAATGATACCAGGCCTGAAATTCAGTTTCTATGCACTTTCAGTTGGACTGGTTTTTCAATACAAATTTATTGGTAAATCGATAGCAGAAGCCCCTGCCTCCCTATTTTTTCTCCTGCCTGCTCCCCTAGGTCCAGTTGGTCTCTGGACAGATACAGACGACCGAGTCCTTAATCTAGCGCCAAGCAGCAGAATCAAGATCAGAATCTCAAGTCCTGTGAGCAGGTGAAGATGGGTTTTGATGGGAAATTCAAGGATCATCAGAGGACCCTAAGGTGATTCATGGACGAGGCTGCCTGGATGGTCTTGCCTGGTTTGAAGAGCCAGCACAGGACCAGTGTACCCTGCTTACTAACTGCCAGTTGCCTTCCTTCTCCTGCTCGCCTGGGATTCCTGGATTCCATACCTGATTCCGGGGCCAGGGATGGGGATAGTGCAAGGTCACAGGCTGGCCTTCTTGTAGTTCAGGAGGGCTTTTCCTTGCTTCCAGGTCTACTGCAGCTCTTGGAATCCCATGTCTTGTTTGCCTGCGAGTCAGAGAAGAAGGCTCAGGAACTGGGCTTTGCCTTTGTAATGCCTCCTGGCATCAGAAAAGAATATTCCAATTCAAAGTCTCTCCTCTAAAGGTCTTGAATCTTAGAGAGACAGTATTGTGGTTTGGCTAGGACCAGACTACCTGGCTTCAAATCCCAGTTCTGCTGTTTTATGAACATGGATCAGTCAGTAAACTGCTCTGTGCCTCAATTTCCTCATCTGTGAAGTGGGAGTAATTCTCTGCCTTGCAGTGTTCTTTTGAGAAGTAAATGAGGTAAGCTATAAGGAGTGTCAGCTTCATGCCTGGGACAAAGCTCTCAATGTGAGCTCTTGTTAGGGAGCTCACGAGTGTAGTGCAACAGTCAGATTCATGTCCACATGATTATCTTCTTCACTCCCCTGGCTGAAATTCTTCCTCTGCTCCTTTGGACCTCCTGTACCAGCTCCTACATTTACAGACTGAGAGGCCCAGAGAGAAGGGGCTTTCCCATGGTCAGATGTGGTGTCAATTGGCAGAGTCTCAGTTTAGAGTTTCAGACACCACTTCCAGCATCCTGAGCTGTCTCTATCCACTCTCTGGATTATGGTTATCTGTGAGCAGGGTTGAGCTCCTGCTCATCTCTGGATCCCCTAGGTCTGCTGCTGATTCCTCCCAACAAGCTGGGCCCTGGAATTTCTGGGACCAGCAGAAGAAGCCTTGTCTCCACTCTTGGCAGGTGGGTCCTCGTTCCCCAATGCACTGCCCACCTCAACATTTGCTCCTTAGGTAGAAGTCGGACTCTCCCCTTACCGTCGGCCCCCCAGTTGCTTTTCAGCATCAGGCTCCCATTGGATCATAGCCACACACCCTGCCCCACTTTTGACAGATACCTACAAGTTCCCTGGGCGGCCTGTATGCGGTCCAGTGGGAAGCCCTCGCCTCCTCTTTTGCCCCAGTTTGAAACAAAAGGGTTCCATCCCCCTTCCTTCAGTCTCAGTTGCCAGTGTAGGGGAGGGTGTGGCCAGGCAGGCTTTGGGGAGACCCCCAAGTGCAGGGGGACGGGGGAGGAGGTGTTCCCAGGGCCCTGAAACCTTCCAGACCCTTTCAGTGTAAACCGCCTGGGGTTTGTGTCAACATCCGAGGCCGGAGACTGGCGGCGGCTGGGGACAGCTCCGTCTACGGACGGGAAGACAGGAGGTTTGGAATGGAGGGGTCCTTGGGGGAGATCCCGAGAAGGCTCTTGGGGTCCGTGAGAAAAAAGGAAGACCTATGTAGGGAGGGATTGGCGTTAGGGGCCGTAGGAGCCTACGACGAGCTGGATAGCGCTTGGGTACTCGGCCCAGCTCACCGCACCCCGTCTGCGCCCACCCCCCGCTTTTCCTTCTATTCACCGCGTGCGGGGGGTGGGTGTCCTGGGGCGAGGGGGGGGCTGAGGCGTGGGCGGCTTGACCGCTCTGCGGCATCTCTTCTCCGCTAGGCTGCTCGGCAGCTCTTCGTCGCCCTCCCCCAACTGCGGGTGGGATACGGAGGGGGGGTCACATCTTGTGACTCAGCCCCTCTCCCCCCCCACCCCCGCTGAGGCCCAGGAAGGGAAAGCTCAGAGACTCGGCTGTGGCTCTCTCGTTTCTATAGCAACCTGCGGTTGTTTTTGCGAATCGCTTCCATCGTCGACACTCTTCACCGCGGGCTGTGGCCTGAAGTCTCAGCCGCAGGGCAGGGCACGGCCGGGACGACAGCCCTCTCCCTTCCTCGCGATCCGGGAAGGTCAGCCCGGGCGGGCGGGGCTCGCTCCCGCGCCCGGCCGCGCCGGCCGCCCGGCCCCACCTGAAACCCGTCCTGCCACTCCGGTCCCGCGCAGCCAATCAACGCCCGGGCTGCCCGCCGTGAGGCGGGGCTAATGCAAATCACGTCGCCTCCGAGAGACACATAGTGCTACCAGGGCTGGGAGGCGGCTCCGGCGCGGACCTCGGGGAGCCCGTCCACTTCGCCCCGAGCCAGTCCGGGTCCCCGCGGCCCGCCGAGGCTCGGAACCGTCCAGCGACCCGGCGAGCGGCCGAGGCTCGGAACCGTCCAGCGACCCGGCGAGAGGCCTCAGGTAACGCGGGGCAAGACTGGGCGGAGGCGCTCGTCCTCTGCTTTTCCACTCTGCATCCCCACCCTCGTCTCCTGCTCCCTCCCATTCATCTCCCGGACCCGGTTCCGCCGCAGGCGGCGGGGCAGCAGCCACTGGACTCTCCCTTGGTTAGGGGACCCCCATCCCAGTCCAGGCCCGACAGTCCCAGGGAAGGAGGCAGAAATGCTTCCTTATTCCCAGCTCCGACCCCCAAACACACACACACAGTCTCTCTCTCTCATCCCACTACCCCACCCCCCGCCCTCCAAAGGTCCCGTGTTTGGTCTTTTTCATCCTGGCTGGAGGATAAACCCAGAACACTACCCACTCCGCAGACTACCCGTAACTTGTCAGTGGTCCCAGCCACCTCCATTCTCCTCAGTCCTCGAGCCAAAGCACCAGGTCCTCTCATTCTACCTCTCAAATGTCTTTCTAATTCACACCCTCTCTATTCTTCTTGCACCCAATCGCTTGATCTCTCCCATCTTCCTGCTGCTCTGCAGGGACCACGCCAAAGCTCCAGGTGGACTGTGTCACTCACTCCTTTCTCTAATGTGGCCTGAACTTGGAGGGCAGAAGAGCTGGGTTCAAATCTTGCTTTTGCCTCAGTTGCTGTTTGACTCTGGCCAAGTCACCTTCTTCTCGATGCTTCATGAAATGGGGAAGGCGCGCAGGACATATGAAATGGGGAAGGGGGTGGATTGAATGAGATGATCTTGAATAGCCTCCCAATACAGATGTGCTCTGGCTCTGGGACTGATTATGACAAAACAGGCTCCTTTCACTCTTTCCCTGAACCATTAGGGAACCATTTCAGAGAGATGATGTGGGGGGCTCAGTCCTCACCTAAGGGATGTTGCTTTTTACCCAGGTGGCCTAGGGATTGCCTCCCACACCTTACACAGGCCCTTTCTCTGCTGTTAGGAGTCCTTCCTAGAACACCTGTCCACAAGGTGGAGGTGGTCAACAGGACCCAAACTTTATTGTTCCATACCTCTCATTAAGAAGGAGGGGAGAAGATCTGGTGCTGCTGCTGTGGCTGATGGCTGTTGCTAGAAGAGCAAAATGGGGAGAGGAAAGAGAAAATCTCCTGACCAGGGAGCTGTTGTCACCATGGCAACTGCCTCAGCACCAGCTCCTCTGAAGCTGGGAGAGAGTGTGGGATTATTGCCTTTCTCAGTCCCTCCTACCCTCACCGCCAGGTCCCCATTTGAAGCCCACAACCCTGAACCTTGCCCCTGGAAAGAAGCCTCTGAGCACAGAGGGGCAGTGCCTACGTGTATGGGACACTACCAGCTGCTTCACAGCTAGAGGGCAGCCCTCAAGACATTGCAGAGGAGTCTGCCCATGGCCAGAAGGGCCAGATCCAACAGAACATGCCCCCAGTGGGTCCTGACCTTCGCCTAGCTACTGATGGGCTCTAGTTGACCTTGGGTGAGCGCTTCTTTTCCCCGGGTCTGGGCTCCATGATCTCTGAAGTGGGTACAATGGCGGGAGAACACAGAGAAGATAGCCTGATGCAGTTCCAAGGAGGAAGAAGGGGGCTCTGCCCCTCTCATGTAATCCACCAAAATAATCATTGAAATAATCATTGAACAGCACTGGGTTGAGACATGGCTTTGGGATCTTTAGACAGGGCTGTTTGCGTAGCCCAGAGAACTTTTTCTGGCTCAGACAAGGGTTTAATGCAAAAGCCTATTCCAAATCAGGCTCCATTCTGGAATTCTAGAGCACCAGAGAATTTTGGAGTCTACATACTTGTAGGAGGTTCAGCTTCATGGCCTTGAAGGGTCTACTCATGCCCAAAATGCTGAATTTATGCTGCTGACTATCCATTGTCCAGGCTGAGAGGGGCCAGTCATAAGGGAGTGGGTTTTGGCCAGGCCCCAAGGCACATTAGAACTGCGTCATCTCAATGGAGAACAAGAGATATTAGGGGAGAGGAAGACAGCTAAACACATAGGTGAGGTAGTCTGGCTGGGAGAAGACTAACTTGAAAGGATTGTGTCATTGTGAAGGGGTGTGGGAGATGAGGCTAGACAGGTAAGCACTTGACGCATGACTCTAGAGGATTTGGAGTTTGAGGGGGCTCGTGGGCATATCTACCTCTATCCTATATAACACTTCTGGGCAAAACAAGGGAAGACATTCTCTGGAAACAGAGGAATCAGAAGAAAGGCCCTTTCTCTCAGTGAGACAGCTGAACCCACAGACATGGCTCAGCAAGAAGTACCCCAGTCTCAGATTTCAGCCTCTTTGACCATGGCCTTGGCCTTGATTGGGGGGTGAGGAGGGGTAAGAGAACTTCAGAAGAAGGAACAACAGGACTTGGTAGCAAGTTGGACCTAGGGAAAACTGAAAGTAACTAAGATTGAATTCTGCTCCCTCCATGAGGGAGGCAAAGAGGGGACAATAGAGAGAACCACCAAGGGTGAAAGTGATTCTGGCTGTAGATGTGCTGGGTCAGAGTTGCTGGTAGGCCACCTGGAGGTGTGGATGTTCCCCCATTATCTGGGTATTAGATAATGGCCTGAAGCGCAGACACGATGGCCCCACTAAAGCCAAGAGGAAGGTCAGAGCTGTGGTTTACCTGGAAGGCAGGTAGGGGTGGAGAAGGTCTGTACTGATCAAGAGTAAGAGAGCCATGATTTGGAAAGAGTAGTTCAGGCAGATAGCATGGAATCAGCTTGGATCTTCATCTAGACCTTTCCACTGACCTGCCGTGTAACTATGAACCAATTTTTTGCTCTTTCTGGGTTCAGGTGTCCACTAAAATAACGATGATCTTAAAGGGCATTGCCATCTTTGACCTGCCAATCTAAGAACAGTAGAGGGAGTGAGGACAACAATGGAACAGGCTTAGCCTTATGTGGGGCTGGAACCAAATGGGGGCTGGGAAAAGGTACAGCCTTAGGAGACGGGAGCATGGAGAAAAGGTGCACAGGGCAAGGAGAAAGGGGACAGAAGGTTAGGGCCACACAGACACTGTGACACACTCACAAACATGCATCTGACAGTACAGTCTCCTACTTTGACATGCTCCTACACACACCCAGCCCCTTAGAAGACACCCAAGCACATCACACAGGAGAAAGTGGGAGAGACTCTGCCTCCCACATCAGAAAACCTCCACCTCTGGGTTCTCTAGCTTCCTGAACTATCCCTGAGCCTCCAGTATCCAGATTTAGGGAAGGCTTCATGTGGAGATGGAGCCTACCTTCTGCGGTAGGTCTTCCAGAGGCATCCTGGACTCTGGTCCCAGTGCAGCTGTTTTGGACCCCACAGTTCCAGGTTCCTGAAGACCGTCCCAGGGAGAAATCTGAATTCCAGGGATATCCCACAACTAGCTTGAGGTCACACAGCAAGGGAAGGGGCATGGAACCAACCAACCTCAGGTCTGATTGTTTAGGATGCTCCAACCAGTAAGGATTGGAAGCCATCCTGGCATGGGGCTTGCTGTGGAAGCTTGAAGTGGAATTCCTTCTACCAGCCTGAAGGCTGCCTTTCCCAGTGGATCTTCACAACAGGTTACCTGGGGATAGAGTCTATAGCCCTTCCAAAGAGATTCCAAGCAAGTCAAAGTCACCTCCCAGGCCACATCCTGGGAAAGTCCAAGTTCTAAAAAGACATTTCTCCCACGGAGGTCTGACAGGAGTGACCACCCAGTCTTCAGGGCCTGGCAGGCCAGACTTTCTGGAGAGGGCCTATACCTCCCTTTGCAAACACTTCCCCTGGCATAGACCACTCAAGACTCTCAAGTTCCAGTTAAACACTGACTTTATGGTCCCCAAACCTGCTTTACAGCCATCTTGCAGCCTCCATGCATTTAGCCCCAAAACTGCACTCAACTCCTATGTCTCTGTCATGCCCACATCCAATCAGTCACCACGTCCTGCCAATGCCTCCTCCTAACATCTCTCAGGGCATCCTCATCTCTCCACAGCCCCATCCTCCCAAAGGTCATTATCACCTCTCACTTGAACGATGCAGCAGGCCCCTCTCCACTCTCCCTACCACCCCTATCCCAGGCTGTCTTAGACGCTGTAACCAGAGGAAAAATTCTATTTTTTAAAAGATTTATTTAGTTATGCATACAAGAGCTGGGGTACAGGCCAGAGATGTGGGAGGTGACAGGATTCACCAGAGACAGAGGGGAGAACAGAACAGGCAGACTGACTGAAATACACTGCTGAGGGGAGCAGCGGGCGAGCCAGGAGAGGTCTGCGACGCCATGTGGGTTGCTCCCTGGCAGGCCGGGGATTGAACTCATGACACAAAGGCTGCGGATTGCTTCATAGTGCGGTGCTTAACCCCTTGCACCACTAGGGAGGCCCAGAGAGGAAAAATTCTAAATCACATTCCTTCTTTCTGGGTCCCCAGCACCTAGTTCAGGACCTACCATATTTTAAGTATCCTGGAATGAAAGAGGGCATGGAATGAATGCTCTCTTGCTGGCCCTTGTTTTGGAACTCCAGAATTTCTCTCCCCTACAGTAAAGGCCAAACTCCTCGGCAGGGATTGAAGACCCTTTACAATCAACCATCTACCTCTTTGACCCAATGATAAATTATTGAAGGTTGGTCTGTGTCTATTTTATGGCCATCACTGGCACAGAGCCCAGCACAGTCAGCCTCAACTAATGTTCAGAGAATGGATGAATTAATGAAAAGCAGAATATAGTCAGGGTCATCAGTGCTACCAGCTAGGATTTGTGTTTGTACAGAAGAAGGAGGAAGAGAAGCTCTGGTTGGGGTGGCCCAGAAGGCCTTGAGAGAGAACTCGGAGGGACACCTGAGGAACTTGTCTGGGGTCCTTTGTCAGAGAAGAGCCCGCAGGGGCAGGTGGAGCTGAGTGTGGAAAGATCTGAATAGCAAAGAGAGGATGAAGACTTGACTCTCTGGCTGTGAGGGGCCTGGAAGGTGTACACAGGGGAGGAGAAGATGAAGGTTGTGGCGTGGGCACTGGCATACAGGTCAGTGAGAGGGAAGAGAATTGACAGAGGGGCCAGGAGACACTGGCTGACAAGGGAGGAAATTTGCTGTGAGGATGCGGGAGGGGCCTGCACAGGGGCCCAGCGTGAAGATGGGAGGCCCTGTGATGCAGCAGAGTGATGAGTGGAAGGGACACCCCCCCCCCCCGTCGTGTGTGGGGTGGGGGACTGGCCCCTGCTGAGGGAAGGTAAGACCTCCTAAGGGAAAGTGTGTGGGGAAAAGGTGTGGCAGAGCTGGGAGCACAGCTTCCAAAGGTGGGGCTTTTGGGGGTGGTGCTGAGGGGTATCCTGTGGGATACCTGTGGGATTTGTAACAGGAAGGGGCCATTGTGGAAAAAGGGATCCCTTTTCCAAAGGGCTTGGGAGACTGCTGCTGAGGTGAGGGCCTTGCCCTGGACCAAGTCGAGGGAGTGCCCTGTCCCGCAGGCCCCGCCATGGGGAAGACCAACAGCAAGCTGGCCCCAGAGGTGCTCGAGGACCTGGTTCAGAACACGGAGTTCAGCGAGCAGGAGCTGAAGCAGTGGTACAAGGGCTTCCTGAAGGACTGCCCCAGCGGCATCCTCAACCTGGAGGAGTTCCAGCAGCTCTACATCAAGGTGGGCGGCCCAGGCGGGCTGGGCACCCAGGGGCGGGCTGCCGGATTCGCGGGGCAGGGCAGGGCGGGGCGGGGTGGGGTGGGGTGGGGTGGAGTAGGGGTGAGACGCGAAGCTGGCGGGGGTGGGGCGGCGCTGGGCTCCCCAGGAAGGGGTTGGGGGGGCGGGCGGCCGGGCAAGGGTTGGCGCTGCGTTGCAACCTCCACGCGCCCCTCCTGGCCAGTTCTTCCCCTATGGCGACGCCTCCAAGTTCGCACAACACGCTTTCCGCACCTTCGACAAGAACGGAGATGGCACCATCGACTTCCGGGAGTTCATCTGTGCCCTGTCGGTCACCTCCCGCGGCAGCTTCGAGCAGAAACTCAACTGGGCCTTTGAGATGTACGACCTGGACGGCGACGGGCGCATCACGCGCCTGGAGATGCTGGAGATCATCGAGGTGCGCTGGGGCGCGTCCCAGAGGCGGGGTGGGCGCCTGGGCCTTTGCTCCCGGGGCCTTCTCTGACCCCCTCCTCCTCCAGCCACCCTCCGCTCAGGCCCCAGGACTGGTGCTGCACCCCACCCGGCCCGCCTCCCAGCCTCCGGGGCAAACTGTCCCCAGGTGGCTGTCAGTGTGAGGAGGCCTTGTGCTAAGTGATGTACCCAACCATTCTAGGGAGCAGGGACTTCAGAAACCCCATTTTACAGAAAATGGGCCGTTGAAATCCAGGGAGCCTGACTCCCGAGCCTGAGTTCTTAGCTCAGGTATTCTTCCATAACTCTATCTTGAGTGTTTGCTGCCCTGCCTGTTAGGCATTCCTCAAAGTTTTTACTTTCATGCAACATTCCTTAAGTGAAAAAAATGTAAAACGACAGCAGTAACAAAAACTGATTCTGTGTCAGGCAGTAAGTGTTTTGAAAAAGATAAACAAAACAAAGTAAGAGGAGAGAGAGTGATGGAGGAAAGAGATGTTTAACTAAGATGAATTGTGAGTAACAACCTGGAGAAGGTGAGAGAACTAACCACACAGATCGCTGGGGGAAGAATTGTTCTATGCAAAGGGAACAATAAATGCAAAGTTTCCAGGGCCAGATTGTGTTTGCAGTGTTCGGGGAGGAGCTAGGAGGCGGGGTGGCAGGGGACACGTAAACCAGGGCGGGGTTATTCCCCCAGGTCCTTGGCCAGGGGGCAACTCACTTAGCGTCTCTTAGTCTGGGGTGGGCTTGACTGTGCGCCTATGGCATTGGGCAGCCACTAGAGGGCGCGCCCTCTCTTTGTATGGAGACCAGACTAAGGGGGTAGGAAGGTGGCAGGAATAGACTTTCCCAGCAAGCCAGCCCAGAGCTGCTGGAGGTGTGCAAGTGGCAGGAAGTGGTTGGAAATGGGATAGACTGTGGAATTAGGGCTGACAAGATTTGCTGAAGGATTGGATGTGGGATGTGAGAGAGGGAGGGGAGTCGAGAAATGGCATCACGGCTTGGATCTGAGCACCTAGAATGAAGCTGTTATTTACTGGGACAGAAAATACAGGGGTGGAGGGGTTGGGTTTTAGACATGTTTAGTGTGAGATGCTCATTAACTATCTAGTCTTAAGACCATACATCACCTTCCAGCATCTTCACCATCTCCCATTGGGCTGCCTGTCCACCCCGCACGCTCTCATTCTCCTCCAATCTTCCCTGCCCCTTGTGAGTGTTCACTTCTCCCTCCTTGCCCCACCAGGCCATCTACAAGATGGTGGGCACGGTGATCATGATGCGCATGAACCAGGATGGGCTCACACCCCAGCAGCGTGTGGACAAGATCTTCAAGAAGATGGACCAGGATAAGGACGACCAGATTACGCTGGAGGAGTTCAAGGAGGCGGCCAAGAGCGACCCGTCCATTGTGCTGCTGCTGCAGTGTGACATGCAGAAGTAGAGGCTGGTGAGGGGCAGGGCCCCTGGCCAGGAGGGGCATGGTCTCCTCCCCAAGCAATGACCTCTCTGGCTGGCCCTTTCCCAGAGAGAGGGGATCTCCAGCCTTATTCTTTGGCTTACCCACCCCTCTGCCCAAGTTCTTACTCCCCTCAATCAAGATCCTTGAGGGACCACCTCACCCTGGAAAAGAGACAGAGCCTCAGGTATCCTGTCATCTAGCCCCACCCCCAGTCTTGGCCCAGAACCCAACATCTACTGGGCATGGGAGAGTTGGCTTTTGTCCCCAGAGGCAGGGTTAAGGGAGGAAGGGCACTGGGGTTCTGCTTTGAAATTCTGTTGTTCTTGGGATTCTGCTTTATAGGATGGGGTGCCACAGACCCTAGCTAAAGGGCCAGATTGGGTCTGTCCTTTGCTGAGGACCCAGATCCCTGAATGCCCCCTTGACTCTACCTGGTCCCTCTGGCCCCAGTCTTTGGAGTGTTCATTCAGTCCTGTCTTCAGCTAATGTTTATTGAGCACCTGTTCAATGCCTAGCACCTCGAGGCGCTGAGGATATGGTTGTTTACAAGATACATTCTGTGCCCTCTGGAAGCTTCTAGGGCAGTGAGGCAAACTTCCAGTGGTCAGGGTCTCAGATGAGGCCATAGAGCACTGCTGAGCAGAGGATATGGCAAGACAGGTTAAGTTGAGGCACTATTAAATCTTTCTACTCAGCTCCACGAGGAGCTGCAGAAGGATGGATGAGGATGTCTGGAAGTCTAGGAGCTATGTGAGTGGGACTTTTAAGAAAAATTGAAATTATGTAATAGTTATATTTTTTGGTACCCTTTGAAAGAGCTAAAGTCATTTTATTAGTTTAGGATATTAAAACATACTTTATATTTCTTGGTTTCTTATAAAATGGTTACATGAATATAGGAAATGCTAATTTTCGGAGGGGGAAAGAGCTGAGAATAAAGAGGGCGAATACCACCAAGTTTGCCAGATAATCCTTTTCCTTATCAGGCCAGGTCCTGAGCTGTCACCATCAGCAGTTTCTGCTGTTTTTGCTGCTTCCTTTTTAATGATCTTTTTCGATTCAGTAAGCAGCTCTCTATTGCGCACTTACTCTGGTCGGGCACTGATATCGGAGACAGAAAAAACAAGGTTTGCTGAGAGTGAGACAAGTGTATTTCCCATATCTTGATAGTTCAGACCTGGATTTGGTCTAGTTTCAAGGAGGAGCTTCCTCTTTCATTGCTGCTGGCCACGGTCTAGGCTGCCAGGCTGCATCTATGGGCCAAATGCCTAAAAATGTGCTGAGCGTGCTCCATTGGAAACGCTTTTTTCTAATCCCGTGTCCTAAATTTGCCAGGTAATTCATCATCTCCCAAGTGTACTGACTTTGCTTTCCAATGTCTGCTTTCCAATTTTGGATTCACGAGCTCTACAGTTGCATGCTTTGATTATCAGAAAAAGTAATTTGCTTCTTCATTGGGTTTTCACTCTGCTTTCTCTATCCTTGTGATCAGAAGTTAGCTCTGCTGTGCAGTGGCAGTTGATTTCCTCTTGAACTGCTGTTCACAACAATCTAGTAGAGAGGTGCTGTCCTCCCAGGGTGGGAGTGGAAATGGCTGCTGAGTCCTTGTCGGTTCTATCTGCAGAAAAAAGATACAGTTGCCTCTTGATTCTGAGTGCTCACCCTGTCCACCCTCTCTGTGGGTGGAGACTCTTGGGGATGACCTTTGGTCCCAAGCTCTGTTGGATCTTTCCTCTTGCTGCCCTTGGAGGTAGCAAGGCGATAGGGTTGCTACCCTCTTTCTATCTCTCTGCCTATGACCAGCCACATGGTAAGCCTGGGGGAGTCACATCATCAGGCAGCAACCAGCAGATTTTTAATCCAGGAACACCTCAAGTGACGTTCCATTGCTCTCAGGAGATGGCTGTTAGGCGTGTCTTTTACAGTCATTTGCACTCCAGACATAGACACTCAACAGCCTGGCTCTGCTGAGATCTGATAGATAGAAGACTTTTTTACAAAGTGGGGTTCCTTCCCCCCAAATGTTGAATCTAACTTACTTCACAATCACACAGAACTTCATGGCTTTCAAAGGCTTGCCATTTACCCATCTCATCCTGTCCTCACAGCTTAGGAAAGCAGGGATTTTCATTCTCTTTCTCCAGTCTTGGAAACTGAAACAGAGAGAGGGCGTCCTTGTGCAGAGCACACAGTCAGAGGTAGAGGTGGCACAGGGCCAAGACTTGAACCTCAGGCTCTAAGAGGATTTCTTCCCTTCAAAGCCTTTTCTCTGCTCGTTTCTCTTTTGCAGAGTAGTGCAGAGGTCAACTGGGGGGCAGACCAGGTTGGTTTGGGTCTTTCATAAGCTTGCTGCTGAGAAGTTTCTGAGGCTGCGGTCTTACAAAAAAGAAACAGGAACTTGGTATAAAGGCCCCACATTTTTTGAGGATCCTGTGTTCTGCTTCTGGACGGCTCTGCCTCTGACTCCGAGCCCTGGGAACCTGCTGCACTGTTTTCACCACCACCTTCCACCCTAGAGAAGTGCTTTTGTTTTTCCCAGCTGGCAGGCAAGTCCTACCCATGAGGGTGTGTTTGATTACTCCAAGCTTTTGAACACACCCATGAGTGATATTTGCTGGTCGGGCCAAGGATTCCAGACAGCCCAGTGGTGCAAACACATCAACCAGGTCAGGGACTGGGACCGCCATCTTACACATGGGAGGAGCCCCAGGCAGGCCAGGCCTTGCTCCCACATACTCTAGAGTGTCCAGGGGACTGTGTCCTCTGCAGCCTCTGTGGTAGAGCAGCTACCTGCCTTGAGAAGAGAGGCACGCCTCTCGTTCCTGCCCCCGACAGGGCCTTGCCAGAGCCCCAGGCTGGCAGAGGCTAAAGAGTGACTTGTATAGACACAAAAATACAGATGGGTAAAAGAGTAACGTATCCCAAACTCTCCTTTGAAGTTCCCGAATCTTCTTGCAGCAACTCTGTGAATGTCAAGTTTCCAGAATCTACGTTCTCACTGTAGTCTGTCCTCATTCCGCCTCTTGGCAGAATCGATGAGTCTTTTCTTTCTTATCTCTAAAATTATCAGCAAGGACTATTTCAAGCCATTCCCATCCTTTGAGCCATCGTCAGGATTCTAGAATTTATCCTTAAATCAACAATTTTAGCAAAGACCCTTAAGTTTTTTTCTGATAATAGCAGCGTCCCTAGAGGTAGAAATCCACCCCGCTGCAGAGAGAGAGAAAGGGGAGGGGAGAGAAGCAAAGGGAAGGCGAGAGGAGCTGGGGTTTCCCGCCAGGATAGTAAGCTGACACTGTAAATATTTTTACACAAAAATTTATTAAAGCAACAAGTATTTCCTGAAGCTCCACCTTGGGTGAGGCTTCGTGCTGACTTTGTGCTGATTGCTGTGCGGGCAAGAGTACATTTCTTACATATTTTATTCATCATTTTTGAAAAAATAATTCAAATCCTTCCATTGAAGTCTCAGGAAAAGATGGGATTTTCTTCCTGAAATTTTCAGGCTTTTCTCTCACCTTTGCCAGAGTGTCGGGGCAGATATGCACCTCCCAGGGTATCCGGCCTCCCCTGCTTAGTGGAGGCTAGAGAAGTAGGAGGCCTGTTGAAGTGGGGGGCTAGGCGGCAGAGGGGGGCTTCCCACTCCTTCTCCAGCCTGGCCCCCTGGCCCCTTCAGTGTGCTGCTCCTGGCTGTGCCCACAGTGACTGTCCTCACTGTCCCGCCTGTGCTGTATGCTGTTTTGTTACACTGATAGTGAATAAAAGGTGTGACTGTGCTAACCACTTCTGCGCTTCTCTAAGCTGGAGTAGGCTGGGGTGAGGGGAAAGGTCAAGAGGCCTAGGGACGCTCACACACTGGGGGGTCCTCAAGAGCCTCCTTGGGGCTGAGGTCCTCCTTCTAGCAAGGGGAACACCCTTCTATAGCCAGAGGGGTGCTGTTCCCTTCCTGGGGATGGGGAGCAGCCGCATTGGAGGAGCCTGCTTGCACCTGAAACGCTCAGTTGCATTTACAAGGGTTTTCTCAAGGACACTTGGAGGGGGCCAGCTCCTTTGGCAGGAAGCAATTAGGACAGAGGAAGGAGGCTGACCTGGCCTCAGGGCAACCATGAACCTAAGGAGGTGACTCAGAAGCTTGAGAACTTGGGGCTGCTATTGTAGCTGAGGCTACTCTGGGGGGATGGAAGTGTCCCAGCCTACCTTGGGTCACAAGGCCCTGGGGGACACAGTTCTCCCACTCAGGCCCTCATTAACTCTAGCCGGGTCAGTGAGTCTACCTCCTGCTCTTAGCCTTGCCTTCTGCCCCATCCAGCTGCTGATTGCCAGAATGATCTTCCTGAAGCACAAATCTGACCAAGCCAATTCTTCAAAGTGCCCCTGCTTCTCTCTGCATAATAAGCTTCTGAAAAGTCTTGAGGCCCTGCGTGATTGGCTACCCTTGGACCTCAGAGGCCTGGTTCTTCCCCTACCTCCCACTTCCCACCCTTGCAGCCTGCACTTGAACTACCCTGAATTGCCCCCTCCCCACTTCCCTAAGCAGATCACTTAGCCTGCTGTGTTTATGCGCTAGCTATTGCCCCTCTTGGGCCACCTGTTCCCACCTTGATGATCTCCTCCTCCGAAGCCCTCCCAAACCCCAAGAGATTGCAATGCTGGCCTCAGTGTCTCTCAGCCATAAAAAGAAACAGAGTTTGAGGAAAAGGAAAGTGGCGTAATTTGTTGACAAATGAGGAGGGTAGCAGGCTCCCATCTGAAAGGCTGCTGTTCTGCTCTTTGGGAGAGTGCAGGGTTATTTATACAAAAGGAAAAAAGAGGGGGCAAAGAGATGGGCAAGGGTCTGTGAAGGGGAGGGGGAAGGGGTGGGCGCCACCTTGCTTTTTCAACAATATGCTGTTAACTCCCTTTTCCTTGGAATGCAAGATGAGGAACCTGTCAAACAAGGGGAAAATTGCAAAAGATGGGGGGAGACAAACTTGTTAATGCTTATCTGAGAGACCAGTCATTTGCAGCTGCATCAATGCGTACAGTCCTTCAGGGTTCCCAAGCAGTTCTCCACATGATTCCAGCAGCTCAGCTGAGCACAGGTTTAAGTCCCCTTTTTATTTATTTTTTAAAGATGAAATGAAGGCTCATAGAATGGTAAAGCTGGTCTCCCTAGAGCAAGCGCACCATTCACTGTAGCTACAGGGCTTCTGAGGAAGGGTCTTCCCTGTGGTGGGCAAGATGGGGAATGGGGCAGGGAGGGGAAGGGGGCAGATAAAGTGTGAAGGAAGAGAGGGATGGCCTCATGGACCATGGATGAGGTGGCATCTGTCCAGGGTCTTGCTAAAGACCAGCCACAGGGCCGGGTATGCTGGGTCAGGACCTCCAGGGGAGCAGTGCAGGTGCCCGGATTCTGGAGTCAGCTGGAAGGGATCTGTTGGCAGCGTAGCCACCCAAAGATGACTGAACTATGTGGGAAAGTGCTAGCTAAAGTGCAGAAATGCAGACACCCAGACAACCCCGCACCCAGCCAGCCACCTGGGAGTCACAGGAAGACAGAGAATGGCCAGGACCCTAAAAGGGGAAGAGTGCTCTAAGGTCAACTTCTCTCCTCACCTTCCAACTTAAGGAAAGTTGTTAAAGAGCCTGAACCAGGAGTCTGGGAAGGATCCTTTGATGGTGAGGCCCAGAGGCCTGTCGATGTGCTGGAGGAGTGGAGACTTTTGGTGGCAGATGAACAGAACTCAGGTCAAACGAGCTTACGCGAAAAGGGAGGCTTAGCGGCTCACGGAATTGGGAAGTTAAGGCACTCCAGGCCAGAGGTGCACCCCCTCCTAGCTCTGTCTTCTCTTGCTCTCTAAGTGAGCTTGGTGTGCTCTCCAGATGGCAGCTCACACTGTCCCTAATTAACAACCCCAGAGAAGAAAGGAGCAACTCTCCCAGCCCCCCTCTACAGTGTGCAGCCCAGGGCCCAGCTGGGGTCACATGCTCATCCCTGGCTCAGTCTTGGTGTCTGGGGGAGATAGGGTTCTACAGTTGGTCAGGGTTAGGTCACATACCTACTCCGAGACCAGGGAGGCAGGGCCTGTTACTGGAAGAGGGTGGGAAAGGCTGCTTGTCAAACAAAATGAAGGGGGCCACCAACTTCCTTTGGGACATCTGTTAAAGTGATATAGAGAATCTCATGGAAATTCCAAGAAGGACACTACAGCCCAAGCCTCCACTGGACTTGCGAGACAGTCAGGACCAGCAGCAGCAAGACTTCCCTTTCATGGGGTGTCTGCCGCCCTCTGCAGCTTTTTTCCCATCTTTATTTGCTGATAGGTTCATTTTGCTCACACAGAGTTCTGCCCCCTCTTAGCTTTACATTGCACAGGACTGTATCTTGCTAAGGCTCATCAGGTCTTCTAGAAGGCAGCAATCTCACAGCATCCTCAACTCCTATTCCTGCGGCTGACTCTCCATCCCAATTTCCAGCTCCTGAGAAAGATGAATACAATTGACCCAGACCATCCTTTCAACCCAGGTCACCGGTCAGAGGTCACTGGGCAACATGGAGAGGGTTCCCCTTTGCATCAGGTACTCACCCCCTGAAATAACCCCCCTATACATTCTTCTCAAGTGACCTCCTCCATGAGGCTTCCTAGAGTTTCATAACCTCTTAATGCATAACAAGCCACCCCAAAACTTAGTGCTTCAAACAAAATGTATTATTTTTCATGATCCTGTGAGTTGACTGTGCTTAACTGGGAGGTTTTACTGCTTCAGGTGCTATTGGCTGGGGTCACTCACCCAGCTGCACCTCACGGGAGCTGGGGCTGGAATGACCAAGATGGCCTCGCCCATGGATGTGGCAGTTGGTGCTGACAGTCACTGTTCTTCTGCACTGGCTTCTTATCCTCCAGAGCCACTCTGTCTCACCATATGACCTTTCCAGAAGGATAGTCTAAGCTTCTTTCACAGTAACTGGTTGCCAAGAGGGCACAAATGAAATCTTCAGGGCCTCTTCAGCCTTAAGCTTGGAAACCACGTAGCATCACTGCTGCATTTTATTAATCAAAGCAAGTCAAAGCAAGTCACTGGACCAGCTCAGGGTCAACTCCACCTCTGTAGGGGAAAAATGGCCAAATAACATCGCCACCCGGCTGGCAGGATGGAAACGATTTGCAGCCATCTATGGAAATAATTTATCAAGCCCTGAGAAGGGCAGGTCTAAACATATTTCCCCCATCCTGAAACTTATTATTTTCCGCTTCCTCCCACAAAAGGTTTCATCGGTTCCTCCCAGGGCAAGGTGGAGGCTGGGCAGATCCCTCCTTTCTGTACCCTGTCCCAGTCTGATGCCCTGGAGGTTTGGCCAGGATTGTCTGCGGCTCCCACCTACTTTTTGCACACTTCTGGGCTCACGCAGAGGCCCCTGTCTGCCTCCTGGGCTGTGCCTTGGGATGGGTGGCATCAGGGTCTACATCTCGGGTTCTGCACCAGGGGTGACAATGCCCTGGAACTCCAGGATGGTGGTCCAAGATGCCTGGGTTTCGAGGCTCCTTTTCTATGCTCTCTCCTTCCATTTCCTTATAGGCTGTTCACTAACCCCTCCAACCAAGCTCGGTAGGCGGATTCTGAGACGGTGAGCCCCTGCTGGCCATTAGGGAGTCATAAAGAATCCGTGTTCCGAGCCTCGGGGAGTCTGTCAGGTTTTGGGGTGGGGGCAGGACCTGGCCTGGCCACGGCCTTTCAGCGCCCCTCCGCCTGGGTGTGGGAGAGATGCCCGACTGGGCTTGCCATGGAGCTCCCAGCCAGCAGCCGAGCCCAGCAGCCGAGCCCAGCACGCACGGAGCTAGCCATCCACCACTCCCTCGTCCGCGGAATATTCCAGGGTCCTAGCGTCAGAGGAGGAAAGAGAGGGTTACTCTTGGGGGGAAGGGCGACCAGTTTTTCTTATTCACCTTTGGGAAAAAATATTGCCAGGCCTCCCCTCCCTCGGTGCCCTTGCACGGAGACGATTCCCCGCAATCCCGAGTCCGCCGCAGCCTGCAAGACCCCATCTGCGGCCGGTCTCCAGCGGCTTCCCCCACCCCCATTCACTTGCGGCTAGGAGGGCCAGGAAGGGCCCCCCAATACTCGCGCAACCACGCGGGCGACCGAGAGCGCGAGTTCAGCGCCCCGGCGCCCCCCACCCCTCCCGCCGGGCGGGCGCGCACACACTCCCGGCGCTGCCCGCCCCTGGGCGCGCCGGCCGCGCCCCCTCCCGCGCCCAGTCCCGCCAGCTCCGCGCCGCGGCCGCCCGCTCGGGCCGCGCTGGGTCAGGGCCGGAGCATGGAAGCCGGGGCGCCCCGGCAGCCTCGCGAGCCCGGGCCGGGCGCAGAGACCGCCGCAGCCGGGGGCTGGGACGAAGCCAAGACTCTGCACGACAACCTCTCACCCAAGAAGAAACCCAAATCGGTAAAATTAGGGCAACGATATGGGGGGGATTCGGAGGAAGGGTCACCGGGCAGAGGGGTCGTAAGCCCCGCGGGAGGGACCCGTGGCGTCCGCGGGGTGGAGACGCAGTGAGAGCCTCGCCGGGAAGGCGCTGGCCGGCGGGCGCAGGCTCGGGGTTATTTTGGGAGCTCTGCTCGGGTGTTTCTCCACCCCGCACCCCACCGGCTCGGGTGCCACGCCAGGGTCCCCCTCCCGCATGCTGTCATCTGGGCCCCACTCAGGCCCCGCGCCCCAGACACACACACACACACACACACACACACACATGCACACGCACACCCCATCCCCAGCGCAGGCAGCCTGGGGCTCGGACAGCACTTGTTGGCAAAGGCGGCCAGTCGTGCCTGCAGAATCAACCTCCGCCCCCCCCACTCCCCGCAGCTAGAAACCCCACTCTAGAAACCTGGCACCTTGCTGGGTTCTCCGGTCTCTACCATCTGGCCACGGGGTTCCCAGGGCCTTGAGCTCTTAGGCTCCACGTCCTAAGGGAAGGAAGCTGCCCTGGGATCTGTGCTCTCAGTTCAGGCCTCCTCTGGTTCCCAGCCCCAGCCCTGGGTTCTATTCCCTTCACCTTGGGCACCAACATTCCTCATGACCCCTGTGGTGGCCCCAGCCCTCTGGGGGGCACGGAGAACAGAGATGCTTTACCCATAGGGCAAGTTCAGGATGCTTTGGTTGGCTTTGGGCAGACTCTCTCCACCTTCCACCTTCCCAGAGCTCAGAGCTCCCAGCTCCGGGAGGAGACAGAGGGTAGAGGTGGGCCCAGCTGTGTCCTCTGGAGAGCTCCAGAGGGACCTTAAAGCATCCTGCCGCTTCCTTCCAAAGACCCTTCCCCTTCCCAGGCCCACCCAGTCAATGGGCACTCCTGGCAGCACCTTCTGGGCCCGCAGAGCAGTGGGAACTGAGAGATGAGTTAGGCTGAGTCCCTGCTCCAGAGCTGTCAGTGCAGGGAGGGAGAGCCTGGACACAGAGAACGCTAGGAGGGAGACCTTTCAGCGTGCCCTGGGAGGTAGGGGAGAGTGACTGCCCACTAGGGGAGGCTGGCATTTGAGTTGATGTCAAAATCTGAGTAGTTCCTTACCCAGTCAGAGAGGGAAACACGGTAGGAAAAAGGCATGGCCAGGTCTTTAAAACTGAGTGGGAAAATGCAGAATGGATGGGAGAAGCGTTGGAGGGCCTTGAGTGCCATGTTAAAGCACCTGGAATTTATCCAGTGTGATAAGGGGTTGTTATAACTGGATTCCATGGCCCCCCATGTTTCAGGGGGTTTGCATGCCTGTGAATCCAGTTCTTTTCTTTCTTCTTCAAACCATGTTTTAAACAATTAAATATGTGTAACAAATCCCAACACGTTCAAATGTGTTATATGGACATCTTAGCACCTTGGAGACTAACAATGTATGAACTTGTGCTGCACGTTGATTTTTTTAAAAGCAAATCTCAGAATAAAGTCTTTCCTGTGACCTCTTTAATAGATTATTAGCTTGAGATTGCTGACAATTGTAGTTGCTGAGAATTGTGAGATTCGTAGTTAAAGAACTAAACAAAAACCTCTCACCACGTGCAATCACTTAACGGTGTGAATCAGGGGTTTCTCAATACTATGCAAAAACAACAAACACAGAAATAAATGGACTAGATGCTGAAGCTTACGTCTGCACTGGCATCCTAGGCCCCAGTTTCAAATCTGTTGTCAACCAAACAACTGTGTTGCTTTCATCATAATAAATATATCATGTACGTGTAATACATTTGAATGTGTCAAATAAATGTATACCAATAGAATAAGGTAATGTCTGGTTTATATAGTTGAATAAAGAGTTTATTTGAATTAAAGGCCAACCTACTTTTTAAAAAGCATGGAGACCTTGTGAAACTATGGCAGCATTTTTCAGAGGGGCATGAACATGGGCCCATTACCATTTTAGAAAGATCTGCCTGGGGTGATGAGGTGGATGGGCTGGAGTGGGGCAGCAGGCAGGTCACTGAGGAGAGTGCCCTCTGCCTAAGGAGGCAGCAGGACTAACAGCATGGTCTGAGGTTGGAGGGGAGGGAACAGATGTAGGTGAAGCTCATCAACCCATTTCCTTCCCAAGCACCAAGGGGCCAGGTTGCTCAGGACCAGTTGTCAATCATGACCTCTCAGCCCCTGACCCTCAGGGTTCTCTGGAAGGCCAGGAACCTGGCGGCTTCCCAGCCTCTACTCCTTCCTGCAGTGGCCCCTCCTTCCACAGGCTATTTTGGGGGCTTTGGGTCTCGTGGGCCTCATCAGGGCCTGGTCCAGGCTTATTCTCATTCCCAGCAGTGCAAGTGAAACATTTAACCCCTGAAAGCCCATGGGAGGCCCCCATTTCAAGGGATCAGAGAAGTTCCTCAGTTGAGCTCTATCTTGTCCCCTGCAGCAACCTTTCTCCCTCCAAGTCCTTCTAGAAATAACAGCTGTTGGTCTGCGTTCCTGTCTTGGGCCCAACAGGCAGAATCATGTTTGCCTAAATGAGAGCTCCTCAGGCAGGCTGATTGGGGCTGGGCTGCTGTCCATTATGCCCCACCCTGTCCCCAAGCCAGAGTGACAGTCTGTTCCCGAGCCACCGTGGAAGGCAGAGAGAGCTGGCAGACCCCGGCTCCCTGGAGTCCAGTATTCCCAGGCTGAGCCTGAGAGAAGGGTCTTTCAGATCTAACTCCCTGTCTGGAATCTGGTTTCAGATTCCAAAAGGAATCTGATTTCAGAAGGAACTGTCCCTTGGCTGTCCCTGACAGTGGATGGCATGGCGGCTTCCCTCTGCCGCAAGGTCCCTCTTCCACCTGTTCCTCCAGCTCCCTCCCAGCTTAGATTCATGTTTTCCACAGCAGCCCGTGCCCTCTAGGCCCTTGGGCTCCACCTTACCTGTATAGCAAGTCTTGAGCAGGGTCAAAGCAGGCTGAGAGGGGAAATGAGGTTCTCCTGGAGCCATCCATTCTGAGGAGAAAGAGCTCTGCCCTTGGTCTGCCCTTGGAAACTGCAGTCTGAGGGCACAGCGCCCCTCACGATTCCTCCCAATCTGAAAATGGAGATCCGGGGAAGTAGCTCAGGTAGTAGGGCTTAGAGCCTTCTGGGAGCCATTGAGGAGGGGCATAGCAGGGGAATGCCTTTGGGACTGAGGCCAGCCTGGAGGTCAGAGATGTGAGATTCTGTCTTGACTCTGCCTTGACATTGCCGTGTGACCTGGAATAACACCTGCCCCCTCAGGGCCTGTTTCCCCATCTGCAGGTGTCCCCAGGTGGAGACACTTGGGGCCAAGGCAGCCAGGACATTTCAGTGGCAGGGTGGATGGAGTCTGGGTAACTCAGCTAGAGGCGGTCTGGAACGGCACTGTCTGGCAGGAACTATCGGACAGAAAGTGAGGAGCCAGATGTTGGCTGGCTGCCTGGGCTGGAGAGTGGCTTGGTGACCTGCCTGAGGGGGCTGGAGGGCAGCTGGCTCTCTGTTCTTGATAGGGGGGATGGGTCTGTCCCTGGGGCAATAGCTCAGCCCCTTTTCTTTCTTTCTTTTTTTTTTAAAGATTATTTATTTATGCATACAAGAGCTGGTGTACAGGCCAGAGGTGCCGGGGGCGGGGGTGAAAGGATTCACCAAAGACAGAGTGCGGAGCAGAACAGGGCAACTGACTGAAATACACTGCTGAAGGGAGCAGTGGGTGAGACAAGAGAGGTCTGCTGTGCCATGTGGGTAGCTCCCTGGCCTGGGATCAAACTCGTGCTGCAGTGGCTGCAGATAGCTTCATAGTGCTGCGACTTAACCCCTTGCACCTCCAGGGAGGCCCTCATCCCCTTTTCTGAAGACCAACAGGTTTCCAGGTTTTTGAGAGTGGACACCCCGACTCCCCCAGACCTTTTCTCTTACCATCCCTGGTATCTCTCTTTCACTTCTTTCCTTTAGTCTCTTTACTCTATCCTTGAGAGCTCAGAGCCTGTGAGAGGGTGGGGAGGTCCCCAGCCCAGCATGCACAGACAGCTGGGACAGGTGCTCGGGGTGAGCCCCAGAGGAGAGGCACCTGGCCTGCCACTCCTCACACTGACCTTGCTGGCCACATCCACCATCTGGGTTGGGTAAAACATCACATGCAAGCTTAGATCTGCCTCATGGACTTGGGGAACTCTGGTCTTCATTTCTACTATGAGGGTGAAAGCTTCACTGGCCACTGACCATACAGAGCTACTTAAAATAATTAAGATGAAATACAATTAAAAATTCAGTCCTTCAGTCTCGCTAACCACATTTAAGGGCGGACATACAATCACATGGACAGCACTGGTCATCTCTGTGATCACAGGAGGTTTTGCTGGCTGGTGCTCTACCATGGAATGGCTCAAATCTCTACCTTGGGAGTAGGGTGTAAGCTCCATGGGGTAAAGGTCATATCTGCCTTGTCTCTGGCCATGTCCCGGCACAGTGCCTGTCGCGTAGTAATCACTCAGTGCTGTCAACTGATTGAAGCCAGACCTGACTCCAGCGAGAAGCAGCAGAGTCAAGTTCATGGCCCTCAGGGCTATCAGGAGCAGACCAGAATTCGAGATCCATTTATGAATGAGTCTTGCCTTCATTGAGACCCCCATCTGTGCAGGGAAGCATCGCCCCAGGATTGCTCAGGTCAAAGAGATGTGGTAGGACTCTCTGGGTGTCTGTGAGTCTCTTGGGCACCCATGTTCGGATCCTCCCTGGAGATTGTAAGGGGTCAGCTGCTGTGCGTGGTGGCATGCCCCACTGGAGGTGGCAGAGGGGTGCTGAGGCCCCCCCGGCGCCCTGAGAGAAGGCCTCTGCCACCCAGCACCTGCCTCACCTACACCCTCGCCCCATGCCCTGGGCTCTGCCCCCTCTGTGACCTCACTGTCTGCTGGCTCACCTCCTCATGCCTTCCATCACCTCCACTCCTCCTTTAAGGTTCCCCTCAAGCCTCTGTGCTCCCATGGCAACTGCCCCTGAACCCCACCATCCAGACTTTGCTCCCCCTAGCGTCTGAGTACTTGGTTCAGTCCCTTTGCCTCTGTCTACCTGTCTTTCTCTCCTACTTGCCTGTGAAATTTACATCAGCCAGAAGAACACTCTCCGCACACCTGTCACAGAGCAAGCGGTCTCTGTGGCTGCTTAGGACATTAGGACGTGAACTGGAGTTCCTAGTCAGGTTGAATTGGCGAATACTGTTTCTCCCTGAAAGATATTACTTAAAGATGTTTGGAGGGGTGCATGATCACATCTGAACTTGTGAAATATCCCCGGATGACAACATGGAAGACAGACTAGGGGGCAGCCTGGATGGGCTGGAGAGGGCAGAGGAGACAGGAAGGCGTGACTGCATGTGTGGAGTTGACAGGCTGGGGTGACGGCTGGATGGGTTGTGGAGGGAGCGGGAAGACTGGAGGTTGAATTTGGGGCTTCTGGCTGAGGGGGTGAGTGCCCACGTGGAGGTGCTGAGCTCCAGCTGAGGAAGGAAAGGTCTGGGGTAGAGAGAGTGGTGGGAATTCAGCCTTGGGCACTTGGAGTTGGGTGTCTGTTAGTCCACTGGGGCAGTAAGGCATGAGTCAGGAGCTCAGGAGGAAGATCTCACTGCAGACAGAGATTTCCTTATAGAACTGTTTCTGGAACCGTTCCTGCCTAAGGGCATGTAGTCCTCGTTTTTTAATGGAAACCATCTGGACATTATCGCAAGCACCGGTCGTCCTTAGGCTAAATACACTCTTTCCATTTTTCTGTTGTGTCCACATGGCTGGCTAGATGGCAGACTCCTTCGAGAACACGTCCTCCCATGGGGTAGTGCTCCTCTGTCCCCAGCTGGGCCCTGCACCAGGAGGTCCTGACCTAAGTCTGACCCAGCCCAAGGTTAGCCCCTTTAGGGCTATCCTGAGCCCAACCCTTGTCTCCCCCTTCCCGAGGGGCTTGCCCGTGAGCCCCAGGGAATGGCAGTGACCCCCTCTTTCTGCCCCTCTGCAGCCCAAGCCGCAGAATGCAGTCACCATCGCTGTGTCCTCCCGCGCCTTGTTCCGCATGGACGAGGAGCAGCGGATCTACACGGAGCAGGGCGTGGAGGAGTACGTGCGCTACCAGCTGGAACATGAGAACGAGCCCTTCAGCCCCGGGCCTGCCTTTCCCTTTGTGAAGGTGAGGGGCAGTGGCACTACTTGCCCAAAAGCTGTCTTTTTGGGGATGAGCAGAAAAGCACTCCCGTGGGTGTCTGAGTAAGGAAAAGCGTCCTCTCTGGGCAGATGCCACCCCAGGAGCTCAGTCTGGCTAGAGGACAGAGTCGTCGTGGGGAGAAGGGGCTGCCCCATGCCCTGAATGAGGACAGCCCCGTGCCAGGGAGCCAGCTTGGTGAACCACCATGGGCTGGGTTTTAGCCCCCACTCACCGTTTCAGTGAGGTGCCCGTGATCAATACCCCCCATAGAGGCCTTAGGAGAAGGTCCTTGTCCCCTGGGCTCCCCTCTCTAGCCGCTTTGGATCCCAGTTCACCCCTCCTCCCTGGCCATAGCTACCAACTGCAGGTGTCATTCCCTGGAGGGTCTGAGCTGGAGGCTCCTTCTCCCACCAGGCTCTCGAGGCTGTGAACAGGAGGCTGCGGGAGCTGTACCCCGATAGCGAGGACCTCTTTGACATCGTCCTCATGACCAACAACCATGCTCAAGTGGGTGTCCGTCTCATCAACAGCATCAACCATTATGGTGAGCAGGAGGGGGGTGGCTGTGGGACACCCACACCAGACACTGGGACAGCCCCCACCTCTGCCGGGGCAGGGTTAGAGGAACCCCAAGCCCAGCAGTTTGAAAAACAAAACAAAACAAAAAGACCCTGATCCTAGCATTGCCATTTTCAAGGTGTTAATATTTCCATCCTGGCTAATTTTAAGCTACCGACAGTTGAACAATCGAACTGGATTTAAAAATCTCTGGATGTTTAAACATTTGATTTGTGCAAGTCATACTGCATACCACTGCATGGGCCTGCCGGCTAGATGATTGGAGAGGGCACTTACTGCTTGTGTGCCTCAGTTTCTCTATCTACAGTGGGCCTAACAGGCCTCACAGGGCTGCTGGGAGAAGCAGCTTCTGTGGTCAGAGCAAAGGGGCTTGGTGTCTTAGTCCAAACTCTCGATTCAAAGTTCTTGTTCTGCGCCTCCAGAACAAGCTTAAGCCAAAGAATAATTCCTTATCAGATTCAGGAATGTCTCATGGAGCCACAGGACAGGAAGTAAAATTGGGTCTGCAAAGGCCTGAATCCAATCTCTAGAAATCTCTCCTGGCCTTTTTCTCTCTCAGCTGATTGAGTCTTATTTCTGCTTCTTTTGGTAAATCTATTCCTTTTCTTCTCCCTCTCTTCTTTTCTCCCTCCCTCTACTCCTCCTCTCCCCAAACTAGGTTTCTCTGCATTTCCTGAGTATGGCCCACATCTTTAAGTTTATAATTTCTTGTTTTAAGTAACCAAAAGAGTCCAGTTGACATTTTAAAACTCGATTTCAAATTGTTGAGAACAGGGGTGATGTTCACAATATTTAACCAGCTAAGACTCAGGGACTGAGTAATCAGGATGGACTCCACCTATGGTTTTGGCACAGGCCCTGCAGGACCCCCGCTGTGCCAGCCATCACCGCTCAGCTGTGGCCCGCCCTGCACTAGGGGCTGGAGTGGTGAAGGGCTGGCTCAGTGGGCTCAGAGCAGTAGCTACTGTGAGGAAGGTCACACAACACACACAGACTTGGTACAAGGTGACCATCAGCCCTGAAGAGAATCTGATGGGCCCGGCATGGGTCAGGTGTCTGTGCCCCTCCAGTCAGCTGTGACCAGGAGGCTTCACACACACACCCTGAGCTCCTGGGGGGCTCACTTCTTATATTACCATGATTCCCAGACAAGAGGAGGTTACTGTGCGCCAGGTAATTGCTACGGAGGTAGGATTATTCCCGTTTCATGGATGAAGGATGAGAGGAAAAGGGCTGACCTAAAATCGCTCAAAGAATCCCTTAGCTGCCTGGCCACCACTCAAAACAAGATGGTGGCCATTGGACACAGAGGGACAACTCTGAGGCCCTGAGCATTGACCTTGGCCTCCCTGGGTCCTGTCTGCTTCCTTCCCAGACCTGTTCATCGAGAGGTTCTGCATGACGGGTGGGAATAGCCCCATCTGCTACCTCAAGGCCTACCATACCAACCTCTACTTGTCGGCTGACTCAGAAAAAGTACGGGAAGCCATTGATGAAGGTGAGTCAAACTGGGGAGAGAGGATCTGGGGAATCTGGTAAAAGAGTGGGAGACCTGGCCCTAGAGTTCTGAGCAGGCACTGGGGTTGCCATGGTAACTGAAAGGTGAGGCTGTGCAATACCTTCCTTACTTCCTATGTCCTGTTCTGTTGACTCTGAGAACAAGGCCCCGCCTATTCCACTTATTACCATCTCTTTCACTTTCCACCCCCTGCCCTGCCATATTAAGAATGCTTTTACTCATCAGCTTCACCCAGCCTTCTGTTTCCATGGAAACCCTCCTTCCAGCCCAGAAAGCTACTCCCTTCTATGATTGCTGCAGGTCAGTAGGAGTTCTAATTCTTGGGTGACCATGGACAGCCTCTGGCCCTCTTGACATCAGTAGGGTGGGAGATCAGGCCTCTCCAACCTGGGTGGTGGGGTTTGGGAAATGTCCAGCATTTCCAGCAACTGGGCTGGCTAATGCTGGGGTGAGGTTAGGAAACCCAGCTGCAAATACTGACAGAGAGAATTCCCCTCCACATGTTGCTTTCAAGGGGCAGTTTTGGGTGGTATGGGGAATCTCGGTCCTCTCGACAGGATGTTTATTGCTACTGCACCTGAGAGAAACAGGCCCACAGGGGAGGCAGGACTGCCCAGCTGCCCGAGCGGGCTCCTCAGACTGAACACTAACGCAGACTTATATATTCACTTTCTCTTCCTCTTTCATGCTGTCTCCTGCCTGGAAGCCTGGCCTCTTTCCCACAATGCCTCACTCCCCTGAGCTGCTTGGGGGCTCCAAGAGCTTCCCAGGAAGCAGAAGCCGTTTCCCTAGACAGATGTCACACCCTCTCGTTGGGGTCTTGGCACCTGCCTGCAGGTGTGCCTTTCTATGTCTGTGATGTGAGCTCAGGCTAGGGAGCAGGAGATGGTCTGGAGGGAGGCCCACGCTCAGGGTGGGATGTTCTGGCTCATCTGAACTCTGATATTGGCACTGGCAATGCTGAGAAGTTGCTGACCTCATGCCTAGGCCCAGCCCTGCTGGTAGCATCCTTGGGCTCTGAGGCTGGCACTGCTCACTCCTCCCAAAATTCTGCTTACACCCACCCTGTGAGCCTAGATTCCCAAATAGCAGGGTAGAAGCAGCCTTTGGAGACATGAAAAATAGGGAGGGGGCTGAGACAGCCGCCCAGGTCTCCAGCCTCCTGGCATTGCTTTCTGTTGGCCACCACAGCTCAAACCTGAAGCTGGGGTCCTGATGGGGCATCCTGGACCCACTGGAGAATCCCAGGGGTGCAGAGAGTCTGTGCACATAGTCAAATGTAGTTTTTGCTGCTCCCCCTGGGAACCCACATTTTCTCGAGGAACCCTGAGTAAGCAGGCCACCCTGAGTAGTGCATACCCGGGGGGCCACTGTGGTGGTAGACTGGGGGCACCCACCCCACCCCACCCGAGACTGTAGCCTGGGATCTCAATCCCAGACAGAGCTGAAACACCCTTCATTTTACCTTGGTCCAGAGAAATTGAAGAACTTTCTGGAATCAACAGCAAGAGCGTAACTGAGGCCAAACCAGAGTTGGAACTCCTTTCCAACCCCCTGTAAGTCTATGACAGGGCCTGTGAGGACCCCCTGGCAGGAAATTAGTGGCCTGGGGAACACTTCCTTCCAGCCAGAACTCATAATCAGTTGATCCATTATACTAGGTGTTGAGGTATTGAAATTGTTCTATTATGACTGATACATAATTTCTACCCTGAGTCCTTTGAGGGCCCTTCTGTCCCCTGGGATTCTCCACAAAAAGCAACTACGAGGGTCACCCTGGAATAGATCAGTGCCCTCAAAGACGTACTTAGAGCAAAAGGCATTGTCTGTTCTTATTGGCCAGCTTTTAAATATCAACCCTCCTGAGCCTCACTCCTAGTCCTGGGACAGGCAGATAGAGCTAGCCCTTTGAGGCAGAGCTCGGGGGTTCAGGGGCTGGCACTGTTCCCAGATGAAGGAAGACATTTGCCTATTTTTGCACAGGGATCGCAGCTGCCACCATCTTCAGCCCCAGCAGGGACGTGGCTGTATCCCAGAGTCAGCTGCGCGTGGCCTTCGACGGAGATGCTGTGCTCTTCTCAGACGAGTCCGAGCGCATTGTCAAGGCCCATGGACTGGATCGGTTCTTTGAGCATGAGAAGGCCCATGAGAACAAGCCTCTGGCCCAGGTGCTTCACACACACACACCCTGAACCCCCTAAGTGGTTCTAGGAGGTTACCTATGCAGGACTTGCTGTTGACTTGAACCCCCAGTCCAGAATGAAACCCCAGGCTCAGCCCAGATCCAGCCAGTTTCCCTGACTAAGCCTCCAGCCCTCACCCTTCTCATCTGACCTCTGGTACTCCACCATGAGCTTTGACCCCTTCACTGGGTTCCAACACCATTCCCTGCAGTCCCATCACCTCTTTGAAGCCCCTATTCTCTCTCTAAGTCCCTCTCTGGAGCCTCTACCCCCTCTTTGAAGCTCCTTTTTAAGGTCTCCATCCCTTCTCAAAAATCCCCACCCCTCTGTATGGGCTCACCCTCTCTCTGGACCCCTGTGTCCTTCCCTGAGATTCCCCCACCTTTCTGAATCAGCACCGTCCCCTCAAGAAGTCCATTTTCCTCACTGGAAGAAAATACCTGGACAGTGCCCCTCACCTGTGTTTCTCTCTAGTCCTTCCCAGCTCCTCCCACCCGATCTCTCGGCCAGAAGGCTCAGAGACCGCCCCTTCCATTTGCTTGGGGTCTCCCTGAGAACAGAATAGATCTTGCTGGAAATTCCCTGGGAATGGAGTTGTTAGGATATCCAGCCCTTCTGGAAGCTTCCATATTTGTGCTTTTAACAAAAATCTGTGTGCTCAATAATCCCAAAGCCTCTGGCCCCAAGCACAGAGCAGGCTTCTGTGTGGCCTCTGAATATCCTTTTCACTCCCATTCTCCTTGGTTCCCTCTGATTCAAGTCCAGGGCAGGACAGTTTGCCCACTAAGAGCTGGACAGAGGCCTAGGAAACCAATGCCTGCTCCAGGTCACCCAGCACGTGTGGGGTCTCCACAAATGGAACACAACTCCCTCCAGCTGCTGTGCAGTTGTGTCCGTCAGCACCTGGTTCTTTATTCACATTAAGCTTTGTTGTTTTGGGCACTATAGAAAGGAAATCATTTTCCTGACCCTAGAGAGCTGGACATGACTCCCTGTGCCCGAGGAGCAGGGTCCATGTCCAGCAGTTACAGGTTGGCCTGTCTGTCCCAGTTGTTTACAGCTGGAGTCCATTCCAATGGGGGGCTCATGCATAGTTAGTGAATTTTTTATATCTGCCCTGCTGATGGGCACAGAGGCCACACTGATGCAGCTGCAGGACAAACCTCACGGGTGGGTGGTGCATGGATGGACATCCTTGGCAAACACCCGTTGGTGCGTGCAGTTACCGGAGCAGGCAGGGCAGAGCTGGGAGATTAGGGCTCCAGAACAGCTGCCTCACCCAGACAGCAAGGCTGGTGCTTGAGGGAGGAACCCAGCTGGGGAAGGGCCTGCGTTTGGGAGAGGGACGAGCTCACAGTGTTTCCTTGTCTTCTCACAGGGCCCTTTAAAGGGCTTTCTGGAGGCGCTGGGGAGGCTGCAGAAGAAGTTCTATTCCAAGGGCCTGCGTCTGGAGTGTCCAATCCGCACCTACTTGGTGACGGCACGCAGTGCAGCCAGTTCTGGGGCCCGGGCTCTCAAGACCCTGCGAAGCTGGGGTCTGGAGACAGATGAGGCCCTGTTCCTTGCCGGAGCACCCAAGGGCCCCCTCCTTGAGAAGATCCGCCCACACATCTTCTTTGATGACCAGATGTTCCACGTGGCTGGGGCTCAGGAGATGGGCACAGTGGCCGCCCATGTGCCTTACGGCGTGGCACAGACACCCCGGCGGACTGCACCTACAAAGCAGGCCCCATCTGCACAATAGTTGAGCCGCCAACTTTACCTGCCCACATCGCTCCAGACACTGCCTTGTGGCCCGGTGGGTCCCTCTAGCTCCTCACTCCCTGCCCTCTGCATGTCTGCCCTCCACCCCAAGCGGGGCACTGTGGGAATGATGCAGACTGGGCCGGCATCTCACCAGCCCTCCCTTTTTGGGCAAACACTGTGCAAGGGTGCTGCCTAGGAAGGTAAGGCTGCAGAGTAGGTGGGGTTTGGGGGCAGGTTGATGGGACTGAGGCTAGGAAGGGCCAAGGAGCCAAGATGCCTCTAAGGGGGTTTGGGGTGAAAACTAGCTCAGTCTCTCTCAAAGAGCGCTGCTCTGAGAGAAGGAGGATCTGATTTCTAAGCTGGCCTGGAATTAACTGCATAACTTTGAGTACACCCCTCTTTTTCATGGGTCTCAGCTGCCCTGCTCAAATGGTGGCATTCAAACTCTCCTGTAGTCCAAGAAGCTTAGTTTGGTGAGTGTGCCCTCTCTAAAAAGGAAGCTTCAGAGGCTGCTGGTGGTATATATGGCGCCTTTGGGCAAATCACTAAAGAATGCTGTCTTGAGGGGCATGAGTTATGAAAAGAGGGCCTGTCCTCTGGGCTGACCCAGACCCGGCCTGGGTACATGGCTCAGTGAGCAGGTGTGTGCTGGGTTTTACACCCTTGACTCCTCAGCCCAGAGGCCTTTGTCAGATGGGCAAAGTGCACACTCCTCCTCAGCAGCCTGCCTTTAACATTACACGTCTGGAAACCACTGGACAAGGTGTCCCATTTGCTTCCTGTGATCCTGGAATCTGAGTGCTCAGGGTCATCTGCCAGGTGCAGAGTTTGTGAAAGGAGTGGGGGACTGGCCTTAACCTGCACGCAATCTCTCCCCCAGCCAGCAGGGGGTGCTGCAGGCTCTCTCCGGGTGAAGCTTTCCTGACTTCTTTGCTTTTGCTTTTGGCCAAAGTTGACCTCCTTTGCTTTTGCTTTTAGACAAAGTGCGGTTGTTGCTGCCTGCCAACCCCTTCACCTCAACCCTCACCCCTCAATTATTGCATCCTGCTGAGCTGGCAGCTTTGCCAGTGGAGCCCAAATGCGGGGGAAGAAAGCTCGGTGGCTGAAGTGGGAGGTTGCCCAGGCTGAGCTGGAGGGAAGCCTGCCTAGGATGACCTGTGAAGTGTGGGGAGGTCTAGTCTGAGGCAGTGACCCGTTAGTGAAGAAGGAGCTGAAATGTCCTCTAGCAGAATTCTCCGGCCATTGGACTGAAACTAGAGGCAATGAGCTTTCCGTCACCGGGGTGCTGTGTAAGGCCTCTGGGACGCCTGTGGGTGCTCCGTGAATCTCCCGCCTTTGCCGGAGCCCCTGCAGCCACTTTATCACCACTTCCAGAGGAGAACTCTCACTGCCTAATGAGTCAGCCTCCTCCTTGACTGACCAGCTCACCCCGGAACAGCACCCATAGATGCTCCCTCAGAAAGAACCAGAGGGCTGAGCAGACATCTGTGTGAGGCACTGACTCCCAGCTCCCAGGGCGGGGATCCTGGCTGTGAGCAAGCACTTTGTGAAGAAAACCAAAGGCACCGCGGGACAAGGCAGGGCTCTGGGTGTGTATGCAGGAGAGGTATGCACCCCCATAGGAGCTGCAAAAGGGGGTGAAGGGCAACTTAGGGCCTGACTTTTGTCTTTTTGAGCACTCAGTCCAGGGTCTGCCTGGGCACAGGATCTGGGCATAGGACAGGGGAGTGAAGCAGATAATCCAGGAAGAGGAACTGACAGTCCTCCAGGTGAGCAGCAGTTTGGGCAGAGGCGAGGCCTGGGTTGGGCTTTTACTGTCAGTGTTAAGGCCTCCAGAGGCAGGTCTTGGGGTGGAAGGGCAAGGTGGTGCTCAGTGCTGGGGCAGACACTCCACTGTCTTATCAGGGAATAGCCCAGTGATGAAGATGCCTTTGCACAAGGTCATTTTCTGTGCACATTTGCAGTCAGTATGGCTCTGACCAACAGAGGGCAGAGGCCCTGGTGCTTAGGCCCTGCCTCTGCCAAGGCCCAAGGCCAGCCAGAGATACTGAGGCCTAAGAAAAAGCTCTAGGAAACTAACATGCGAGAGGAAATAAGAGAGGGTGCTCAACCCAAGCCACCTTAGATCTTGGCTGAAACATGGAAGACCCTGCCTACCCCCCTTCCAGGACAGAATCACCCCGTTTGGTCAGCCTGCAGGTTGCTATAAAAAGCCTGCAAGGCTGGGCACAGCTAAGGCAGGCTGGAGCAGTGGGCACCTCTCTATGAGAGGAGAGCCAGATGTCACCTAATTAAGATAAACCCCAGGGGTTCTGCCAGAGGTCCTGCTCCCAGGGCCTAGTGATAAACACCGGATGATTCTTCCAGGTCTCTCAGGAAACAGAAAATATGATGCTGGCAGTGGAAAGATAAAGTGCAGTAAAGCCTGGAAAGTGGACCTCACTGGAACCACCATTAATAGACATGGACAGCCCTGGGCAATGAGAAGCAAGAGGGTCCAGATTATATTATTGAAACCATAAATGAGCACCTCAGGCCTGGGGGAAAAAAGACTGGATGTCCTGGGGGTGACTTAGGCTGTGGCCAGACACACCTTCTGATTGTTTAAAGGGGTGAGAGCCCTGGGGAGAGGAGCACTGTTTAGTGTCTTACCAGGCAAAATAAAAAGCCAGGTGAACACCAAAGCCCCAGGCCCCATGTGGACTGCCACTCTGGGGTTGAGGGGTGCAACTTCTGAACTGCTGGGCCCCTGTAGCTGAAAGCATGGCTCCCCAGCAAGTCCTGCAGAAGGCAGCCCAGGAGATGCTTGCCAACAGCTCCAGACCCAATGGGAATGGCCACTTAGCAGAAAAACAGAAGCCCTGTTTCCACGCACTGAGACTGCTAAGATGACTACAAAGCAGCCTCCTCCCCTTCCTGAGAGCCCAATCAGAATGGTGGGGAAGCCGCAGAATACACCAGAAGAAATCAAAACCAGCAGGAAGTTCACATCTGAGCCGAATCCAGCATTGCAAAGATATTCAACTCATGTTCCCCAGTACAGTCAGACTGGTGGTTAAAATACTGAAAGACTCCCCATAAGCGCTGGTAAAGAGCACTGGTCTGAACCCCTGAGGGCCCCTCTATCTTTTCATGATCCTGCAGAAGGGGACCCCGACAGCATGGTGGCCAGTGTCTACTCTGTGCAGGATACCCCAGGCATAGTGGGTTAGCAAGTAAAGTGATTTGCCCAAAGCCACACAGCTCAGATACTGATGCAGGGACCCACGCTCTGATGCAGGGACCCATGCTCTTAAACATTTTGCTGTACAGCCTGTGCACGAGCACAGAGATGACAAAAGAAGTTGGCATTTCGACTCCCCACTTGCTAAAATGCTCTAACACACTTGAGAGCCTACATTTTTGTATAACTTTTTAAATCACTAAGAATTTAAAGTAGCACCAAATATTTGCAGAGCGCCTGAATCACCTCCAGAATACCCCCCTTGACCTTCCTGGAGCCCAGTTTGTAGTCCCCCATGTTGGACTAATGCCCATTGGTTTACCGATGTCTATGACTGATTTCTCAGGACAACCAGAGAGTGGATTGTTTTGACAAGAGACTGCAGAGCTCAAAATACTTACCTGGCTCTTGACAGAGAGAGTTTGCTGACCTCTGGGCTAAGTTCACACCCACCCCAGCACAGGGAGGCAGAGGCTGCTGCATTGCCCAGGGGGTAGCATGTGGGGGTCCTGTGGCCACCTGTGGGCTTCATTAGGGCACAGAGAATGGCAGGCACTGGCTAAGGACCAGTCTGAGTATTTAGGGTTTCAAGTTTTGATTATTTTCAGGTGACGTGATGTAATTTGAAATGTGGTTGACACACCAGCTTGGCTGAGTGCGTCCTCCAAAGCTGATGGGAGCGGGGCAGGACCCTAGCGAAGCTGAGCCCCGCGGGTTGCCTGGCACCTGCTCGGCGTGGCTCTGTTGTCCTCAGTGTCATTGCCCTTGTGGGACTGACCAGTGCTAGTAGACGGTGGGCCTTAGCTAATATTCATCAAGTGATATGCCCAGTGTTGACTTAAGCTTCAGATCTGACAAGTCATACACATGCTCTCTGTGGGAGCAAGGACAAGCTCCTTGAAAAGAGGGTTCCAGCCAAAGCTTGAGCTTTTGGAAGTTACTGCTCAAGTGGGAGCTAAAACTTGAGCAGTAGGCCTTGGGATGGCTTGTCATGCGGTGTCAGAGTTTGAGCAACAAACACTACTCACGCACCCTCATTGTGGAATTGTAGATCAGGAGGAATCTGCAGATTTAGAGATCTACCAAGCGGCCAGGATCCACCGCAAGAATGGCAAGCGTGGAAGCCGCCCCTGATACCCCCACGGCTGTTGCTGTTCCATTGTGTTACTTTTCTCCACTCAACCCAGTCTTGGCCTCAGAGCCCCTCTCAACCCAGTGTTCCGGGCAGCAGCGACCAGTGAGTGGTTTGGAGTTGGCATGAGAGATGAAACCTGATTGGCATTGGATGTTGTGTTCTGGGTGGCGTGCAGGGCCCTGGTGTTTATGCTGTGATGCTGTAGCATGGCTCTGAGGATGTGGGCTCCATTCAAAGAGGAGGGAGAACGGCATCCCAGCGACTGTCTCTGGGAGAGGCTGGAGAGGCAGTCGGGTTTCATTCTCGCAGCAAATTGCAGACACCCCTCTCGCCAGTAGGCGGCACTGCAGGCCAGCACTCAGACGCTGCCCCCCTCCCCGGCCCCCCCGCAGGGTTTTATGTACTAATTTACTTTGTTCTGTGTCACTTGGTGCCACAGGTAGCATAGCCATAAAGAACTTTAGGTGCTCTGAAAATGTTTGCTAAATGTATCTGTGCGACAAGCTGATTGTTCTTACCAACAAGCACTGTGATTTTGTGTATGGACACACTCATGAGTGTGCAGCAGGATAAAAACTGTGTATGCATGTTTATGTGGGTGTGTATAAAGGGCCAGCTATCTCTACTGACAACTGTGTGCATATGTGTGTGTGTGTGTGTGTATAGGATGATTATCTCTGTTAAATAAGCGTCCTGGGCCCCACATATGATTGGTGGCCAGCCCTGCTTCCTGGAATGGGTTCTGATTATTGCCAGCATCTCATGGGCATTTGCACATGTGCAGCATTGGAACTGCTGAGACCAGGCCCCTTATCTGTCTCTCCAACTTCTAGCCTCTGATCTACAAGGTCTTGGCTCTTAACCATCTCTCTGCCTTCCACTTCTATCCCCTGCAGCCTTAGGAAGGAAGTGGTACAATCTGTAGTAGGACATCCCTTTTTGACTGTCCTTGCCTTACCATCTCCTCTTATTCGTTTCTTCCCTCTGATGGTTCCAGGGCCAACATGAACAGTTGGGCAGATTGTGCACTGCACAAATCCGCATGGCACCATTGATACCACTTGATGAGAGTGGTGTCTCTAGGCACCTGCAAAAGCTGCCAACTTTACACAGCTGCCCCAGTCATCTTATGGCCTTGACTTAGAAAACTGCCTTCTTCCCTGACCCTTTGGCTCAGCCCAGGCAAGACTGGGATTCCTTCCTCTGCTGGTGTGTTCTAATCTGGTGCAGAAGTGATTCACCCTTGGCTTTGATTGGAAAGTATCTCCCCAATGGATCACCTCCCCTGAGGCCTTTGGAATTCAATTTATGAAAATGAAATACGGCTGGCAACTTTTCAGTCACTTGTCTTTGCACAGTGAGAGGCCCCTGTAAGACAAACCAAAGCTCTGCAGACTGGGGTCGCTGACCCCCACACTCCTGGTCTGAGGGTGAATATGCCTTCATGGCCTGTTAGATGGATCTGCCACGGAATTGGGGCAAAGGCCTCAAGGCTAAGCTTGTAACTGTCACCAAGCAGGAAATCATCAGGTCACCACAGGCTGGCCTGATGTCTCCAAGGGCCAAGCAGGAAACAAATAAGCAAGAGGATTAGCCAAGGCCTTAAGTGGAATGGAGAAAGCATACCCGCGTCTGACCATGGAAATGCCGCTTGTGTTGCCACATATTCCCCGCCCCCCATTTTTCAAGAGAAGCCAGAAACCTGGATTTTGAAATGTTGGCAACTATTTTGATGTTAGAAAACACATTTCAGGCCAAATAAAACACACTTGTAGGCTAAATCCAGCCCTCAAGTCTCCAGTTTTCACCCTCTAGGGTCCAGAGTAGGGTCAGTAAATTGGGTTTTTCAGAACCGAGTCACTAAGACAATAAGGACATTATATTTGGACTCCCAGAGTTTTGGATCTTTAAGAGAACTTAGCGATAACCTACTTCTTCCCTGGCATGTTTTAAACTGTGTACATACAGGCTTCTTTATTAACACACATATCCTTAACTTCTGGTTTCTTCTTAGAAGCATCTCAATATTCCCAATTTAGAACACAATTTAAAATAAAGCCCCTATACATCGCGCACTATGTCTGCCTGTCAGAAGCACTCGTTTGTGCCATCTGCTTTGTGACCGCCCCATGGATCTCTTGTGAACGTGGGCGGTCTTGTCTTCCTTTGAACCCAACTTCTCCGGGTTGCTCATCATGGTAAACCTTCCTAAGTGCCTCCTACAAGGCAGGAGCATGTGCATCTTCATCTCTGCAACTCCCCCAGCCTGGGGTAAGACTGCTCAGCCCTCCCCAGCTCCACTCCTCCGTGGTCTGCTATCAGCTGACCCCCAGCCCTACACTGACCCCCCAGAACCCAGCTCTGTCTGCTTCTGCGGCGTCTTCCCAGTCACGCGAGCCCTGTGACAAGGTGCTCGTCCACGCGGATCCCTGCATTCCTCGTGCTCATCCTAGACTTAATTTTACAATGTGGACATCTGCTTCTTAAAAGTCATGCAAATAAACAGAAGATGTTTAAAATAAAATTCAGTTGTCTTGTTCCTCCCCCCACACACAATTGTATTTATAAACTGGCTTATAAGTCCTTCGAGAAATGCTAATGGGGCTCATACAGTGAGCAAGCCTGCGACCAGTTCCGTTCCCAGGTGGCTGTGTCTCTCCATAGATACCCATGGACACACTCCCTGAGGGGAGAGTCTGCAGCCGCAGGAGGCCAGCTTCCCCAGCGAGCTCTTGGTGGGGACTCAGTGTTCCCATCTGTGACTCCCCAGGGCCAGGGTCTAGAGTGGGAGGGAGAAGAGGAGATAAGAAAGCCTGTGAGAGGGCCTCCCCAGTGGCGCAGAGGTTGAGCGCTGGGTTGCGAAGCTGCCCGCAGCCTCTGCAGCGCTGGCTCGATCCCCGGCCCCGGCCGGTCCCACATGGCGCGCAGACCTCTCCTGCCACCGGCTGCTCCTCTGGTGAATTCTCTCACCCTCCCACGCTTCTGACTGTGCCCAGTGCTTGTATAAATAAATAAATTAATTTAAAAAAAAAAAAAGGAAACACCTTGTTTAAAAAAAAAAAAAAAGAAAGCCTGTGAGGTGGGGGAGGAAGGAGGTGTCTTGAGACTCGGAGCTTCAGCACTCACAGAACCTTCCTTCTGCACCTTGGCCCCCATCCACAGCCCGCTCAGCCTTGGACCAACGCCCCTACTCATTTCTCCTGCTACTTCCCTTCACCTCCATCTACTGAGGCCCTGTCAAGTCTTATTTTAAATGCTGCTTGAATAGATTCCCTCAAAAGTATCAGGGGACACATCACTTCCTTCCTTGAACAGCATTTAAGTCTATGGCTCTTTCCATGGCCCATAGGATTATCTCCAGCATCAGCCGTGGTCCCCCAGCCTAAGGTGCTGTCAATAAGCATGCTGATAGTTGAATGACTGAGTTTGGGACTGATAGGATTGGGCCAGCTGTTTGTAGCCAATGTCATTTCTGAACTGGTTGGAAAATAATTTGAATATATCTCCTGAAAAGGTCACCAAAGAATCACCAGAATTTTATTTGGAGAGGAAAACAAAAACATTGGAGTCTTATGATGGATCAGTTACCTGTTGCTATATAACAAATTACCCAACACTTAGCAGCTTAAAACTGTTATATCTCAGGTCTCTGTGGCAGGAATCCAGGAGCAGATTAGCTACATGCCTTCATGATTCTTCCTCCAAGTGTCTCATGAGGTTGTAGTTGAGCCATCAGCTGGGCCTGAGGACATCTGAAGATTTGACTGAGGCTGGAGGATCTGCTTCCAAGATGGTGTCTTCACAGAGCTGTGGGCAGGCAGCTCAGTTCCTTGCCATGCATGCCTGAGTCCTCATGACCTGGATAATCCAGAGTAATCCAAGAGACAACAAGGAGAAGCTACTTTAAAACCGTGTCTTTTATGACTCAGCCTCACAAGTGCCACATCTCCCCTTCCACCAAGCGTGCACACCAGGAGGTGCCATGATCAGGGGTCAGCTTGGAGACCGGCCCACATGTTATTATCCCCCCATCTGCCTGGCATAACTAGGGGCTTCCACGTTTATCCCTAACTTCCCCTGCCTCTGAGCACCACTAAGCCCAAATGTGCCCCCTCAATTCTTTAACCTGAAGTTCCTACCTTCCCACCTGGTTGCCAAAGGTAAAAAGAAATGTGATTCCTCACCACTTCTTTCCTCACACCTCCCACCCAGCAGATTCCTTCAGAGGCCCTGGGCTCACCTAGTGAGGAAAGTCATGGAAACTTTGTGTTCTGAGATGTCGTGGTCTCACTGTGAAGTTTTATAATGTCTGCAAGGCCGGCAGTACCAGAGCTGCTTACACTGGTTTGTGGCCAGTGGCCCATGTCTAAGGTGAGGGAGAGGGCAGGGCTGGAGGGAGGGAGGAGAGAGCGGTGGCGGGCCGAATACCCTTTCCTTCCATCTGGAAATGAGCAGACCCACCCGTGTCGGGCACTCTGACAGAATCCTCTACTTTTGTTTTTTTGGGTTTTGTTTTTTTTTTAATTTATTTATACAAGCACTGGGTACAGTCAGAAGCGCAGGAGGGTGAGAGAATCCACCAGAGCCAGAGCGGGGAGCAGAGCAGGCAGAAGGACCGAAGGACACTGCTGAGGGGAGCAGCGGGCGGCAGGAGAGGTCTGCGCGCCATGTGGGACCCTCCTCTGGTGGCCGGGGAGCAGCCGGGGATGGAACCGATGCTGCAGAGGCTGCGGGCAGCTTTGCAACCCAGTGCTCAACCGCTGCGCCACCGGGGAGGCCCAGAATCCTCTACTTTTGGACATGATCTTAGATTGGAGTTGGGAGTGAAAACCCCGTGACATGGCAGAAATATGAATGTGACTTGGGACATGGGATGGAAACACCACGAACACAATTTTCTCTCCTTTGTGCCCTCCCCTTTCAATTTGCGAAGTTCTTCCAAGACCTGAGAGCTATGTGTCTTTGTCTTTCTTTTGTTTTGCTTAACAGTCAGTTTTACTTGCCAATAGGTCATTAAAACACATTTTTTAATAAATAGGTAACTCAAAGAATAAAATTATAAACCCACAAGGTAATAGTTTTAGCTGTTATAAACACTCAATACAAATCAGTCCAGTTACTCATCACAAGAACCCTAAGAAGTAGATACAATTCTCATCACCATTTTACAGAAGAGGAAGCCGAGGCTCAGAGAGGTCAGGTAACTCACCCAAGGCTGTGAGTTTGAGTAGCAGAACTTGATTTCAACTCAAGTTGTCTGGCTCCAGGGTGTGTATCTTAAATGCTGCACTATACTGACTCTCTCATGTATTTTTAAGGTAAAATGCACCTTTTTAAGATTATACACACACAAGAAAATTTAATCTTACACTAAATAAGAACCACACACACTCCTGAACCTCAGGGGAGCACAAACAATTTTTCTGTCCTTGGGGTTACTCCAGGAGAAGCTTCTCTGCAAGAAGCAAGCCTTCTTTCCAGAGGCAAAATACTGGTTCCCCTCTCCCTGCTGTTTTGGATCTGGGTGGGAGAAGCACAGAAGAGATATTCTCATCCACGTCTTGCAAAGATGAAAACAAAGTCTTAGAGAAAGGATGTGACTTGTCTAAGGACATACTCTAGTAGATGCAGAAAGGAAATTTAATGCAAGGTTGTTGCTCCAAATTCATTGTTGTTCCCTCTGAAACTCCATATCCCTACTTGACTTTCTCTGAATGGTCCTTCTCTCACTTCTGTAGCAAAGCCCCCCTGAGAAGCCCTGTGAAGACCTGACAGATTTAAAGTTCACCCCAACGTTAGAGCAATGCAGTCACAGCCCAAGGGTGTGAACTTGTCACCTGCTCACTGGACCAGGTGACCTTGCAAGCGCACACCCTCTGCAGCTGCCAGGAGGGTACATTACTCATAGGTGCCTTCAAGAGAACCGGCTGAAAGGAGTGTCATTGTCACTAGCCAGCAGCCTCCAGCTGCCGCACCTTGGGGCTGCTGCAGCTTTCACGTAGAGACCACGCTTTGCCTGAGCAGCTCTCCCTCCACAACAGCTCTTTGCCGGCAACATGCATCATGGGGCCACTAGAGCTGGGCTATTACTACATGGACTCTTCTTTACTCGGGGCCTGACCAAGGCTTTCTGAGCGCTGTATTGCAGTGGGAGTGGTCTTCCTTCCCACACCCTTTCTTTCACAGGTGTCAGACCAACAACAAGGTCAAAGGCTCTTCCTGCTTTCTCCTGTCCCCTCCCTTCCTTACAAGTGGTTTCTCCAATAAATCTCTTGCCCTCCTCCTTGGCCTTACCATCTGTCTCCCACAAGACTGAACAGACACATCCTAGCTGGGTCCTAGGGCCCACGCCAGTCTGCTCCGCAGGATGGCTTGTGCCTGGTTACTTAGTGGTGGAATGGAGTGTGGTTTCCCTGTCAGCACAGCGGACCCAGTGGAATCCAGTTCCATCCATATAGGCAGGGAGGAAGATAGCTCCCGCGCCTGGAGCTCCTTCCCAACCCTGTTCCACCCCGTTGTCAACCTCCATCCAAGAGGGAGGCTGGTGGAAGGAAAAGGGCCTCAGGGCCTTGAGGTGGGGTAGGACCCCCTAAGTTCTCATCCAGTCTCTATTGTAGGGCTTCAGGTTTCTCCATCGGGACAGTGGACTTTGGCTTGGCTGGCCTGGGTGGGGAAGAAAGGGGCAGCAATGGCCATTTTCTGGGTTTAAGAAACGTGTTGGTAGCTGGTGAGGACTGAGTTACTGCCTCTACCTGTTAAGACCCGATCTGTTAAGACTGGATGGATGGGAGGCAATACCAGGAGACATCAGACAGGATCTTGACACAGAGCCTTGTCCTGATTGTGTGGGGTACTGTGCCTGGGACACTAAGTGGCCTTCAGCCCCAGGAAGAGAAGTCCCCAGAGGAGCCAGTCAGGAAGGTGGACAGAGAGTAGCAGTATGGGAAGGTCAGGTTGCCATAGTGATAGTGGGAACCATGGGAGTACAAGGAAGCTGGACAGTCTTCCCAGAGAGGGACTTTAGTACTGGGCTTTGAAGGCTGGGTAGGAGTTTTCCAGATAGAGAAAGGGCAAGTCTCTCAAAGCAGATAGAATACAAAGACTTAGAAACACAAAGCTATGTTATGTGTTCTAAAACATATAGGACATGGCAGGACTGGGGTGGCGGTCAGGGAAGTAGAAAGTGAGCTGTGCCCAGACCATGAAGGAATGCCAGCTGAGCCCATGATCCCACAGCCTTCCCTGTTCCATGTAGATGCGAGTCTTATTGTCATTTTACAGATGAGGAAACTGAGGCCCCAGAGAGATGGAAAGGGGCTCTGACCGGAATGCTCCAGGGAGTGTCAGGACCCAGTCAGGCAGCCGGAGGCCAAGTCATCTCTCACTTTTTTTGTGGGCTATGCCTAGGATCAGGTTTTTCCCCAGCCCCTTCACCCCTCATGGCCATCTAACTTCAGGGAGCAGGCTGAGCTCTGTCCCTCCCCTCTCCTGACCCCCGGTGTCCTTGTCCTGCTGTCATCATGTACACGTGGAGGAGCAGCATGTAGGGATTCCAGGGAGGCCAGAGTGTGGGAACCAGGACAGATGCTGCTGGAGCTGCCCCAGAGCTGGGACGCCTCTGGAGTCTCTGGGTGCTGCCAAGGGGGCCCTGGAATGTGTCCGAAGCCTCTGGCTCCATCCACCTCAGGGCCCCCCCAACAACCACCCAGGGCCTGGGAAAGCCAAGGAGGCTCTGAATGCCCAGCCCACCATTCTGGCCCTGGGCAGCCCTGTAGCTCTCCATGCTGCCGGCAGCAGGAAGGGAGAGTAAAGGCATCGAGACAACAGGTCAGCCCTGCCAGTCAGTTCTGGGAGGCCCCCAAGAGCCAGAGCACTGTCCTTGCGCTCCTCCCTCCCCAGAGAAGGAGCTCAAGGGGATGTGTGTGTTGTGGATGGACAGACAGACACAGACAGATGGTCCCGCTCGCCACCCCCGCAGCCCCAGGGGTAGCTGTGCACCGCCTGTTCTGTTCGGCACATGTGGCTCTCAGCAGCTGCACATTCCATCAGCGACCAGCTGTGGCAGCAGCTGTGGAGGTGGGGAGTGAGCGTTGATGGGCCCCAGGGGAGCAGGGGAGGAGGGCAAGGGAAGGACAGGAAGGGCCTGGGACAGCAGGGGTCAGGGACAGGGTGAGGCCCAGAGGCTCAGATTGTTCTCAGGATGGAACGTGGGGCAGGAAAGTGGTGATAGAGACACTGGACATCTGGACGGGGGCCCATAGGTGCGGGCTTGGTGCAGGAAGCCAGGGCAGACCCAGCACACCCTGGCTAGGTCTTCGCACATAGGTGGACAAGCATGAGTACAAGGAGAAAGACTGAACAATTGGATACATGGGTCTGAAGGTCAGAAAAGTGTTGTTTTACATTAGCGCACTGACCACAGCCCCAAGCAACTGTGCCAAGCGTCTTCTCCTCTGGGAGCCCCCAGACCCCTCCACCAGCCAACAGTTAGAGGTGCCCATCCCAGCAGAAATCTCTGGAATCCTATTCCAATCTTTGACCTACATGCAATGCAACCATTTGGAGTCCAGGCCACGTCAGTTCAGCACTTTGAACACCAGCCCAGATGACCTAGTGCAGGGGTGAGAGTTTGAGAAAGTATCACTGCCCCTGAAACTCTCTCCTGCACCTCAGCTTGGGGAAGGGGGAAGGGATGTCCTTCCCGCCGGACTGAACTGACTGCAGCGACTGGGCTTCCCAAGCCTGTCCCCAGCCTACTCCTGGCCCCTCCCATCAGCAAGCGTAGCCCTCCTGATGTCCCCCTGGCCTCAGGAGCTCCCTGTGGTGTCGTCTCTCATGGACCTGCCTCTTCTTCAAACACGCTTCTGCATCCAGCCCTGGAGTCTGGCCCTCTGCTTCCGCCTCCTCCACCCAAGGCAGCCATGACCTGAGGGCACATCTCCTCTAGACCCCCAGCTGGAGAGCAAGCCCTTGCTCTTGGCCCTCGGCCTTGGCTCCTGGAGCTTCATTCTTGCAGTTTCTTCCTCCTTCCCAGCGTTTCTCTGGCTGTGGCTCCTCAGGGCTCTATCCTAGGTTCTCCTTCCTGTTCCAACCAGCTCTTAGGATAGCTCAGGCATCACGTGGCTGTAGCTGCTGTCCCCAAATCCCTCCTCCAGCCCAGACCTCTCACTGGGTGCTTCTGAGTGCTCCGTGGGCCTCACAAACAGCAGGCCACTCTGAACTCCTCCCCTTCCCCTGTTTCAAACCCACTTGGTCACCCAGACCGGGGAAGCCAGCATCACTTGGACCCATCCCCTCTTGTCCCTCTCAACCCGTCCCTGTTGCCTGGCCTACTGTAGGCGTTTCCTGGATGGTCTACCCCACTCTAATGCATGGTACAGCAGGTACCAGCCTGAATTCTGGTATCAAGCTGCCTGGTTAGAAACCCAGCTCTACCCCTTATTTTATGTGAGATCCTGGGGAAGTAATTTAACTTCCCCATGCCTCAAAAAATAGGATTATAATAAATAATAATAGTAACTTCAATTCTAGGGTAGTTGTGAGTTTTAATTCATGAATATATGTCAAAACGGTATAAGGCCTGATATGTGGTAATTGCAATAAAGTTTGTTTTTATTACTGTTATTATTATCATCATCATCTACTTATTTCACAAAAATTTTAAATGTTTACTATGTGCCAGATACATTGCTGGGTACTAAGTGGCATATCAAAAAATAAGGAAATGATTGCTACCCGCAAGGACTTTATAGTCAAGGTGGAAGCATTTTAACAAGGGTTCTTTGGAGTTACATTTTCCCGCTCTGCACTTTCCCATCTTAAAACAAGAGCAAAAGCATAGAAACCTGGACTCCACAGCTCCTCCTTACTTTCCCATCACAGTCAAGCTTCCAAGTGGGCTTATTCTGTAGGTAAGTTACCCACACACCCGCTGCATGCCAGGCACTAGTGAGCAGAAGAGATGGGTCTCCCCTCAATGAGATCTTCTGGTGGGGAACAGGGACAACAAACAAATACATCAACATGTGTAATGCAATGTCCATGACCTAACAGGTGCTGTCAAGGTGGGGGGCATGGAGTGATGGGAGGTTGGTGGTTATTCCAGATCAGGGTGCCAGGAGAGCCCTCTCTGAGGACAGAACTTTTGAGCAGACTTGAATGAGACTAGAATGAGAGAATCTGCAAAGATCTGGCAGGAGAGGAAGCAACAAACACAAAGTTGTGTTGCAGGAACAGCATGGAATACTGGAGGAATAGCAAGAAGGCTCTAGCGGCTGAGTGAGCAAGACACAAAGCATTTGGAGATGAAGTCAGAGACAGGCAGGAAGGAGCTTAGGGGGCCTGTATATATCCGATGCCCTGGACTGACCTGGCATCAGTACTAGTATGCCTCCTTTCACTCTCAAGGGTGCCCTGGCTTTAGAGGGTGAATTATATAGTCACCCTATGCGTAGGTTGGCATTTTATTTTGCATACAATGTGATGTCTATGGATGGCTGTGAGCGGGAATGACATGGTCTGCCTGACATCTTACAGGATCATGACCAAGCACTTGAAACACTCTTGACTCCAAGAATTTCCCCTCCTGGTTCTCCTCCACCTCCCTGGCTATTCCTTCTCAATCTCCTCTGGCAGCTTTCTCTTCTCCTCAACATGTAAATCTTGGAGTTTCTCTAGGCCAGTGGTTCTTAACGGGGGGTGTTTTCTCCTCCTAGGAAATTTAGAATTGCCTAGAAACATTTTATTTTATTATTTTTTAAAGATTTATTTATTTATGCATACAAGAGCTGGGGTACAGGCCAGAGGTGTGTGTGGGGGGTGGGGGTGTCAGAGGATTCACCAGAGACAGAGTAGGGAGCAGAACAGGCGATTGACTGAAATACACTGCTGAGGGGAGCAGCAGGTGAGTCAGGAGAGGTCTGCTGCACCATGTGGGTTGCTCCCTGACCAGCTGGGGAATCCAACTCCTGCTGCTGAGGCTGCGGAGGCTATGGACAGCTTCATAGGTTGCATCTTAACCCCTGCGCCACCAGGGGGACCCCCTAGAGACATTTCAAATTGTCACAACTGGGATAGTTACTACTGGCATTTAGTGGGAAGAAGCCAAGGATGCTGTTAAACATCCTACAATACACAAAACAGCCCCACCCTATAAAGGATTTTTCCAGCTCAAAATGTCAAAAGTGCTTGGTAAAAAACCACCGCCCTAGTTTAACACTGTCCAACAGAAATATAACACAAGCTGCAAACACAACTAAAAACTTTGTAGTAGCCACCTTTTAAAAAGAGCTAAAGAGAAAACATGTAAAGTTAATTCTAACAATGTATTTAATATAATCCATTTATGTAAAAAAAATCATCATTTCAACATGTAATCAATATTAGTATCAGTGAGCTGTTTGACCTTCTCCCTTTGAATTCTTGTGTGTATGACATAGTACACATGGCAATTCAGATCAGACACACTTCAAGTGCATAGTAGCTGTGTGTGTCTTGCGGCTGCTGTACAAGGGCACAGCTCTAAGATTGGTACCAGATGCTGTCGCTTAATATTGAAGTCCTATGTATTAGGTAATAAAGCCTAATGGTGGACTCTGGTATCCGGTTGCCTTTTTGAATTCTACTCCTTCCACATACTACCTGCTCATCTTAAGTAGAGTTACTCTGCCTCTCCTTGCTTCTGTTTTTCATTTGTAAAGTGGTGATGATAATACTACTACTTGATAGAGCTGTCAAGGACTAAATGAGTTAACACTCATTTAAATGAGTTTCGGGTGTTGAAAATTTTTGCTTACCAAGTGTTAACTATTTAGCTAGGCCCCTCCTAAATAGCTAGGCCCCTCTGTCTCCATCCACACTTTCTCTCTGAGTAATCCATCTACTCCCATAGTTTTAAATGCCACCTATTACTTAATGACTTCCAAATGGACTTGCTAATGACATCCAGCTTAGACCTCTTTTCTGAGTTCCAGATCTCCTATTCAACTGTGCACTCATTTTGGGGACCCGCAGCATCTAACATGAACCTGCCCACAATGGAGCCCTTGACTTCCCTCTGCAAATCTGCTCACAAGTCCTTACAAGCTCGTCATTACACAGATACCTGGGACGCACGGTTGACTTCTGCCTTTCAGGGAATGCATAGTATATTGATCGTGCTTCATAGTACTTCGATGTTGGTTGAGATTTCACCCTACTTACATGTGCTCACAGAAGTAACATGAGTGCTGAAGGCTTTTGGTAGAAAAGAGTCCATAGGTTTAGCTGGGGGTGACCACCAGGGCCTCCTGAGAAAACACAAGTTGCAGGTACCGACTGCCCGTGCCAACCGTGTACCAGTGTGCATGTTTTTGTGTGTGCGTGTGAGTGTGTGTGTGTAACTGGCCTAGTGTCTGTGGTTGTGTGTGGAAGAGAACATAGGAATGTACTTACCCACCACCATCATCAAGGGTCACCAGGCAGGTCTTGCAGGGGGTGAAAGTGCAGTTCTCAGATGACCAGCCATTCTTCCAAGCAAGGGGTTGACTTCCTCTGTGTCCTGGTGAGTGGGCCAAAAGGGAAGGCTTCTCTAGTGTCTGACCCACCACAGAAGACCACCTTCCATGGAGACTCCCCCTCCACTTGCTCTTGACCCTTGAGGGCTTCTCCAGATATTGCCCCACGCTGTCTGAGAATCTCTAAGAATCTTCTGTGAGTCTCCCTCTAGAGGCAGGGCAACTGGAGCTCCCACTGACTGAGCAGCATAGTTTGGGGTGGGAGGGGTGTGGAACGGGAGACTGGAGGGTGCCTCTCCCTAGCGCCCCCAACCCTCATTTGAGGCCCTCAGACTTCAGGAAGTCACCCTTTCCTGGTGCTCTTGGCCTCCCAGAACAGGTCTGCCTCTGTTGAACCTGATTCTGCCACCGCCACTGCTAAGTCAGGTCTCCAGGGACCTTGGCAGTCCGTCCTGCGCAGGTGGTGAGGTCATAACTTCAGTGCCCCTTTGGGGGAGAGCAGGCCTGCCTCACAGGCCTCATCCTCCCCCAACCCAAATCCCACTTTCTTTGGACCTCATCAGAGAAGCTGCTGTGATTTTTGCGGCTCATCAGACCACAGCCACCCCCATGAGCATCACCAAACCAGACATGTCTGCCGTCCCACAGAAGCCCAGAACTGAGCACCGTGCTCGACCTCTGCAGAGGCCGGGCATGGCAGAACGGCACCTCCCCGGACAGGCAGCGTCCCAGCTAACCAGGGACAGACGGGGACCTTTGTCTTCCCCCGGGGCCTCCAAGGCACCTGCCCAAGGCCACCCAGGGCGCAGGGGCCGCAGCGGCGGAGCGGAGCCCGACCTCCCAGCCGTCGGTGGGGGCGGTGACCGCCCGGGGCCTTCCCACGGCTAGGTCTGCGCGTCACCGCGGGGGCGAGGGGGCGCCGGGGCGCCCGGGGCTGCGGCTCTGGAAAGGGCCCTGGGAAAGGGCTGTGGCGGCGCCCCCGGGGCGGGGCCGAGGCGGGGCCAGGGCGGGGCCCGACTTCCTGGCTGGGAGCCGGCACCCGTCGGCTGAGAGCTCGCCATGAAGCGGCCCAGGGAGCCCAGCTGCTCCGACAGCGAATCCGACGGACCCATCGACGTGGGCCGCGAGAGCGAGCTGAGGTAAGGGCCGGAATGGAGGGATGCGCGCGCCCAGGACGAGCGGAGTGGGTGGGGGCTGCGCGCTGGGCCGGGCCCAGGGAGTCGGTCACTAGTCCTGGGGTGCGGCCTCGGGAGACGCCAGTGTGGGCGACAGCCCGCAGGTGTGTGTAGTGTAGGGGTGAGTGTGTGCTGGGTGTGCTGTTCCACGCCCCAGGGCCTCGGGTCCCGTGCGCCCTGGGCCCTCTGGGGCTCAGGATACTTGTCTGGAGGAAGAGTTCCGCTCGAGGGTCTGATATCCAGTTGAGGACCATCTTTCTGTCCAAGTGCCCAGGTGGGCCTATTGGCGAGGAGCTTTCCCTAAAGATCTTAGGCAGCCCTCATAGACTGTTGGTACCACACCCCCCAACCCCCCTCCGGAATTCGCTGACTCTGCAGAATAAGCATACTTTCCCAATTTTACCCCTGCTCGGGTGCATTTTTCATATTAATGCACAAAAGACTTCCAAAAAAAGAAAATCTCCTTTCCCTCGAGCAAATTGCACTTTGGAATTAAGATTTTGAAATTGAAGAAAATAATAACCGCTTTGCCTGTGGTCAGTGCAAGGACCTGGACTCGGATTCCAGTGCTCTTCCTGCTGCCAGTGTCTTTGTAAATATTCAGACCTTCTTCAAACCTGTAGAACAAATTGCACTCATGCTGTTCTGCTACTTCTCCATCCTATAAACAATCTAAGTTTCCATTTGTCCACCTGTAAAATGGGTATGAATAATAGGACCCACCTCATAGTGTCATTGGGAGACTCAAATAAGATAATGCATGCCAAGGCTTTAGAACAGGGCCTAAGCATAAAAACGTTTAATGTCCGGCAGCCAAACAGGTGATATCCAGAACCCCGAAAGAGCATCAGGCACTGACTGGGAATCTGCAGGCCTGGGTCCCAGCCCCGAATCTGCCACTAATCTTCCATATGATCCTGGGTCTTTGCTTTCTCTTTCTAAGTCTCTTTCTTCATCAGTAAAATGAAGGATAGGGACTGGGAAAAGGAGGGCCATCTGATCTCTCTTGGCTCATCCAAACCTGACGCTCTAGATTAGATTTGGAAGACGGATTTAGTTCATTCTTAGGATGCTTTTGAAGACATTTCATCATTTCAATCATGCCCAGTTTTCTGAGACCAGAGGATCCTTCTTCAATCACAAACCACAAAAATGCCATCAGCTTCCAATTATTTATAGCTTATAATAGGAGACAATAAGGCAATAGATAGTCCCCTTGCATTCTGTACATTAGGTTTTGGTGTGTATAACACAATTTCCTATGCAACTTATTAGCCTTTTAAAATAGTTAAGCAGGAACTGCTAGTTAGAGAAGCAATTGTGGGTCTCTGCCTGCTAGAAGTAGAGGAAAGTTTCAGCACCGTGTGTGTGTGGGGGGGGGGGAGGTATAGTATAGTGTGGGATCTCAAATTCAATGTCATTGGGTCCTTAGGAGTCAGAGACACAAAACTGATGCCAGAGAACTAGGTGGCTTCTGTCCTCCCAAGAATTTGCAGCTTTGTCAGTGACATGCCAGGTCATACACAAAGACCATGTGGGCTGTGAGGACACCCAAGCAGGGAGGGCTTCTTGAAGGTGGTGATAGCTGGGCCATGACATAAAGGATCAATGGGCATTTTTTTCCCATATAGCATTTTGTCCTTTAAACCAGAGTTGGAGGGACATTTTTAGAAACTGTCTAGCTTCTTGGAGAAGCAGACCCCCCTCAGAGGAGAGAAAGCAGTTGGACATCTGGCAGTGGCTGACTTATAGACCCCTCTTTGTAGCACTCACCAAAGCACCCTCCCCCAGGCAGACATCAATGCTTCAATTCAGGGAGCGCTGAACGATGCCTGCTGTGGCCCAGACCCGGGGCTGTGTTGGGGGGCCCAGATGTATCCTGCTTGGCCTCTGCCCTCGGGGAACTCTCAGAGAAGAAGAGCTTCTTGTACAAAGAAAACCAGATAAACAGTGGCAAGGGCCACAGGACCAGGACAGCCAGCCTCCCCAGGGCCAGAGGCAGGCTGCAAAGCCCCCACACTCAGAGATGTGAGTAAAAAGCAGGGTGCATCCCACTGTCACCGTGGGTGTCTGCCGATGGTGTCCTGCTCTGTACGTGGGAATCACCCACAGAGCTCCTATCTGAGCCCAGCCCTCTGACACAACTGGGTCCCAAATGAGACTAGAAACCTCTCTCCGCCCCCTCTGCAAACATGTAATGAGCACCTGTCACATGTCACTTACTGGATTAGGGTCTGTGGCCACATGGTGCCTTTGAAGTCAGATAGTCCTGAGTTCAACTCTTACCACCATTAACTCGGGCAAGTGACTATACCTGTTTCTGAACCTCAGTTTTCTCCCATACAAAATGGGGTGCAAATATCTCCCAAGGTGAGGTTTTGAGGAGGTGATGTACCTGAAGACATAGCTCCCTGCTTTGCCACAGGTAACTTCTAATGAATGTTGTCCTCTTAGGGGTCACCACTCAGTTGGAGGGTGCCATGATCAGGAGGCAGCATGGTCTGATGAAAAGACTAGAAACCTGAAGACTGGATTTATTGGGCAGGGTTCTTAACTCTTTGTGTCTCTGTCACTCCATCTATCCTACGATTATTATTCCTAAAAGGGAAATAGGCTCAACAATACTTAACCCGCGGGGTTATTGTGCAATCAATGAGAAAGTAAATGTGGAAGTGCTGTCCAGAACAGAAAGTACTGGCTATGAGGTATACATAATGGGATGATGAATTTATGGGTGTGCTGGGAAGAGCACTGGAGTAAAAGCCAGTACTTGGCTCCAGTTCTAGACTTGCCCCTAATTTGCTGGGTGACCTGGAGCAGATCCCATACCCTCTCTGAGTTTACTTATTTTACAAGTGGGCTCAGTACTCCCTGAGTTCCCTTCATTGGGGACATTGTGATTCTGCCTTTGGGTGATGTCCTATGAGTGGGTTCATCTGCAATGTTTCTACGGGGAAGTTCCCAAGGGGAAACTGAGGGTGAGTATCAAGAGTAGTGAGAACTGGCAGCCAGATCAGCTAAAAAGCTGGCTTACCCTGAAGAGACCACAGAATTCTGGCTTGGGACCCCTCGAGGCCCACAGCAGCTCTTGGTGGTCAACATATCTCCTCTGATTCCTTGAAAATCTGCCCTATTTTCAGACTCTCAGACAAAAGGCTCCCACACCTCCTCCCACTGTCAGGGCCAGATCACAGCCTGGAAGCAAGCTCTGGCTGAGCTCTTGGGAGCTTTAAGGATAAGGGACTGGAGGGCTATTCAGACAGACAGGAAATTGGAATTAGGAGGGAAAACAATGCTGAATTTGGAGCCAGAAGACATGGATTCCCATGCTGGCTTTGTTCCTTAGCAGCTGCATGGGCTGGACAAACTGCTTTAGCTTCCTGAGACTCAGCATCCCCATCTGTAAAATGGAACTTTTGTTAAGCTCAAGGAGGGAAATATAAATAGTGATGCCAAGAAAACTGTGAGTGGAGGTTTGCCCGGGAGATATGGGAGTGAGAGGAGATGGAGAACACTGCGGAGCACAGCTGATGGAGAGACTGGAGAAGGGTGTGGCAGAGCCGCTCTGCTCTGAAAGGGTGTGCCAGACTCCCACAAATGGTCCCTGAGGAGGGATCAGGCTGAGAAGCGGTGACATAGGCATGGCTAACCCAATACCCCTAGAGAGGCCTGATCCGGCCCCCAGAGGCGAGGCTGGGAGGAGGCCATGTTCTTAGCGTACCTTTGCTCTTAGGGCTTGTCCTGAGTGAAGCTTTGCAAAGAAGCTATCCTATAGATCTCAGGATTTGGCCATGTGAGTTCAGACCTAGCTACTGAGCCATCCTTTCCAGGAACGTTCACAGGCCTCTTACCAACCCTTCTTGTCCAGATGTTTAGATGGAAAATCATTTTTTCCAAATGTGGCTGGACAATGCCAAGGGCATAGCAGTAGGATTTCACAAATGTTAACCTGGTCTCTCCTGAAACCTTCTCTCTCTGAGCAATTGATGAAAATGATCCAACCTCCACGCCAAGAGGGCAGTCACATGGGCTAGGACCCTCCTGTGAGCCACTTCAACTGTGCCCCCATTCTGCAAAGATCTGCAATGTAGACTTCATGGTGCTTGTCTCTGGCCTACAGTTCCATGGCAAAGATGAGGGCAGGAGGAAGTTGCTCAGCCACGAGCTGTGCCACATTCCAAGCACTTGCTGAGGACAGGCTATAATCATGAATGAAACAGACATGGGTTATGGTCTTAGGCAGACTTTAATCAAATAATTGTGTAGAGGTATAAAACCCAAAAAGGGCATAAGTGCAAGATGCAGGTGAACACAGGATGCGAGGAGAGTGTAGAGCAGGAGGTACCTGGTGGAAGGTGGGATGTGAAGAAAGACTCCCTCAAGAAGATGACATTTGAGTTATGATTTGAAAGGTGGTAGAAGTTGCTAGGCTAAGGGGCTGAGGTTTGGGGAAGAGGAAAGGGGTAGATCAGAGTGTTCTAGGCTAGGAGAACAGTATGTACAAGTCCAGGAAGGAATGCATTCACAGGCTGGTGCACATAGAACAAAAGGCTTGAGTTTAGGAGGTGACCGGCCAGCTGAGCCACCTGAAAAATGGTGGCTTTGATCCCAAAAGCATTGGGAAGTCACTGAGGAGTTTTAAGAGAATGACTGACAAGATCAGATTTGCATAGGCAAATAGGCTTGTTGGGGGCCAAAGGGACCCCGTAATAGTCTCTTGCAGTGGTCCAGGTGACAGACCATAGAGGCTTGGTCCTGAGAGAGGCAGGGCAGGTTCAGAGGACAGATGCGAGGTGGTTTTTAGACGTGGGACTGGCAGGTTTTCATGAGGTGGGGTGAGGACACAGGAGGAATTAGAGTATCTGCCTTGCAGAGCTGGGAGGTAGGGTCCTCCAGGAGGTAAGAACCCAGGGGCAAGAGGAGCAGGTGCCAGGTGGAGGCAAGCTCGTGGGTTCCTGCTCAGATGTGGCATTTTGTATTAGTCTTAAAAGTGTAAAATCACCTTATGTAAAGTTACTTGCTGATGTGATGGAGCCGGGTCTCTGGAGGGCTGGGGCCTGGCTGACCATCCAGTGCAGCCCCAGACCCCAAGGGTGCTCCAGGGAGTTGACCAAATGAAAGATCCCTAGTGCAACCAGCAGCATCCCCTCACGGCCCCTGGAGCAGGAAACCGTTAAGAAGTCGAGCAGTCGGGCTGGAGATGATTTCAGTCAATGTCTGGGCACGAAAAGCCCCGAGGTCTGAGCCCCTTCCCGGTAGGGGTTCCGCGGGGGGCAGAGCAAGCCCCCGGGGGGTCTGCGCAGGGGCGGCCGAGGTGCCGCAGGACTGGGGCTTCTGGGACTCCAGGGCCGAGCCCCGCAGGCGCGGGGTGGGGGGGCTGTGCCCCAGATGCGCCCCCCCACCCCGCCCCCGGCCGCGCTGCGTGGGAGGAGGCGGCAGCTGCAGCGCGGGCGGAGGGCCGGCGGCCGGCGCGCCCGGCCCGTGGGAAGCGGCGGCATCTGCTCTTTCCACGCTCGTTCCCAGCGGCTCTCTCTGAAACCCAACCCGCCGGCCCGGCCCCGCCGCCGGCGGCCCGTGCCCTCGCCCGCCCCACCCGGGGGATCAGGGGCTGCGGATCGGGTTGCAGGAGCCCGGCCGCGGTTCCCTGACCCCGCCCCGCCCCGGCCAGCCCGGCTGTTCCTGGGGGACAGGGGCAGCGCGAGGCCGAGAGCCAGGCCCCCCAAGGCCACCTTGCAAGTGTACCCCAGAGACCTCGAGACTCCCGGGCAGAAAACGGAGCGCAGGGGGGGACTTGGTCTGGGGCAGAAATGGGTCCCCGGGGGACCCAGTGTGTCTTCCCAGCCCCATGGACCAGAGCCACTCTGGAGGGGGCTGCGCGCGCCTGTGGCTGGTCTCCAAGGTCAGCCGCGGCCAGGGAGATGGCCCCCCAGCTCTGAAAAGTCAGCCTTTCTTTTTCTCTCCAGCCAGATGGCCAGGCCGCTGTCCACCCCCAGTCCTTCCCAGATGCAAGCCAGGAAAAAACGGAGAGGGGTGAGTGTGTGTCTCAGCAGAGCTGCTCCACAGAGGTTACCCTGCGTTCCCAGCCACCCGGCCAGAGAACTCCGGTCAGAAACATCACCCCTAAGCTGTCAGTACACTGGGTTCCAGTCCAGGCCCCGCCAGTAGCTAGAGGGTAGGGTGACTTTGGGTAAGGTGCTTAACCATTCTATGCCTCATTTTTTCATCCTTGTAGCTGAAATAACCATAGCACCCACCTCAAAGGGTTGTTTTGAAGATGAAGTGGGTTAATGTGATGCACTCAGGACAAACCTGACATACAATTAGCCGCTATTTATTCCAGCCTTCCCTGGAAGGGAAGCCAAAACTTCCATTTCTTCTCAGTGTGCTGAGAATGGTCGAGGGACCAGAAGGAGGCCCCCTCCGTGCCCTTGACCATCTTATCCCAACCCCACTCTCCCCCCAGGATGCACTGGAAGCCCAGAGACCTGGGATGGGGCAGAGCCAGCCCTGCCTCTCACTAACGGTGAGACCTTATGGTCCCGCCCTCATTTTCTTTATCTGTAAAATGAGGGTCATTTCTGCCCTGCTCTCATATTCTGCTACCAGTGTTGTAGACAGGCTTGCAATCGTGTGGATGAGAGGCCTTCGCAGCTGGAGAGAGCAGTGCCCAGACTCCTCAGGCCTTCCACAAGCCAGCATCTGAAGGGTCACCCAGAATGGGGGAGGGCCTCCAGGGCCTCGCTCCCAGTGACTGCTGCCCCTCTTCTGAGTGCTGGGTGCTCTGCTGGGTTTTAATCGGTGGTTAAATGTTTTAACCATCACTCCTGCTGACCCATGAGAGTTCCCGGTTTCGCTCCCAGTTTTGGCTTTCCTTGCTGTGTGACTTCTCTGAGCCTCAGACTCCTCCTCCACAGAATCAGAACAGACTAACCCACCTCACAAAAATACATGTTGGAAACTGATGAACCCACGGGTAACGCCTGTTGTTGTTTAGATCATTGAGAAGCGGCGCCGGGACCGCATCAACAGCAGCCTCTCTGAACTGCGGCGCTTGGTCCCCACCGCCTTCGAGAAGCAGGTAGGTGAGGGTGCCGCTGGCGCTGGAGGAAACACCTTGTGGGTGGCAGAGCGGGTTCATTCCACGTGGCATCTGTTACTGATCTGTAGCAGCTTCCTGGAGTGCTGTGAGGTTGTTACTGCTCTCAGTCACTGGCGGGGGGTGCGGGGGCACGGGGATGGAACTTTATCTCACCTGGGGACTCTCAGGTGTTGTGCCTTCAGGGCTATCATCCCATTCAACTGAAGCCTCAAAATCATCCTGAAAGGTCGGGTCCTGGTAAGCACAGAAAGGTGGAGTCACTTATGCCAGATCACACAGCTAGTAAGTAGCAGAACAGGGGCCTCCCTCCTGGCATGGTGGTTAAGTCTCAGCACCATCAAGCTATCCACAGCCACTACAGCAGTTCGATCCCTGGCCAGGGAGCTACCCACATGGTGTAGCAGACCTCTCCTGCCTTGCCCACGGGTCCCCTCAGCAGTGTATTTCAGTCAATTGGCCTGTTCTGCTCCCCACTCTGTCTCTGGTGAATCTTCTCACGCCCTCCCTGCATCTCTGGCCTGTACCCTGGGTTTTGTATGCATAAATAAATAAATCTTTAAAAAAAAATAGCAGAACTGAACCAGAGCACAGAACAGTGTGATTCTAAACAACTGATGTTTTCAGAGCTGTTGAAAGTGGAGCAGGTTGCTTGGGGAGCACGCACTCTGCTAGTGAGCATGTTGGGCGGAGTTTAGAGTGGGCAGCCAGCTGAATCAATCAGATGGCCTCAAAGATCCTGTCCTGAACATTCTACAGATGTTCACTAAAACCCTTACAGAACCAGATGTGAGCTAGACATGGAACTGCCCTCCAGGAACTCACATGGAGCATCTCACCCTTGGGTTTCCCCCTAGGGACCAGGTGATGCCTGGAAACATGTCCCAAAATAGGTGACAGAGGAAAAGCAAGGGCATTAGGGGTAAAATGATGAACTAGATTCAGGCGTGGTGAGTCTGATGTCGTATTCCCAGGAGGGCTGGCCTAGGGAGCAGGTGGCTGGGAGGAGAGTCACCCTGGTGATGAGTGCATGAAACATGAAGGTGGACGAGCCCCTCCTGGCGAGCATGCAGTGAGGACAGTGAGCAGGTACCCACTGGGGACAGCACTGTGAGGCCAGGTAGTCTCTGTCCACACCACCCAGAGACCAGGTGAGCGAAGAACCACGAGGAAGTGGTGTCAGGGAGGCCCAGGGAGAAGGTTTCAGGGGATATGGCCAGCAGTGTCTGGACCACAATGAGGCCTGAAGAGACCCTATTCAGTTCGGACATTTTGGCCGAGGGGAAGCCCAGTTGCAGACTGTGGTGGAGTGAGGGATGGAGAGAGGAGAGGCTGGTGCAGTGCGTGCTGGAGGCCTGTGCACGAGGTGAGCGGCAGAGGTGTGCTGAGGCCTCACTCTCTGTTCTGTGCACACAGGGCTCCTCCAAGCTGGAGAAAGCCGAGGTCCTACAGATGACGGTGGACCACTTGAAAATGCTCCACGCCACTGGTGGGACAGGTACTGGTGTCCCTTTCTCCCGACAGTTGTTCTTGCCACAGAGTTGGGGGCTGAGCTCTGGGGGACCACTGGGCTCAGCAGCAAAGTAGACACGGCTCCTGCCCTCAGGGAGCACACAGTTGGCAGAGGGCCGGAGCCGACTCTTTATGATCTCACACCAAGTCCACCTCCTAGCTTCCAGCATCACTCGCTCTACTTTGGTGTCTCTATGTGTCCCAACCCTTCCTCAAGTTCCTCCTTCCAGTCTGTGACATTCTCTTCCTAGGCCGCCTCCCCGGGCCACATTAAACAGAAACATGACTGAGCTCATTCTCGCTGGGATCCCACTGGGAAGCCAGGAAGGGTCTGCCTGGGGGTTCACCTCAGCCACGGCGGGTTCACTGGTGTGAACCCCCCTCTGTCTAGCCCTCTGGGCTGTCGTGTCCTTGGCATGGCTGGAGGGCAGCGTCCTGCTCATCACTGAAGACAGGACGCAGGACGGAGTAGAACGCAGATGTAACTCATTCCGAGGCACGGATAAAGGCATGGAACTGTAGCTTTAAAAAGACTTCTGGGCAAATTCCACATTTGTCCACCTGAAGCCTCGCTGTGTCTTTCAGGTCTTTCAGTGACCTGGCAATTTGGAAACCATGACAGCTCTGCAGACCTGGGCCATGGACACTTAAGTCCTGAACTTAACTTGCTCCTCCCAAAGGGGACAGTTATGAAACCAACTTGGTGCCTCAACCCACAGCAGTGTCATGGGGGGACAGAAGGGGACAGGCAGTCAGGGTCCCACCCCAGATATTCTGAGCCAGGGGGTCGGGACTGGAGTTTGAGGATGTGCAAGTGCAGCAAGTGTGCCGATAACCCTGATGCTAAGAGCTGGTGACCCGCAGTTGAGAGTCTATCTCCAGGCACCAGTGGGGAAGACGTTGAAAACTGAATTTGATTCTCACGACACCATGGAGGAAGCGGGTTGTTGTCATCACCGTTTTCTGCCAAAGGGCTGATAGGAAGACAGAGAGCTGTGGCTTAGAGCACTGGCTATGGATTTGAATCCTTGCTGCCAACTCACTTTATGATCTCAGACAAATTTTAACTTCTCTGTCCCTTGGTTTCCTCCCCTCCAAAACAAGAATAATGAAAGGAATTTTATGAGGATTAAATTAGATAATGCAAATGAAGCGCTTAGTAAGTTATCTGCAGATGCTAGTTTAAAAAGAATGGTGTTGGGCCTCCATGGTGGCACATGGGGTTAAGTACAGCACTGTGAAGCTGTTGGCAGCCTTTGCAGCACGAATTCGATCCCCAGCCAGCCGGGGAGCTACATACATGGTGCAGCAGACCTCTCCTGTCTCGCCCGCTGCTCCCCTCAGCAGTGTATTTCAGTCAGTCTGCCTGTTCTGTTCCCTACTCTGTCTTTAGTGAATCCTCTCACACACACATCCCACCTCTGGCCTACACCCCAGTCTTGCATGCATAAGTAAATAAATCTTTAAAAAAAGTTTTAAAAATAACAAGAATAGCGAATGCAGAAAAGTGAAGGGATTTGCTCAAATTCACGCAGCAAAGCAGAGAGCCAGGAGACATAGCAAAGCCCCCAAGAGGCCTGACTCCACATGTGTCTCCTGCCAAGCTGTCCCTCCATGGAGGCCAAAGAGAGGGTCCTCAGCCTAGCGGCACCAGCTGAGGACCAGAGATGGGTCCTGCTTTCCAGTCTACCCTCCACTGCCTACAGCAACCACATAGTAAGAAAAATGATAGCTAACATCATATATATATTAAGCACTTCTGTGCACTGCTTCATTTAATTTCACCCTCACCACTCTCTGCAGCAGACATGTGATGGTCCATTTTATAGAGACGGCGACTGAAGCGTAGAGATTGATCACAATCAGGCAGCAAGTGGATTTGCACCCAGATCTGCTGCCTCCAAGGACCTCCTGCTTCCTTGCCACACTCAGCTGCCTTCTCCGAGGGCCCTCCCAGTGCTGAAGGCTGCTGCTGGTTCCCCCAGCATCCTTTCAGCAGGCTGGGTGTTCTACCCCTCCACGGGCACAGAGCTTCCACACCTGGCAAGCATCTACTCAAAGCAAGTTAGCTTGGCCACAGAGTTGCATCTTTGAATTCACCACAAATTTATATTTTATGGTGCTTCACAGTTTAATGAATTATTTCAACCTCAAAACCCATCCCTCTCTGCTCTAGGTAGAGAAAAACATTCTCACTTTGCAGGTGGGAGGCCCAGAGGGTGAGGTCACTTGCCCAAGGTCACACAGGCAGTGAGTGGGGGAGGCAGTCCAGGAGTCAGAGTCTGGCCCCAGGTGAGGTGCTTACCCCCGACCCTGGTACACCCTCACCATGCTTCACTTTGCAGGATTCTTTGATGCCCGAGCCCTGGCAGTCGACTTTCGGAGCATTGGTTTTCGGGAATGCCTCACGGAGGTCATCAGGTACCTGGGCGTCCTGGAAGGGCCTGGCAGCCGTGCAGACCCCGTCCGGATTCGCCTTCTCTCCCATCTGAACAGCTATGCCGCAGAGATGGAACCTTCACCCACACCCACTGGTCCCCTGGCCTTCCCTGCCTGGCCCTGGTCCTTCTTCCATAGCTGTCCTGGGCTGTCATCCCCCAGCAGCCAGCTCGCCATCCTCGGAAGAGTGCCCGGTCCTGTCCTCCCCAGTGCCTCCTCTCTTGCTTACCCCATCCCGGCCTTCCGAACCACTCCCGTGCGTAGAGCTGCCGGCACCATCCTGCCAGCCCGGAGGAATTTGCTGCCTAGTCGAGGGGCATCTGCTGCCCGGAGGGCCCGCCCCCTGGAGAGGCCAGCTGCACCCCTGCCCCTGACCTCAAGCAGCAGGGCTGCCCGGAGCAGCCACGTCACACCCCTCCTGCGCTCTCCTTCCCCCACACCTCTTGGCGTGATGGGGTCCCCTGCTTATGCGGTGGTTCCTGCTCCTAGGCCCTCTTCTCCAGGGCCAGCTGGGAGGCCAGCCGGAGCTGTGTGCTGCCACTCCTGGGTCTCTGAAATCACTGAAATCGGGGCTTTCTGAGCTGGCTTTCCGCCCAGGAGTGAGGAGAGTCCTTTTTCCAGGAGCTCTAAAAATGGCGCTGCCTTTTCTGCTCTACTTCCTGGACTAGCTTCTAGATGAAGGCAACTTCACCCATCAGAGGCCCATTCCTCCTTCAGCCCATCAGCCCTCCTCACTGCTTGTCTTGCTTGTCCAGCCAGCTCTCCGAGCTGTTCTGATCTCAGAGGCTTGGTCTCATTTCTTACCTGGACACATGAGTTCAGGGAGAGCCCCTAAGGGCCATACCCAGTCTGGAGCAGCAGGCTGACTCTCAGCTCTGGGAACAAAGCTTTAACCTGAAAGCACAATGGCCTGAGGCAGGCTGCTTCCCTCGAGAGGGGTCAGAACCAGGACGTAGTGTCTACCTTGCTCCCTAAAACCAGTAACTGAGCAGGGGCCACAAAGAAGTCTCTTGGGAACTGTTTCTGCCCTTGCCCCTTCCCACTTGTCTTTGGCCTACTCCACTGCAGCTGGACAGGTCCCATTGCAGCCAGACAGGCCCACTGTCCACTATGGTCAAGCTCTGGGGACTGGAGTCCCAGCAGGTCCTTCTCCCATCATCTTCCTGGCTGCAGACTCCCACCCTCCAGTTGACTGACAGCTCCCTGCAAACAGCTGGGAGGTTTCCAGGCAGCACTAATGCTCAGAGACAGGGCATCCTCACAACCAGAACTCGGACAGTCCCCCCAGACGGGAGCCAGGATTGAGCATCTAAGGACCCCTCGCCCTGCTGCTCGCAGGTGTGTGGTCCTCGCCGGCGCATGGTGTGAGGGCATGTTCCCACGTGATGGGGCCCAGAGAAGAATCCTCTGGGGATTCAGCACCAGACGTTTCGATGCCTGGTTTGCATCCAGCTCACGGAGCACAGACTGCTGGAACGGCCAAGGGCTGTCAGGCCGGACAAAAATAACTGCAAGGAGGGGCGAGAGGAAGGACAGTCAGAGGCGGCTAGGCCCTTCAAGGTCACACAGTGGGTGGAGGGCCTGAGATCCTGTTCACCCAGGATTCCACACAGCTGGCTCTGCTCAGAGGTCATTTCATCAGCCAGCTCCAACCCTGGCCACTTTTGCCCAACCACTGTTCCCGGCGGGAGCATAGAGATGAGATGGGGCAGACGTGGGACTGACATGCAGCTGGACTGGTGTCACCAGACCAGTTGTTAAGATGTAGAAACACGGCTGTGGTAAATGTCATCGGTAAAAAACGGGGGCTCCTGAGGTTTCCCCCCAGGACCCCATGATCTGTCTCATACCCCAAGGCCACGCTTCTTCCAGCTGGCAGTTCATGGCTGCTTATTCTACATCTGTTGTTAAATACTTCAAATATCACCCCTGGGAAGATTCTCCCCCTGACTCTTTGATGGAACTACCCCCGCGGCTGAATTGAGGAACGTTCATGAGCTCAAAGATAGAGTTTACAGAAACCCTGGGGGGAAAGGGTGCTTTCAGAGAAGTGGGTAAGAGAGCAGAGGTCACTTAAGTGACCCAGAAAGCTCTTTTGAAAGTCCTCGCTCTGTGGCATAAAGAGCTGAAGTAGTTCTTTCACTCCTTAGTGGGAGTCAGCTTGCGCCGTTGTCCTGGACCATCTGAGCTGCACAGCAGTGAGGAGAGAGGGCATCCCTTTAGGGAGTGGGTCACCCGCCAGCATTGCCCCTGAGGGAGACAGATAGTGGGAGGGAGAGGAAGGGCAGGGCGCTGGGCAGGTTCCCAGGAGCTGGGAGACGGGGGAGAGAGGGAGGTAGCAGGAGACTAAGACCAACTTCACCTTTCTCAAAAAAAGATCAGAAAAACTGCTTCCTCTCTCCTTTCTCCTCTCGCCCTCCTTCCTCCCTCCCTCCTCTTCTCCCTCCTCCCCATCCCTCACCTGCTCTCCTCCTTTCCTCCTCTCCTAGCCTGCCTCAGGTGGCAGCTTGCTGTCCCCAGGAGACCAGGCCACTCCCTAGCCTTCTACTCACAGTGGGACTGTGGGATGCACATTTCTATGTCTCAAGTCCCCAACTCCAGAAGAGCCCGTTGACACCATTGAATGAGGTGGAAATGGCCCAGAACTTTCATCATGTTGGTTGATCTTGTTTCATCCTCCCAGAAATATGGACGGTGGGGGCAGGGCGGGAGGAGGTAACTGTATGTATTTGTTTCCAGAGTTGACGACTTGTTTATATTCCCAGGCCTTTCTGGTGCCCCTGACTCCCACCCCATGCTGGGGTTGTCGCAGACAGCCAATAAAGCTTTTTTTTTTTTAGTTCTGGAAATCTTTAAGAAATTCTACTTCTTAACTATCTCTGGAGTCCGTCCACTTGTCTGTGAGCCCACAGCCGTCCCCCTGGTCTGGCTCATCACCTCCCCCAGTCACTGCTCTCGCTGCTAAAGGGTTACCTTGAATCTCTAATTCTGTCTCAACAGCAACCAGAGGGGGCTTGAACATATAAATCATATCAGGTCAACTCTAATCTCAAACCTGTAGTCTATTACCTTATCATCCTAAAAAGAAAATCCAGGCTCTCTGCAGATCCCAACCTCATGTCCAGTCTCAGTTTCTGTTAGAACAATCTTATGTCTGTACTTATGCCACGCTGGCCTGCCTTCACTTCCTCAGTGTCCCACCCTCCAGCCCACCTCCAGGACTTCGTGTATGCAGTTCCCGTTGCTCAGAATGCTCTTTCTGCCTTTTGCATGACTGAACTCTTCATACCGTCAGGCCTGGGCTGAAAATTCACCTCCTCAGAGAGGTCTTCCCTGATTACAGTACTTGAATAATCCATGTCAAAGTCTCCAATTCTGTTCCTCCATAAGGAACTTTCCATTGCACATCCACTTGTGTCTGCTTCTTGGTATCTCCCCTACCAGGATGTAAGCTCCATGAGGCCAGGAGCCATGCCTAGGCTGCTCTCCACCCTCTATTCAGTGCCAAACACAGTGCCTGGCTCATAGTCAGTATTCAATAAACATTTGTGGAATAAATGAACTAGGAAATTGAGGAATCTCCCAGACTCTTGCTGCTGGACAGTACAGGCTCCTCTAGGGATGAACACCCCAGCTGACTGACGTTGGGGATAGGCTGGAGAACAGAGTGAGAACAGGGCCAGGGGACTGCAAGTTCTAGCAAATGGCGCAGAAGCTTGGGCCAAAGAAAAGTGGAGTGTGTTGACTCTGGAGGGCACCGACTGCTGAGAGTGGCAGGCTGTCCCTGCCAGCAGTATTGTTCTTCACTCTTGGTCTGGCTCACAATAAATCCAACAAACATTTGCAGAGTTCTGCTCTGTGCCAGGCCTCATGCAACAAAGCCAGAGGTAACAGAGGGCATTGCTGCCCCGAGGGGTTGTAACGCTACAGTTGTAATCTCAGCGACAGTTGGTGAGGTGAGAGTGGAGAGTGTTCTTTTGAGAAGGCTGAGGGGACAGAGTGGAGCAGCTGCTGCTATCTGAGGCAGCATAGAAGAGGGGAGCACAGGAAGGAAGCCTTCCTGGAGGAGGAGGCATTCTAACATTCTAATAGCAGAGAGAATCTTCTGAGCAAGGTGACCTCATCAAGGCGCTTCTGAAAGCTGGCTCTGAGTTGAGCACAGGCCTTCAGTGACAGGGCCAAAGCAGGCTGGTCTAGGCACTGAAGCCAGACTTCCTGGCTCAGGCCCCAGCTCCTTCATTTATCAGAGCTGTGACCTTGGGCAAGTTACTTAACACCTCTGCACCCCAACACTCTATAAAAAAAATGATGCAATAATTGTTACCAACACCCTGCTAAATGCTTTTCTGGGCGTGTTCCCATTTTACAGATGAGGAAACCAGGCCCAGGTGATTAATGACTAAGGTTAGGTGAGAATGGCATGGGAGAACATGTGTGAAGCCTTCAGAGCAGTCCTTGGGCCACATGGACCGCTCAGTCAATCTCAGTCACTCATGTTCATGGAAAGAGGCTGGATTCAGATTGCGAAAGGCCTCAGGGGTCATGTAGAGTTTGCACATCAGCCTGTCGGCAACGGCAAACACAGAAGGTTTTGCCAGGGGATGGCCAAGGTCAGCCCTTTAAGAAACACTTGTTTGGGGTGGTGTGGATAACTGACCCGGAAGAAGAGAATGTAGACTCAATTCCACCTATTCCCTGGGAACACCTAGATGCTTTAAAAACACCAATGCCCAGGTTGTGTTGGGCAGCCCAGAAAGAGCTGTGAAGAAGTTAGAATTTCTGTCCCAGTGGAGGTAAATTTCCATTTAGTAGGTGAACTGGACTCCAACGTGTGTGCCTGGGAAGAGCTGATGCTTCCTGAGAAAGCAGAAATTAATTTCCACAAGGGCATCTCTATCTTCCAGTCCCATCCTACCCCTGACCCATAGTAGTTGCTTAAAAAACTGTCGAAAGTTTTAAGGACTTTGGCCTCCCTGGCGGCCCAGGGGTTAAAGTCTCAGCGCTATGAAGCTATCGGCAGCCACTGCAGTGGGAGTTTGATCCGGGCAGGGAGCTGATCCATGTGGCACAGCAGACCTCTCCTGTCTCACCTTCTGCTCCCCTCAGCAGTGTATTTCAGTAGATCTGCCTGTTCTGCTCCCCACTCTGTCTCTGGTGAATCCTTTCACCCCTCCCTACCCCTGCACTTCTGGCCTACACCCCAGTTCTTGTATGCATACATAAATAAAATAACTCTTTTTTAAAAAAGGAAAGTTTTAATGACTTGTAATGCATTCAAGAGTCACTGGATATTTTAGGGCTTGGTGGCACTCAAGACTTTAGTTTCCATCTCGCCTTCCTGGAGAAAGAAGATTGGAAGAAGACTGGACAGCAGCTGACCCCACTAATAACAGTAAATGCTTTCAAGCCCTTGACTTCCATGATCTCGTATAATCCTCACCTTGCCTGTGAATTATTATCCCCATTGTACAGAAAATGACACTGAAGTAAAAGTGCCCCAAACCTGAAACACTAATAAATGACAAAATTAAAACTGGTGTCTGCTTGAGTCCATCTTCACCAGCTCAGCACACTGTGTCCTTCCCAGGCTGCCAATTTTGATACAAACCCAGCATGTTCAGTGCCTGCAGGTCTGGGGGCTGAACTCCATTGCAAGCATCTCTGCCGGGCTCTTCTCCCCTGCGCTGGGAAGAGGGGGGTAAGGGGCTCAGCTGCCGTCACAAAGAACCAGCAGTTACTCACTGGATTAAAGAGCAGCTTGTTTGTCTCATGTGTAACAACCCTCTGAACATTCCAGGTCCTGATCCATGCAGGCTTCCTAGATCCCGGCTTTTTCCATCTTGATTCCCTGCCATCCCAGAGGGCATTGTGCCTGCATGATTGCAGCTAGTCTCCATGGGTCCAGCCAGCAGAGGGGAAAGAGTTTGGTGGAGACATGATCATAGTCTTAAAGGCTAGCCCCAGAAGTAGCACATCTGCCCATCCAGAGGTGAGAACCTAGGCAGTTAGCCAAGCCAATGGCTGGGAAATGCATCTCTGCTCTGTTCTCTGATGTAAGTGTGAATGGACATTGGCAGTGTCTCTCACTTCACTCTTAGCTACCAGCTTGGGCGGTTGAGAGGAATGGAGGAGTTGGCGATGGGAAGCTACCAGCTGCCAGCGGGCCGTGCCTCTGTGTGTGTGTGTGTGTGTGTGTGTGTGTAAGTAAATGATCTAGAGGTCAATTTATTTTGAGAACCAGACAGAAGGCCTCCACCTACCAGCCTGATCCCACAGCAATAATCTGGACACCCCAGTGGAGTTCTGTCTACAAACAGCCCGCCTCTTGGGAAGAAGTCTCCCTGGCCAGGGAAGGCCAGGGGGAGCAACTTGAACAGAAACTAGAGGGAGGTGGTCCTCCCTGGTGGCTCAAGGGATTAAGCACCACACTATGAAGCAATCCACAGCCTTTGCAGCACAAGTTCGATCTCTGGCCAGCCAGGGAGAAACCCACATGGCACAGCAGACCTCTCCTGTCTCGCCCGCTGCTCCCCTCAGCAGTGTATTTCGGTCATTCTGCCTGTTCTGTTCCCCACTCTGTCTCTGGTGGATCCTCTCACCCCCCGCATCTCTGGCCTGTACCCCAGCTCTTGTATGCATAAATAAATAAATCTTAAAAAAAAAAAAAAAGAAACTAGAGTGGGGGAGGGCAGCAGGGGACCATGAGACCATCAGAGAAGAGGGTGTTCCTGGCTGGGAACATCAAGGGCTCTTGATCCCAGAGTCCTGAGTAGCTGGAGTATAGACAGCAGGGAAGGCATTGGAGGGGCGTTGCTGGCCAAGAGTGGGGGAACCCTGGGGCCATGGTATGAAGAATAGGCTATAAGAGGGCAGGGGTGAGCAGGCAGGCCATCCAGACCTTCCCAACTCCAGTGACTGCTTTCACACATCACAATTGCCCACACCCACAAGCTCACCATCCCCCCCAGACAGTGACTGCAGCCTCATCAGACACTGAGCAGAGATCCAGCCAGGGGTCCGGGTCCTCCAAACTGTAAACTCATAAATACAGGCTGTCCTTCTCCAAAGAAGACATTCAGATGGCCCATGGGCACGTGGAAAAAAAAGTCAAACACCACTAATTATAAGGGAAATGCAAAGCAAAATCACAGAGATAGCACCTCACCCCTGTGAGGATGGCCCACATCAAAAGGAGTGAAAGCAACAAGTGCTGGTGAGGACGTGGAGAAAAAAGAACTCTCATCATCCACTCTCAGCCCACTGTTGGTGGGAATGCAAGCTGGGGCAGCCTCTGTGGAAACTGGTGTGGAGATTAGATTTCTTAAGAAAATTAAAATAAAGATCTTGTGGGCCTCCTTGGTGGCGCAAGGGGTTAAGCACCACACTATAAAGCTATCCACAGCCTCTGCAGCACGAGTTCAATCCCCGGCCAGCCAGGGAGCAACCCACATGGCGCAGCAGACCTCTCCTGGCTCACCCACTGCTCCCTTGAGCAGGGTATTTCAGTCAGTCTGCCTGTTCTGTTCCTCACCCTGTCTCTAGTGAATCCTCTCACCCCTCAAACCTCTGGCCTGTACCCCAGCTCTTGTATACATACATCTCTTGTATAGAGATCTCGTATGACCCAGCAATACCTCTGCTAGAAATTGACCCCCAAATTAGGGGCCTTTGTGTTCAAAGCTGCACTGTCCACAATTGCCAAGTCATGGAACCAATCCAGAGTCCATTGGAAGAAAACTGGATATTTCTCTTTTTTGGTGGGATATATACTCAATGGAATACTACTCGGCTATTTACAAAGGTGAAATCGTGACTTTGGGGACAAAATGGATGGATTTTGAGGTGGTTCTGGTAAGAGAGAAAAGTCAGGAAGTGAAAGACAGACACCAGATGGTTTTCCTTTTGGTGGAGTGTAAATAACCAGTGATCACGTACTGGCAAAGCACAGCAAAAATTAGTCTTAGGTTCTGTGAAAATATACAGGTTAGGGGCCTCTGTGGTGCCACAAAGGGATAAGTCTTAGCACTATGAAGTTATCAGCAGCTACTGCAGCACGAGTTGGAGTTTGATCTAGATCCCCGGTCAGGGAGCTACCCATATGGCGCTACAGACCTCTCCTGTCGCACCCGTTGCTCCCCTCAGCAGTGTACTTCAGTCAATCTGCCTGTTCTGCTCCCTGCTCTGTCTCTGGTGAATCCTCTCACTCCCCACACCTCTGGCCTGTACCCCAGCTCTTGTATGCATAAATAAATAAAATAAATCTTTTTGAAAAAATGAAAAAAATATGCAGGTTACCAGAGGGAATGCGGGCAGGGGCATTGGACATTGGCAGGGAGGTTTAGTGGAGGGTGAGGATGGCATGTGCACATACGAAAGTGTGAAAATATACCCCAAAGTGATATAGTCACGTCAAGGACTGACAAGTAAATAAATACATGCTGTTTACTACGTTCAGCCTGTGGTGATTGTTACACAGCCGCAAAGAATTAATACACCAGACAAAGCCTATTTCTTGCTCGGTCTATGCCTCCTAGAAAAGAGCCATTCGATAAACTGGGAAGCTCATGTGCTTGACTTTATTCATAATCAGAAACCCCAACTGGGGGAACCTGCTGGCTTCTCCACCAGGCTGGCTTGTATGATAGCTGCACTATCATTTGGCCTCGTCCTCCCACCTCACTCCCTTTGCCATGTCAGTCTCCAGAGATGAGCCTGCTTCACTCCTCCTGCCGAATATGGAGCTTCGGGTGACCTTGAGAATAGTATTATTTTCTAAAGTCAGCAGTAGGGAGGCATAATTTGCATTATAATTACAATAAGATGCACCAACGTTAAATGCACAAGCCGATGAGTCTTGACAATGTATGCACGCAGGTAATCACCATAATTGCAATATAGGAGATTCCCACCACCCAGCGCGTTCCCTCCTACCCCTTTACAGTCAATCATCTCCTCCCACCCCCACCCTGTGCAAACTGATCTGCTTTCTCTCACTGGAGTTTTGCCTTTTTAGAATTTTCACATCAGTGGAATCATCCAGTATATAACTCTTGAGTTGGGCTTCCTTCAATCAGTGCAATGTTATAGAGCTCCAGAAAGTTCTGTGGCTCATTCCTTTCTTTTTATCCACCATATGGATGTTGCACATGTGGATGTTCATTCATCTGCAGATGGACATTTGGGTTGTTTCCTGATGGTTTTCAAACATAGAAAAGACTGTGTAGACTTTTATTTTTAGATCACATAATTCATTTCTACAATTCATTAAAGTCACTAATTCAAAACTCAAGAAGAAGACCACAGCCCTCCCAGCTCACCCAGGCCACTGGCCACCAAGAAAGACAGGTAGGGTTGCAGTCACCAGTCACATCCTCACCAAGACCTCAGATCCTGTTTATGCTGCTGCATGTCTGGCCCGAAGGCCTGCCAGAACCCTCACTACCTACCTCTTGGGGAAAGCAAAACAGTGACACGTGTCACTGTTTGATTCAAGCAGAACAGAAAACTTCTCACTCACCTGAGTCTCGGGAAGGTAACCACTGACCCACACTGCCTGGTGTCCCAAGGGCCCTTTTCAGCAGGGTTCATAAGTACCAGCAGGTAGATTGAGAATGACAAATATCTGGCCCAATGAGCAGCCACTACCTGAGCCTGTCCCCCTGGCAGACACCGGGAACCAACTACTGTTCTCCTCCCCCTTGTGAAGACCACACAACCCAGAGTCAAGCCCAATCAATCCACGTTGGCACATCCCTTTTGTCTTCCCTAGACTATCTAACCAGCTCAGGTGGCCATCTCGAAGACAAAAAGGTCCTCACCAGGAACCCAACTGGCCAGCTCCACCTTAGACATCCCAGCCTTCAGAACTGTGAGAAAAATTCCGTTGTTTTAGCTTCCCAATCTGTGCTATTTTGTTGTGGCAACCCAAGCTCACTAATACAGAAGGTTTGCAATCTGCTTGGGTTTTCATTGTTTTCATTCAGCTAAATGATGGACACACAGTAGGCCTGCAAAAATTATTTGCTAAATAAATGAATGGAGTCCACACAAGCTTCTCCTCACTGCCCTCCTGCTCCAGCTGTCTCTACCCGCTGCCACATCAATCCTCAGCTTCCCCATCTAGGCTGCTTTGAGGGGAGGACAGAGAGAAACGCCAGGCGCAGGCGCTTCTCCCAGATGCAGTGTTTGAAGAGCAGCTTCTTCTTTCTCCTGCCCCTGCTGGGAGCACTGCAGAGAGATGGCTGCCCCCTCGCCCCTTCTGAGACAGGGCTAGCCTGAGCCAAACCTGATGAATCCATATTGGCACATGAGAGGAAACTCTTTTATTTTCCCTGGATTAACTAGCCAGCACTGTGAGAAAATGAGGCCTGTGGCTTGGCCCTCACTCAGGGCTGGGTTAATGGGTAACCGTGTTCAGGGCGTGCTCCTGTTTCTGTGAATAAGTGTGAGCTGAGTTTGATGACCCAGGGCAGTGAGCAGTGGCAAGGAGGAGAGGGCCTTACTGTGCCCTGCCTCGGGCGGGGAATCTGTGCTTCTGTTGGTGACCCCAGGTGT